CCCAAGAGTGATTAGCATCTAATTTCTCCTTACAGTATCACCCCAGAATCACACATTAAGGTCACGAGATTAAAGGAAATGATCACCAACTTATGAAGCTCTTGATTGTTAAACAAATTCTCCTTGTCAGCACATTAGGAAATGTAAAGAGAACAGTGTGGAGAATATGCATACTGATGTTAGGGTGTAAAGGTTACAAATGAAGAATAAGGCTCCATATACTCATTTAGCAGAAGTGGCACTATGCAGATACGGAATATATTCCAAATAAGGAAGCCTCGACTGTGCTCTAATCTTTTATAACGCCCACAGGAAGCGATTCGATGATAAAAGCAATGTCTGGGAGTTTTTCACTATTTCTTGTTGAGTTCTCTAGCAGTTTCCTCAGGTAGAAAAAAAAATACAAAACCAAAGTTATCACAGCGGCCATAAAATCAGAACAATGAAAAATATTATAACTCAATGGAAAGAAGCATACCACTTGTGTGAAGTGTGGGAAAACGCGGGCGACCAATTGGATTTAATTTTTGCATCTTATTGGTTGAGAAAGTGGCGCAAATTTTTTAGACCAATTGTTGTGAATTGAAAGTCTTGACGTTTTCCTGATTCATGCGGTCTTTCTACCAATTTTGGTTATTTGGCTTCTTTGGTTCATCTTGAGAATCTATTTACCTTGACTGTGCTCGTGCTTGCCATTGCCTATTAGCTGGATTCAGGTAGGCATGCGGTAACTAACACTTTTAGACTACCTCCTCTTGAAACCAAAATATTGACACAAGTGAAGTGATTTGTTTTGTTTACTCATGCAGAATAGCAAGTAAACATGAGATCAAATTATGTTCAGCTTCTATATTAAGGACATTGAACCAAGGTAAATTACTTAAGTTCTTTCAGTGTTGTACCCCGTTAAGATGCAGGACTATAGTTGTAACTGTAGTTGTCCTTTGAAGAACTAACTAGGTAAGGGAAGCAAAGCTGCTGAATTATCTTAACCCAGCAAAGTTGGGTTAAGATAATTCAGAATAAGTATGAAATTTGATTTCAGATCTGAAAGCATTGAAAGAAAATCCAGCGTAATTTTCTTTTTGTTCATGATGTTATGATTGGATGCTCTGAAGAGGATACACAAAATTATCCCAAACAGGCCTTTGAACAAAGGAATTAAAGAAACCCGGATGAAAATTTAATCTTGGATCGGCAGCGCGAAAAGGCCTTCGGATAACTGGAGCCTGAGCTACAACCTTAAGTCAAGCGCAGAACCCTTCCTGTAAGCATTGTTTGGTCAGCTTTTACCCTTGAAGCACTTTTAAATTGAGTATTGAAAAACGAAAAGCAAAATAATAACATCTAGAAATCAGAACAAAGGTTAACATCATCATCAACCAATGAGAACTAAGAGTGAAAACAGGTAACCGACTGACCATTGCAAGTTGGGACTTGTTTTGGTTTTTGCACTTGATTGGATGAGACGGTGGCGCGAGTTTTCTTAACCAATCACAGAGCAAGGCAATTCGGATCACCAAAGCAACCAGGATCACTTTCGATACTTCGATACTTCATTGAAAACTGCTCTTGTTCCCGTATTGACAATAGGGACCTTAAGCAGTCAGGACGGCAACGCCATAGAAGACTTAAAAATCATAAAAACTTAAATTAAAAAATGAATTTCTGCCTTTAATTAGAATTTCAAAAATGGGTGCATGTGTTTACCGTCTCATACGGCGCCACACTTCAACTTCATAATGTATAAAAAAAAGCGTTGAGTTCCAAATGGAAATTAAAATAATTTGCCATCGCGGTTTCGGTTCGCAGACGACGCAAATTGTAGTGATTTCACATTGTTGTTTTGCATAGGACAGCTGAGAAATGTACAAAAAGTTTTAAAACGCACGTGCTGAGCTATTTTTCTGCTAATTAGATCTTTTATTTTTCTGCGTCCTCTTTGCCGGATGATAAACGGGTGATAATCCATAGGTTTGCGCAGGGCGTAAGTAAGGCAAAACCATATCAACGCAATCCCGTATTTTTTTTCGAAACTCATCTCATGTGTAATCTGTACATGTTGTCTTTCAGTCGCGTTTCTAGGCTTCTTCTTGATTACTAATGTTAGATGTTCAGAAATAATTCGTCGGCCCATGAACACTGAATATCTCCAAGCTGGTTAAATGTCTTGTGCGATACTTGCAGGTGGTTGGCCTTGGGGCAAGGCCGCTAGTTCGAGCGCCTTTTCGTAACAAGGTGGTGGTGTCCTAGGGACTTCTTCCAGCAACGCATCGTCCACGTTTACGGTTGAATTGACCTCGCGGTAAACTTGAGTAGCGGTGAAATAATCCGGCAAATCTATTGAAGGAGAAGGACCATCACACGGCCGACGTTGCAGAATATGATTATTATTCAAGACTGGAGACGGAGATTTTTCTAAGTCTGCAGTTGGAACCCGACATATTACAGCTTGACGATAAGAAACGGTTCCTGTATTTCTTAAATAAACTAACATCACCAGTGTTCCCACTCCAATACAAAGCAAAAAAATAGCGGCACCCCAGTAAATGGATGCTGCTAAGGAGTCTGGCGAACTGCATTTAGGGCAGAGTAAAACAAAGATGAGAACCAGAGCGGTAATAGTCCCTGTGAAACAGAAAATTATCAAACCAACCGTTGCTGTGAACAGGAACTTTTCATTACACTTTGAAAACAACGACACATCTTGACTTCTTTGCGTCATCATCGTTCGGTAGGTTGGAATAAGCCGGTACTGACCTCAAATGTTTTGAGAATTTTGTTTTGCCTTCAGTGGTGAAGTGGACGATGAACCGAGCTAGTTGTTTATCTGATAATGGGGTACAGCTCAAATGCTGTTTAAACTTCCTTTATCTGTGCACTACCGACACCGTGGGGAGGGTCAGGCTTAGGTCGAACGGAAAAACGTCACTTCCGTTTGTCGGCCTCTTAGAGTATATGGCCTAAGGGATCGATCATCATTTATCGTCTGAGGGGAGGGGTGTCGGGGATTTTGTTTGTGTCACGATAAACTTTACCTGATCCTCCCCCCCCCGCCCCGGCAGTTAATTGGAAGTGAATTTTCTATGATCCTCCCATAATACTCTGTCTGGCAAAGACTGACTCCCCCTCCGCTCCCCATGAAAACCATGTAATCCTCCGCGACTCTCCCGTCCCCTCCCCTCCCCCCCCTCCGCGATAAACTAATGACTAATTAATGGTCGCTAAATAATAACTTCAGGTCGGTCATTTTCAATTCGCATCAATTTTATCCATCTTCAAGCTCTTTATTTATTCCATTTTAGGTTTGTTCTTTCTACTTTATTCCCTTCCAAAATGATTTAATTTTTTTTCCTCTCTCGTTGAAGTTGTTTTCTCGTTTTAATCAATTAGGGAATCTTAATTTACTTTTTCCCTCCCTTAAATGGTAATCAATCCTTTTTCCCGTCATAACATTATTCTTTCAGTCTTCCTCTTTCCGCTCACGGTCTCCTTTGCATGCGTTTTTTGATCTCGTCTGAAACACGTTCTCATCCCAAACTGACGTTAATGGCTGCGAAGTTTTAAGTTCGCGAGATCGATCACACCAATAGAATATCTCTAAAGGTACCTTTCCGTGGCCTTGGCATGAAAACAAATCTTAGATTTTTTTCCCCTTAAGCTAGAAGGAGGTGATAAATCTATTTGTAATTCCGAGAAATACTTCCTGTGAAGTATTAAGTGATCCTATAGAATTAATGCTCTCGCAACATCGTTTGTAACACGTTCCCTTCCCAAACTGAGGTTGACGGCTGTGAGAGAGAATTTTGCAAGACAAAACATGAGGGAAGAGAAGCCACCGTAGCTAGACTAGCCACCACTGGCTTGTAAGGTCAAACTTTCAAACTTTTTCATTCGCGTGATATCGCATGCACGGAATATTTTCAAAGTACCCCACCTTGACCCACGACCTTGCCATAAAAAAACTTTTCATTTTTCCTCTTTAGTATGACATAAATACATTTGTCATCTTGAGTAGTTCTTCCTGTGAAGTAAAGCGACCTGATGGCATAAAAACGTGTTTGATGTTACAAGGTTTTGAGTATCGAATGACCTCACTGAATGACGCTTTCCATAACCACTGTTGCATCATCGAAAAACTCACGCTACTGAACTTTTAATCGTATGTAACAACCTTGATACCGGGGATAGCCTTTAAAGAAGAAGTACAAGCTGCCAAAATAAATACAACCCACTCAAATAAATGACTCTACAGCCGATTTCATATGCCGCAAAAAATTTGATACTAGAAAGATGAGTGAAACTAGTTTTAATTTGTGTGACAATCAGCACAAGTAATACTCAGTGACATGACAAGCAGAGCCACCTTAATACACGGGCACAAGGAAGTCTTCTCGATATTTTCTAAAGGGAATGAGGAATTTCATGCTTATTGGTTCTTAAGCAACCCTCAGGTGCTAGTATTTAATGTGTGTTTTGACACTGGTGTTACCTTGACTGTAAGTGCCTGCTTGTAAATCAGCAGCAACGCTGAAAGCAGAATTCAGCTGTCGTCTGTAAGAGAAAATTACCAACCCACGTGGAACAGAGCTGAATAGCGTCTGTGCATACGTTAGGCTTGAGCACAGAAAGTTCCGCGGAAAACGGAGTTTGAGCCATTTGCATGTCTGATATTCCATTCTGTTGCTTCTAGGCGCTGTTTCATAGCCGCTTTCTTTTACAGTAGAACCTCAAAAACTTTGGACACCCTCTAAAAATTTTCAAAAATTCATCTTTTCCTTAAAAACACTGAAAATAGGAAAATGCCTTCGACGACAACAAAATGCCTCTGCCGTCTAGATGCCAGCCCCTATTTCGCTGTATCTTAAACCCCGTGCGCTTGAGACCGCGCTATTGACTGCATACCTGTGACGAAACATTTCGTTATTCGGCTCTGCCATGTGGTATAATGTACCTCTCGCTCTCGCTTTGGTTGGCTCGATCACTTCCCTGTCTGATTCTTAACACCGCGGTACTTCTTCTGACTTCTGATAATCATTAATAGCTCTCTCAAAAATACCCTGAAGAAATCGGCCCCTCTTATTATTACTCATTAGTATGCCCATGGTTTCATTACTTGCATTGGCAGCCAAAAAATCCCATGCCCATACAATGAAGCTTCAAAACCCCCATAAATAAATTCTAATACGTTTTTAGTTTCTTCCCTTCTCCTGTATCTAGTGCTCGACTTGTAATCATGAATCATCCTCATATAATGTGCTAGCAGCACCCCTTTGTCTTCGGGAATCATCCTTCTGCTCCAATAGCGCATTAGATCATATCCACATGTATTTTGCGCTAATCAGTGTTGAATATAAGTAATCGACACTCTCCCCCCCTTGACTCGCCTACGAGTCAAGCATATTGTTTGTTATGTAAACTGTCACTACATCACCTGTCTGAACTTCTCTGACTACACGTCCTGCCTTTGCTCTGTGAAACTCACGTAAATTGACTAAATACTCGTTTCTCCAAATTATTATTATAACTTGTTGTGTGACGAAAAAAAACGTATCTTGACTTGTTTTAATCACACTTTTCACTTGAATTTTGTATCCACAACCTAAGATGAGAAATTTAAAATTTCTATCAGCTGAACTTCTTTTACTGCATATTATATCTATTCAATCAATTCGTGGAAAAAAGGCAAGTAGGAAAACACTGAGCTTCGAGAAACAGCCATGTTAAGGCTAATGTATTTACCATTCCTTAAATATTTATAATCAAGACCACTCGTTTAGGAGACCTTTTCTCAAAAGATCCACACGTGCAAATAATTCTGTTTTCCGTTCGAAATGTTTTCTCCTATTCAATTGAACAACTGACTTAGCGTTTAAGCCGAGAAAAAAATCACAAAGTTTGAATTCTGGGATGTTGTCCCTGTTGGCTCCATCAAGTTACGATTCTGCAATTGACGGTGAAAATCTATCTTAATTGACTCAAGGACTGTATTTTTGTCTTGCAAATTAAGGTCTGTTGACATTAAGTTCATCATCTGGTTCATTGTTATAGTCAGCTTTAAAATTTAAACTCTACTTGTACTGACAAGAAGCCACCCTAAGGGCAGGTGAAATGGTCTCCGAAAACATCCAGACAACTTGCATGGAAAACCTGGCCACAGCTATCTCACCCAAGCCAATCCTCTCCATCGTCATCTTTGCAAATCTTACAGACCGCGGTACCTATAATTGAACAAAAGATATGGGACGTCAAAGAGATCTTCGGACTGACATATGAATTCAGTTACGTTGGTATGTACACAAACGAAAAAAATTTTACCTTGTCGTTTTTGTACGTGGCGTCCATCAGGGCCAGTTCACTACCATATCTTTCAAGCATTCGTTGTTGCCATGGCTCTTTGTACAAAGAGGAAGGTTTCTTAGGAAGGTCTTGGTTCATCTTTTTTTCGTTAATGACAGCGTCTCTGGTACGGTTAGTTGCTTTTGGGAGACTTAGTTTGCCAATCTTCTTTTTTTACCCAATGCTTCTTGGTCGTCATCGCAATACTTCACTGCAGAATCGCCTTGGCAACGCAAGTCCTGGCGACAAGGGTAATATCCTATTTGTTTTCTTTGGCCTTCGTTCCTCGGGATGGCCTGAAAATAGGAACATATTTATCAAGAGACCTTTGACCTCAGAAAGGTTGGTTATATTTTGCTTTACGAGGTCGTAGATTTTGTCAACTACACGTTTATCGACGTATTGTCCTATCGTGGACGAGTCTTTGACATGGGAAGAGCTTAACGGGATCTTTACCGAGTCGAAGTACGGAAACTAAACTAAGTCACTCTTCGATTTGGCATTGATTTCTTTTAGAATAGCCTTCTTAGCCATCACCAAGCTATTATCTGATAGGAACTTTGCTTTGTCGATGAAGTAATCGTTGTACGCCCGAATACATCGAATCTGCATGACTGCCGGGCAATCCAATTTCCTCGGCGAATTCTGCAAGTGTATTCTAGTTTTTCTTGCGTAGTCGTGTACATTAGCGTAGTCACTCTTGCAGGTATAACTTCCTCGGGCATCCTAATTGGTACAGAAGATTTTAATACAGGTGTGTTCTACGAGAGCAAAATGAAATTACATTCTTCTCCCAGCTGCGATATCATCTGAGATTTTTACTGACTTCACTACTATTGCCAACACCCTTCCCCCTCATATTTCTTTGGGTAAATTGGTTATGAAACATATAACTTAAAACTCCTGTAACATTTTGATCCTCGTAAAAAGAAAATTAATCAGTCCATTTGAATAAGCTTAAATTCAACCTCTTGACTCTCAGTTTCCGTTATCATTTCTCGATTGACCTCTTTTTTTACTTAAAATTTGAATGTTTACTAATCCATTTACTGTAATTGTAACCAACCTTTGTGGATCCATGTATACAATGTCGAGTTTCACTGCTAGAGATTGAAAAGGGGTGGCCAAACAACTGTATGAGGACATTTCCGCGGTTGTTTTCAAGTACGGGAGGTGCTGTCAAATGAAATCAGATAGAGTTGTTAAGCAACATGCCTTATTTCCGGTTTACGTGTAAAGGTGTCAATAAGAGCCAGACCTTTGACCCAAACCTTTGCACCAAAGCCACTGTTCGCTGTTTTTAAACCAAATAGACCTTTTAGGTAGAGATAAATGAATAAAAAAAATAACAACAGCAATAACAACAAACACAAAGAAACTAAAATGAAATATAAACAGGTAGTTCAGACGCAGCATCTCGCAAATCGCGTAAGACTGCCTTTGAAGAAATTTACCATAAACTCTGAAAGACAGCGATTCTTCTCAATTAAATTATCCCTGAATTAGGAGAGTCAGGATAGGAAACCGGGATCTGTGTACTTTAAAACACTGAGAGATTATATACCTGTTTGAGAAAATCTGTTGTGGTTTTTCTCTTTTGAATGGCTTTCTGTAAGTACATAACACGTGGAGTTCAATGCCTGAAATGAAACTAACAGATCATCCATCTCTGCTCTGTTTCCCTCGAAATATCCAAAACAATAATTGCCTTCAACAGAAAAGCCATTGAGATGTTCCTTCTAAAAGTCGATCTCTAAATCTCTTAACATTGTTGGCTTTTGGTCTTCATCCATGGCAAAATCTTCCAGGAAAAGCAAACTACAGTGCGAAAACCAAGTTCCTGCCAAATTTGATTGACATTTTTGACAACCGGAAATTATGATACTTTTTTTTCGTCACGCACGTCACGCAGCTAGCTACAAACCATATATATAATTATTCTTGGTGCCTTTCCGAATGCCACTGACTCCCTCTCCAATGCCTCCATTGTTTATTAAAGCAGTAAGAGATATGAGTTCAATCAACACTTTTGAAAAATTGCTTAAACTGTGAAGTAAACTGTTAACATTTCGGCTTTACAACACGATTGTCTCTGGAACAACAAATTTTATGTCTCTATATGAAGTATACTAGTTATAGTTCTCACTAGAGCTGCCCCCGCCCTACAGTACCATTTTCTTTTTTTTTTTTTTTTTTTAGTTGGGCTTGTTGTTTACAGTTGTGTAATTTTTCTGTTATGCTGTTACGGAATTGCGGCTCAGTACTTTGGTGTTAGTAATTTTGGATCTCAAAATACTACAAGTGTACAAAATGTAGTTTTGGGAAGTGCTTGGGGTTTTTTTTTTTTTTCGCAGTGTGGTTTAACTTAGGATTTGTTTGTTCTTCACGATCAAGAAGAAGCAGAATGTAGGGACTTGGGTGAGTTTTAACATTGGAATGTTATAGGTGGCATTGGAGAACAATTTATAGACAGCATTGAAGAACAATTTATTATTATTGCCCCCGCAGGGTTTTTGGCCCCAGAGGGCCAAAAACCCGAGGAGGCACCTTAGGACTCCCCGCGTAATATAGAGGAAGACTGGAGAAGAGGGAATGTGGGTATTTTCGGTAGATCATAACCAGAAAAAATCTCGATTTGATCGCTTGCACGGCCGCAAGGTATCAACGCTTTTCCCGCAAATGGTCATGATCTGCCAGTAAAAAGACACGCGCGCGAGGACTTTTAAGATCGGCGTCTTTGACACGAGATTTGTCCTAGTATAGAGGAAGACTGGAGAAGAGAGAATGTAGGTGTTTTCGGTTGATCGTAACCAAAAAAAATCTCGATTTGATCGCTTGCACGGCCGCAAGGTATCAACGTTTTTCCCGCAAATGGTCATAACTACACAACTGTAAACAACAAGCCCAACTCAAAAAAAAAAAAAAAAAGAAAATGGTACTGTAGGGCGGGGGCAGCTCTAGTGAGAACTATAACTAGTATAGTTATTAGACACAAAATTATACCTTAAGAGGGCCTACATTCTCTCTTCTCCAGCCTTCCTCTATACTAGGAAAAATCTCGTGTCAAAGACGCCGATCCTAAAAGTCCTCGCGCGCGTGTCTTTTTACTGGCAGCCCATGACCATTTGCGGGAAAAACGTTGATACCTTGCGGCCGTGCAAGCGATCAAATCGAGATTTTTTCTGGTTATGATCTACCGAAAATACCCACATTCTCTCTTCTCCAGTCTTCCTCTATACTAGTTATAGTTCTCACTAGAGCTGCCCCCGCCCTACAGTACCATTTTCTTTTGTTTTTTTTTTTTTAGTTGGGCTTGTTGTTTACAGTTGTGTAATTTTTCTGTTATGTTGTTACGGAATTGTGGCTCAATACTTTGGTTTTAGTAATTTTGGATCTCAAAATACTACAAGTGTACAAAATGTAGTTTTGCGAAGTGCTTGGGATGTTTTTTTTCGCTGTAATTTACAATTACAACCAGTAATTTCCTTTCTTTGACTACTGTTTACTTTCAGTTGTGCTGCGAGTCCTTCGCGCCCAATAACAGACTTGCCTCTGACAAATCCAGAAATTGCCGAGTCTTTCGGCTTTGTGCAATAAGCTTGATTTGCGGCTGACAAATGGGAGTTAACCGAGTCTTTCGGTCAAAATGCTAAACTCACACCGTCTTCTGAGCATCGGTGAAATTATTTCTGTATTAACTTCTGTATAACACAAATGAGTCAAGACAGCTTTTAAGCACAAAACAGCACTCTCCGCGCCTTTCACACTTTGATGGTCGCGTGGACTCCGACCGAAGAAACTCTAAAACTCTGAGAATAATCCAACATCAAAGCAAACGAGTTCGAAGCTCAACTTTTTCATGTATTTGATATCTGGTTATATTTTAATTATGCTGCAAGTTCTTTGCTTTAAGTTCTCACGTTAGCTGACTGAGCTGTGGACCCTCCACCGCCTTCGATCGAGACTTCACACAACCGTTTCTCTTTTGACGGATTCTGATCACCTTTTAAACTAAAAACTACCTTTAATTGTTAGAAAGATGCTATACACAATTACCGTTGGACTTGGAAACGCTTCTCGACGCGGACGCTTAACTCGAAATCTCGACAAGGACAAAGCTCGTGTCAAACACGCCGATCCCAAAAGTCCTCGCGCGCGTGTCTTTTTGCTGGCCGCCCATGACCATTTGCGGGAAAAACGTTGATACCTTGCGGCCGTGCAAGCTATCAAATCGAGATTTTTTCTGGTTATGATCTACCGAAAATACCTACATTCTCTCTTCTCAAGTCTTCCTCTATACTAGTTATAGTTCTCACTAGAGCTGCCCCCGCCCTACAGTACCATTTTTTTTTTTTTTTTTTTTTTTGAGTTGGGCTTGTTGTTTACAGTTGTGTAGTTATGACCATTTGCGGGAAAAACGTTGATACCTTGCGGCCGTGCAAGCGATCAAATCGAGATTTTTTTTGGTTACGATCAACCGAAAACACCTACATTCTCTCTTCTCCAGTCTTGCTCTATACTAGGACAAATATCGTGTCAAAGACGCCGATCCTAAAAGTCCTCGCGCGCGTGTCTTTTTACTGGCAGCCCATGACCATTTGCGGGAAAAACGTTGATACCTTGCGGCCGTGCAAGCGATCAAAACGAGATTTTTTCTGGTTATGATCTACCGAAAATACCCACATTCCCTCTTCTCCAGTCTTCCTCTATATTACGCGGGGAGTCCTAAGGTGCCTCCTCGGGTTTTTGGCCCTCTGGGGCCAAAAACCCTGCGGGGGCAATTACGCGGGGAGTCCTAAGGTGCCTCCTCGGGTTTTTGGCCCTCTGGGGCCAAAAAACCCGGCGGGGGCAATTACACGGGGAGTCCTAAGGTGCCTCCTCGGGTTTTTGGCCCTCTGGGGCCAAAAAACCCGGCGGGGGCAATTACGCGGGGAGTCCTAAGGTGCCTCCTCGGGTTTTTTGGCCCTCTGGGGCCAAAAACCCTGCGGGGGCAAAAAGCTGTTTCACCGCTGACCGCTCATATTTGGGTCGTTTTTTCTATCCCCGCTCGTCGCCCGTGATGTAGTAACTCCCGTCTACCTTTCGGAACCCAATACCTAGAGCGCATGTCTGCAAGCGTAGCTCTCACACCACTGTGCAAGACCCTTTCGTGACAGTCCCGTATCACCAATGTCGTGTAAGCGTGGTCTCTTAGGAGAATAATTGGTCTGCGCGCGTCGACTTCTAAATCGGAATTAACCAATCTTCCAACACATCTAAGAATTCTATCGTTTTCTACTAACCCTAACTCACTCACCAGATGCTGAAAGTTTCCTTGTCTTCTCAAATCTGCTTGCGCCGCTTTCAACCATTCGCCTTCGGCCTGAACCAATTCTTCTCTTTTCAGTCTTCCCTTTCTTTTGACTGTCTGGTCTTGATCTGGACGTGCATTGTTGATGAAACGCAACACCCTTGCGGTCACTCTGAGCAGTTTCCCTAACGATCCATGACGATTGATGTCTACAAGTTCGGTCAGTCCCTGTGGCGTGTGTTGTCATTGCCTCCGATTTTAGTTCTCTCAGTGTCTCCTCTGCTTCACTTATTTCTTTGTCTAGTGTCTCTTTCTTTCTCTCCTTTTGACGCTGGATTACCGGTTTCTTTCCGTATCGGTTTTTGCGTAGTTTGCGGTGCTCTTTCTATAAACAAGGATAGGATTTTTGCTGTGCTCTTTCTATAAACAAGGACAGGAAATCATCATCAAAATAATGACAATTCCAAAACGGCAAATAAATTAATAAATAATAATCCATTCCATTTATCTTGCGGCAACTAACCCACTTACAAGTAGGAAACTAACCTGATTCCTCTACTAGAGCATCTGTCTCCCTTTGTAAAGCCAAGATATCTATCTTGCTCCTTCTTGGATGAAGCATCTTCTTGGACTTTAGCTGGCGAAAGTTGTCTTGGAGCGTTTGGCGCTCCTTATGAATGTTAAAAATAGGCGATGTTTCCTAGAAACGATTTACTTGTCGTTTCGAATCACATTTGCCCAAATGGCCTGTCTCTTTGCTGCATTTTTTGACTTTTCCCGCAACATTTATGGTCTCCTTCGGTGCTACAGATGAAATAAAACACTCAACATTGAGCCTGAGGAAATTCAAGATGGCGGCCTAAACTGATCAACGGAGAAAATCGAGTTTACATGACATTTTCTTACCTGGATTCCTCCGAAGAAATTGGCGAAAACGACGCCATTTAGACCAAAGTCCACTTTCAACTTTCGATTTATGGCACGCTTGGCAACTAAACGGTCAAAATTATACTTTTTAGGGAGGAGGACAGGTATTTTGGGTCTATTTTCTTCTTTTTGTTCTACGTTTACCTTAACAGTGGAGCCTCCTAAGAGAAAAAGTGTTCTCTCAGTTCCAGGACTCTAGAAATACCGAAATCACAACGGTTACGTTGACGTGTTGGCTTCTGTAAACCCGTTGTTAGCCGATAGCGTACCTCTGCCATAAGTGAAAGGCCAGAGCCATTCAATATGAAAAAAAAGAAGGATGGCAAGCTTTATCCAATGTAAAATAAACGACTGAAAGAACCCCTTTAGCTTGACGCTTAAATCTGCTCAAACCGTGAACGCGTCGTGACGTGACCTCTAAGATAGCAACGGGAGGAATTTACATAGCAACCGACCATCCGGCCGTCGTTTATATCGTTTGATTGCGGGCTCCAAGACTAGGAGGGAAACTTGTGTGGTGTAAGTCTAACTGTGATGTCCACACTCCTCTTGTTAAGCGAACGTTTTCGTCGAAGCTGTTTCCCGTGTACTTGCTAGTACATCTGTGTGATATTTCATTATTTGTTTCGTGGATTTTCATTTCGGATGCCTTTATTTTCAAGCCTTGCCATGTAGAAGTTTTACGGGGATAAAGAAAACGCTAGAATGAATCACATATGTGAGCTGTTCGAGAAGCTCAAACTTGATGTTGGAGAAACGAAAAAACTCGATTTGGGAGTTGTCGATTCCATATTCAGCGCACTACAAAAAAAGAACGGTAAGATAATTTTCCCGTTTTGCTGAGATGGAAAGTTCTATCAACTGTACGATCAGAGCGCGTAATTTTTAGTAGAGAACGCCAGTGTGTTTTTATTTAGGAATGTTTTGAAATGTCAACGCCTATACATCCACTTTGTGGGGTGGGGTAGGGTGGGGTTGATGTTCTGTTTGCAAAGTGATTCTGTTATAATTATTTTATCTGTAGAGAGGTTTGATGAGGCAGCAATTAAACGTATCCTTGACAATGTCGTCGCATTGCTGGAAGTTGATGAACCTGAAGGCAAAGCAAAGGTGTTAATGCTTATTGCTGAGATTGCAAAATCAGGTAATTCAGAGAGAAATAAGTCAAGTTAACCCTTTAACTCCCAATGTCTGATTGTTAATTCTCCCCATTTGCTGCTACAAACTTCCTTGTAAATTAGTTACAAGAATGTGGTGTTAGCTCAGATAACAACTTCTGCCTGATAAGTTTGACTGCTCTCATTTCCTGTTTGCTAGATAGTGTATGAATATTATAAAGAGAAGTTACATGTTAATCATAACTGGGAGTTAAAGGGTTAGGAGAGAGATCAGGGAATGAGCCATGTCCAAATAAAGAGGAAGAGAAGCTGGTTTATGTGCTGTCGCAGTTTTACCATTGGGTCATTGCTTTGTGTTCTTGGATAGGTTCTTGGATAATTAAGTTCTTGGACCACCTGGATAATGAGAGGAAGAAAATAATCATTAAACCAGGGTGTGTGGATTTGATAAAACACTAAACTCTTTTTTGATCTTGGTAGTGAAAAGGGTTCATGGCTTTCATAGCAGAAATGATGGTCAGTCAATGTCTGACTTGAGGTTTTCAATTACAACTAAATGCCCATGTAAATGAGAATGTTGGCTGGAGTGAACCTGATAAAATGTTGTGTTTCAATTTTTATTTTTAGAAGAAACAAGAGTTCCTTGTGTAAATGCAGGATTGATAATTAGCATTTTATCAAATCTTGAAAGTGATGATCCAAATATTTTACTACAAGCTTTAAGAGCTCTTGGAAATATCAGTGCTGAAAATGGTAGGTGAAGTTTGGCAGAAATATGACCCCATACCATATAATAAATTTAGTAATAACCAATAACTGCTGATAGATGATTGCTTACTTTGGGATTGTAATTGCAAGAAGCACACAATTCACTCTAACTTGCTTTTAATTATCATTTTATAGTTTTGTTTCTTAGAAGAATAAAAAATTCCCATTTATTTAGTGAAGCTTTGGAATAATGTTGAGTTGTTGAGCGAGAGCCCTGAACCAGAAAATCCTCTTTTTCTAATTCCCAATTGTTTCTCTGTGTGTAAACTCTGAGAATTGAGTGGAAATCAAGAAATCTCATTGTTGATTATAATTAACTTCAACAAAGTAATGATGTCATTATGTCTTATTATGTCATGATGGGTAGTGGCACCTTAGCAGAAAGTAATGCTCCTCTCTTGGAATCCAGGAGACACAACACTGTTCCCTATTTATATGTGAATTCTTTTGTGGCTACAAGTTTTGTCCCCAACCTTCCAAAATATTATGAGAATTTACGAAAGGTTGAACTCTTTCACTCCCAAGAGTGACCAGAAAGAATTTCACCCAACATTATTGATACATTTTACAAACAGAGAGGTTATGGGAAAAGGTGAAAAATATTAACTTGAGGATATTAATGTATTTCTTATAGAACAAGCAAAGGCTACTTTGCTGGAAAACAAAGGAGCAGAGAAGATTGTAAAGAAGTTAGGAGTTCTTGAGAAAAGCTTTGATGAGAAGAGTGACAACAGACTTGAGTTGGCAGCATGTGGATCCATGCTTAATGTAGCAAGTGACGATGGTATTTCTCCAATATTCTCCCACAATATGCCATTTTATAGTAGTGTGCTTAGTTGCCAGGCCTTTGATTTGGAGTGAGGCTGAAGGTGACCTTGTTGTGATAGAGACCAGTATCTAGTTAACATGATAACAAAGTAATTTACATTTGAAAAGCAACAAGGTTTGCATCATTACGTGGTCAACCTTTGCCCCACTCCTGTTCAAAGGCTTGCTAACCAAGCACACAACTGTAAAATAGACAATTATGAGGGTCTACAGACTGGGAGATGTGGTGGCCTGATGGTTAGTGCTCAGGACTTCTGGTTGAGAGGCTTGGTTGTGAGGCCTGGGTTAAACACCTTGCCAGGTCTTTGTGCTTTGTTCTTGCCAAAACACTTTACTTTCACAGTACCTCTGACTCCTCCCAGGAGTATTAATTGGTACGGGTGTATTGTTGGGGAAGCCTGATACAATGAGGGGGATAACCTTACAATAGACTGGCATCCCATCCAGGGTTGGGGGGGGGAGGGAGTGTGATTAGCTCCTGGTTAACAAGTTTTGACTACAACCTAACCTAGTTACAGATGTTTGTATATCATCTCAGTACTGAAGTTGGATATTGACTTAACTTACTGTTGCAGAAGCACTAACAGCAGAAGCAGTTTCATTTGGGGCAGTGCCATTTTTATTGAGCTTTATTAAACAGAGTCTCCAGTGTAACCCAGCTCTCTGTCAGATGGCGTTATCAGCTGTGTCTGTGCTCATATGTTCAGGTAATGGAACAAATTACTGAACTCTTTACCCTTTGACCTCTAAGAGTGACTTGAATCTAATTTCTCCTCATGATATCACCCTGAATCACAAATTGAGGTTGTGAGAATATAGGAAATCATCAATTATTAAAACAAAGTTTAGCCGTTGTTGAACAAAACTGCATTCTAAGCCACCTTTAGTTTAGTGGAACCTTTTTCACTACACATTTATTTTTGTGGGTCAAAAGCCAATAGTGGAAAGACATTTTTGAAATCAACCCTTTTTTTACAGAGAATACCAGAGGCTCACTGCTTGTGTAGAAGTGCAGTTTGGGTTAGATCTTGTGTAAATAACTGGCATTTGATTTTTAAACACATTCTCCTTCTCAGCTTGTTAGTCCTAAAGGTAACCCTTTAACTCCAAGATCAGATTTGTAATTCTCCTTACTGTCAACCATGCGATTTTTATAATGTTAGTTCAGAGAATTTAGTATTGAATCAACTAATTATTCCCAAATTGATATTTTTCTTTATTCTCATCACTCATCTGGTTGATATTGTATTGATTTTGTAAGGAGAAATTCTGTCTTGGTCAACCATGGGAGTTAAAGGGTTAAGCTGCTAGATAATAGATTTTGTTTGTTTGGCTTGACTTTTCTGGTAAGAATGTAACCCAGCAATACCTGTTTAAAAGGCATATGATTCATGCAAATGAGGCAAATGACATGGCTAATTTACAGATTTTTTTGGTAATTCTCTCTTTACATTTATTTGCTTTGTTGTAATTGGATTAAACTGCAAAGCTACCGAAAGTGATTTATTGGCTCATATTTGGTTTGCTCTCTCTTTTGGCCTTATTTCGATGATAAGGATTTAACTGTATAGTGTTGTTTACATATGAACTAACAGAGAAAGGAAAAGAGAGCTTTACAGAGAGTGAGGGCGTGGCTACTTTATCAAAGGTGATGCAAGAGTCTGATGATGATGAATTGGTGGACTCTGTGCTTGAAATATTCACTTCTCTCATCACAGATGGTGAGTATAGCTTTAAATTAAACAAGACGCTTCGGGGAGGGGGTTGGGGTCAATGTGGGCTGGGTTGTTTGTTACCTTCAGTCATTCTGGTTATACTTGGAAAATAATAAATTTAATTTTGACTCCATATTAGCCTCCTAGGTTGACCTTCTTTTGGCCTGTCATGTTAGCTTTTTTTGTGACGAGCCAAAAAAGGCTATAAAAAAAATTGAATAAAAGGAAAAAAAAAAATAAGAAAGTCAGAAATGTGGGATTTTATGTGCAGTCACCCATCCAAATAGTAACCCTTGCCAATAGGGCTTAACTTAGAACGTGGCTAATTTCCATATCTGACTATGACAACACTTAAATGAATTTGTACATGTAAGGTGGTCTACCATGGGTATCCTGGGTCATGACCCATGACCTTTATCTCCTTATACAAAACAGAGAAATTTCAAAAGCAAATAATTGAGATATTTTTTTAATTAAAAGTAATTTTCCTCTAGACAATGTGAAGAAGGTGCTGGTCCAAGAAGGATTTGCAGAACAGTTGGCTAATGTGGTGTCAACTTGCAAAGATGCAACAGGAGATGAGATTTTGAAGCAAAGGACACAGTCTGCAGCTGACATGATAGTGATGCTGCTTACTGAAGGTCAGTACTTAATTTTTATACTTCTTCAGTTATTTATTGTTGGTTTGTGTTTTATTTTGCAATTGGAACTTTTTGCAAACAAGTATTTCCTGGGGGGAAAAGTTGCCAAGAGGTTCAGGGCTTCATCAACCCTTTAACTCCCAAGATCTCATTAGTAATTCTTCTTCCTGTTTCCTGTTCAATTTGTATGATGTTAGTTTGGAGAATTTGGAATTGGATCAACAAATAATCCCCTAATGGATGTTTTCCTTTATTCTCATCACTTGTCTGCTTGATATTTTACTGATAGTGTAAGGAGAAATTCTTTCTTGGTCACTGGCATGTCTTAAAGGGTTAAGAAATGAAACTACACTTCCCCTTTGAGTGGGTACACCTATGTTGTTTTATAGTTCATTTATTCCTTAAACTGAAGCCAAATTGACAAATGTCTTCTATTTACAGATGATAGCATGAAAGGACCTTCATGATTGTTTATAGTTCATTTATTCCTTTAAACTGAAGGGTCCAACATGTTTAAAAGAATTTGTTGAATGACTTTGGCTCTGACCTTTTCAGTGAGTTCATTTGATCAGATGATAGTTTGAAGACCCCAACCAGAAAGGACTCTTTTTTAGTGATGGCAATGGTTCTGTCTAAAATTTACTTAAAAGACCTCAGTTTCTTGGATTCTAGAGTAAATGTGAATTCCTGTGTTTTTAATTTCTAAATCAAATTTAAACACCCCTTCCAAAAATTTCTTGATCTGTTTCTGTGATCATACATTTCTTTGTTGGCTAGTGAAGAGAATTTGGATATTCATCTAGTCTGTGGCAGAAGGGAAGAAGAGAGTTGGGATGCAAAAAGTAAGCTTTCCATCACTGCATAAACCTTTTGTAGTGGAGTGAGGAAAGGGAGGGGAGGGAGAGGGGAAGTTAGGGGTGGGGTGGTGTGGGTTGGGCTGGGCTGAGGATCAAATTGTGATATTTAATTGTGATCTTAACCTTTAAAATTACACCCCACAGATGAAAATTGTATCAAACTTGTGGAACAAGGAGTCCATGAAAAATTACTGAATTTGCTGGCACGGAGTTCTCACCGAGAGGTAATAATACAAAGTAACGTCTCAAATGCTAGAACGTCTCAATTTTAAGATTTGTGTTTTTGACTTAAAGGGGAGGGGTGTTGGGGCAAAGACGCTCCAGAACCTATGAATTTTAAGATTTTTATGTTATTAACTTAAAGGGGAGATGGGAGAGGGGAGGCGGGGGGGGGACGTTGGGCAAAGACACTTCAGAATCTCTCCTATCCATGCCCCTGTGAAGCACAGTACAGAGCTGCCAAAGCGGTATGTGGGAGGCATGGGCTCTATTCCTATTTAGGAAGGAATCTTTACAAAACTTTTCTCTATTAACGTAAAGTGATCGGTAATGTCATTGTTTTTTTTGTTTATTTGTTGGTTTTTTTCTCTCCTTTTTTTCTAAGAACATGGGAAGACAACTACAAGCTGTTTTTAGTGCGCTAAAGAATCTTGCAATGCCAGGTAAATTTAACACTTATTTTTTTCAACAAAAGGCACATTTGTAAGACGTGAGGATTATTGACGTGTTCATCAGTTTTAACAACGCTCCCGATTTAACATTTATTGAGAATGATTTTGTCAACTAAAAGAATTTTAGAAATGTTGAAAAATCAATTTTATTAAGAGAAACAGTTAGGAATCAATTTTATCTATAAAACAGTTAGCTGAAAGTCATGCCTGAAGGCTGTTATGAGATTAAAGCATTTTGACCGACAAGACCTATACGCAAGCTAACAGAGTTCAATTGCCACATTTTATTGGTGTCACTCTCTTTTAACCGTTATAATCTTGGTCCAACACTCAAACTGTTTTTATTTTTTGTTTCTTTTTTACTGTAGCTGTGAACAAGTCTAAACTCGTTGATAGCGGCTGCCTGGATGTAATTCTGCCTCTTCTCACGAACCAGTCCCCTTTCGTCCAGTTCAAAGTTCTTGGCACATTGCGCATGCTCCTGATGGGACACGGTAAGAACTTGAAACAAAGCACATGTTCACTTTCCTTCCTTTTAAGTCAGTCTTCTCGCATTAGCATGGTATTCTTCTGAGCATGCGTAAATTAATCAGGTACGTGACATACGCCGATGTCATGCAACGTGGACGTCATGTCTACACCCGCGCTCTGTCCACGTGAAGCAGTGTCGGTGTAGTTGCGCTCAAGTGCAACGAGCACTTTTTGAAATCATAAATTCCCCCTTCTCCCCGTATGTCTCAGCTCGTAACCTTGCAGCATGTGAAAACCTCGTCTAGAGTCAGTATTTTACATCCATGTTTACTATTTTTGGGTGTGTGCGTAACTGAATTTAAATTTGAATAAAGTAAGGGATCAATATCAGTATCTGGGCAACTGCCCACCTACCCCTCCCCTAACTTAACAACAGTCAATTGATAACAAGTCAGTGTTAATGTTGGGTTAGGGGAGGGGTAGGTGGGCAGTTGCCCAGGTACTGATATTGATCTAGGGAAGGCCTATTAGAAAAACTTCCCATCTGGAATTTTTACAGCAAATGCAGTTAGCATTAAAACGGTATTAGTAGAGACAGATTGTGACATTTTTTTTTGAGTTACAGCTGACGCGGCCAGTAAGATCATTAGCAGTAAAGACCACCTTAGTACTTTAGTCCGATGTTGTGACTCCAGTGGTCACGAGGGAGTCAAAGCAGAAGCTAGCAGAATGTTGGCGATGATGGCAAAACAGGCCAGAACGGCAGGTGAGTTAGGGTTAGGGTTTGGACCACAGTTATTCCCAAGGGATAAAACAAGAATCAGTGTTCTTCCACACACCGGTCGGTTCTTCTAACAAGTAATCAAAATCCCAATTCGATTGTGAGACGTAAAATCAAAGAAATCGGAGCGGCCAATTAGCGGAATTAAAAGTATCACATGGTCCAAATGAATCAAGTAAATAAACGTGAATTGCCTGAAACGCGTGAAAATGCGATTGGCCGAGTCGCGATCCTGGATCTGATTGGTTGAAAGAGTAGGGTAAGTTCTCAACTCTAATGCGGGTAACCTAGTATTATCAACTGAATTGATAACGTAAATTGGCCACCGTAAAGAGTTTAAAAGCTGACGTTTTCGAGCGTTAGCCCTTCGTCAGAGCGATTGGAGGAAATGTGGGTTGTGTGCATGTTTATATGCAGAAAATGGGGCTACGCTATTGGTGGAGATATGGTGACGAGAAAACAAGAATGAATTAGTTGAATGAAAAGCACTCGTTGATATCGTGGGGAATAAGAGTGCCGTTTTGGAATTTAATTTAACGGAAAATCGGGCTTTTTCGACGCTCAAGTAAAAGTTGCGCCACACCATAAACATCATGTTTTCATATGTGGCCCTCAACCAGTTATGCGTCCTGCATTTTGCCGGTATAATCTCTAATACCATTCTGTCTTTCCCTTCAACACTACAGAGGTGTCACAACAAATAATAAAATGCGGAGGACTGGCTCCTATCGTAACCATGGTAACGTCAGAACATCCTATCATGCAGAACGAAGCACTGATTGCTTTGGCGGTGATGTCAACAACTGTGGATGGTGCGAATTTCTGTCCTTTTCATAGTTTGTCGAGTGTTGTCAACTCTTAGGTTTCCTCGCATTATCATTACGCATTCTTGAACCATCTGTTGCAAACTATTTTCAATCTCCTATCAAATTCCAAGAGCTACAAAGTGAAGAAGTGTACAGCCAACGTATTTTTAGCCGTAGTTTTTTACTCTTGACATTAGCGCTTCAGTACAAGCGTTTCTTGGCCCTCGAGTACGTTTGAGGTCTTGAGCAACGTTAGCCAGAGAGGTCTTCAAATGGTCTTATCCCCGGTAGACCTTTCTCGACTCGCTCCAGATCTTCGTGCGGGCGGAGAAACGCTCGTCCTGCTGCGGTACTATTAAGGAACTGATCGCGAGCAATTCTATTTTCCCTGCTAACAAGAGTCCTTGCCCTTATCTTACCCAAGTCCACCTCCTTCATTTTTTCACTTATTTTTGTTTTTATCTGTTTTTGTTTCGTTTTGTTTTTTTTTTTTACAGAAAGCTATTACCCTAAATTCAGAGACAGTGGTGTTATTCAAACGCTGATGAAACTCATTAAAACGAAAGAGGTGAATCCACAGTCATGCTACAACGCCATGGCTGTCTTGGAGTCGTTTTCACTTAAAGGTTCGCAAGATGTGTTATATTACCCTACAATGCAACAACCTTCGGTGCGTTTTCAAACGCATCGTTTGGCCGAAATATTTGGATTTCTTTTCTAGGCGCACTTATGCTCCTTTTAGTTACGCCAAAGAATGTTGAGAATTTAGTTTGAATTTTACTTTGTTTACCAAGAAGCTAAGTTTGCAAAGTCAACTAAATCAACTTGTTTCTCTTACAGAGTACTTTCGACGAGATCTGGAAATAGCTGGATTGAGCAAGGCGCTGGACAATCTCACAGCTCACGAAAACGAGAATGTAAAGAAGAGGGCTTTAATCATTCTGACAAGAATTAAGGCTCAAAAGTTAGTGGAGCAGGAATAAGGGACGTTCTGAGATAAACTTCCTTTAATTTATGGAACGTGGGGCTTAAACTCAAAGCCTTGGACTGGTGGATTGGAATAGAGCGGCAAAATTCAGCCTGTACTGCTTCGGGCCAGCCAAGAACGCTTAGCTTAGCCATTCAAAGCTTTAGAAGTGCACCATATTTTTTTCGTACCCAGACTTACCACGGCCAATCAGTTGTAAGATCGGTTTCAGTCACACGGTAGGAACTGGGTACGAGATTACACCATATCTAGATTGTGTGTTTAATGTGGAGATCGAACACAGAGGGAATTTTTAAAATTTAAGAAATGGACTTTTTTAACAATTAAACCTAGTAAGTACCAATGAAAAATGTCGTTTTCGAATAGATAAATTTTCTGTCATACAAGTTCGATGGAATAGTTAAAAAATAATGAATAAAAAGCTACGTTTCCTGCTTATCGACTCCGTTAGGACTGGTGCCCACTTACATGCAACAGCGAGCAGCTAGCGCGCGATATTCAGGAAACTGGGCCAAGAACACGCCTACAGATAAACTCCTTTAAGATAAGTCTTTTGAAACGAAAAAGCCGTTTTTGTCACCTGCATTGTCAACGAAGTCTCGTTGAACTGCTGTAAAAGTTCAGACAGGAACTTTTTAAAAGAAAAGAGAAGCTGTATTGGTCACACCGCAAAAGAAAACTTTTTTTGGTTAATTTCACAATTTGTTTTAACATTGCGTGAGCTGCTGTTAATTGCCAAAAGCAAAACAAGAATTATGAAACTTCTCAGCAGTTTCCCAATTAAGCAATAGACCACACAGCCTAAGGCGAGTGATTTACAGACTTCCCCCAACACCTAACGCCGGTTAATCGATAGAATGTGTAGTCTATTGCTTTGATAAAATAAACTTCGATATTCTACTGGTTTACCGGTGCAACAAACGATATGTTTTGAGATATGTTTTTGAACAATCAGCGCGCTCCTAGTTTCTCAATTATATAAAACCATTTTGCGGCTGCAAATGACATGTCAAGAATTAGTTTGATTGTTCAGTGTGGGTTGGTTTTCAGACTGAATCCCTGCGTTATAAATATTTTACATTAATGGATTTCTCTATTGATGCATCTTGTTTATTTCGGCACTTTTTTAAGCGTTCGCTTGGCTCTGAAAGTAGCAACTAAAATGTTCACTATTTAGTTTCTTTCTATTATACACGATAAACAAATTAAAATGTTTGAACGGTTAAGTTTCTGTCAATTTTTATTGACTTACGTGAACGGAATATAATGCGAAAGCTGAATCGAGATGGAAAGACTAATTCAGTTTTTGAACTCTCAATCATGCAGGTAACTGATTCGAATTTAGAATTGCCTATTTGGATAACTCTTGGTGTCTCAGGCAGGAGGCTCCAAGGTTTACATTTTCATATCAAATATTAAACAGTGCCTTTGACGCGATTGCGCCGCAAATAAATAAACTATCCAAATTAGTAATGTACTCTCGGTGTCTATTCACGTTAGGTATTAAATTGGTGTAAGGTCGAGGAATATTTCTTGCGGTAACGAGATGGAAAATATTGGAAACAAACCTGGTTTCGTCTTATTAGGAAGTGTAAGCGTTAAAAAAGGAGAAGAAAAATAAAAATAATAATAATTTTACGTATGAAAGTGTGAAGAAAGGAAATTAATTTTCTTCGCTGCATGCTAACAACTCTTGAAGTTTTGAAATTTTATTTTGTCAGTTTTTTTGTCATGAAAGTGTAGTTTAAGTTTGTGTTAGAGTTATGTAATAAGAAATCTTGCATAACACTGGATACAAAAAACAAAGGGAGGAGTGTTCTAAACATGGAATGGAATAAAGCAATAAATAAATAAAATCCACCTGTCGTAGTTAGCACATTAAAATGAGTCTTCCTCTTAGCATGAATCATTGTGCAAGTTTGTGTTCACAGCTAACCCACTTGCCTATCAGGGTTTTGAGTTCCTCTGTAAATTGGCGCAGTTTAGTGTGATAAACCAATGATAGGTGATATGGCGCCTGTTCGCCTTGATGACCTGCTTTTCGTGATATAAGTGGCCATCCATGGGCGGGTATTATAACAAATCGTTTTAAATCATAACATCTCGAGCTGAGCTTTGTATTGGACTGGGAAAGTCTGTGAATGCGAGTTGCCGGCTTTTCCATCTTCGTTGTCGTTTTGGCGGAAGTGAATTGCTTCAAATTCATTCGGGATAGTTTTGTTATCAAATGGCAGCTCATCCAAGTCAAACTAAAAGCCGCTGGAAATATTACTCAACTCATTATGGCCCGGAAAAATCTCCTACGTCGTCTTCGCAAATATGTAGCCCAGAAGAACAAGTTTCTTCGAAGCCAAACATAGAATATCCAACTTATGGGCGGCAACGAAGTTTTTTCCCACTTGGGATTGTCAGTGAGTGCGATTTGAAAGAACTGCGTCCAAGTGCTGAAAGGTTGAACTCCCAGGTAAAATGTAGGAGCTTCCCTTGTCTGTCTTCCTCCAGTCCAGCAAGATGGGGAACAAAGTTTGTATATTCACCTCCCAGAAGTCCAGGAAGTGAAGAAAGCTTTGACCACGTGCAGTCAACCTTGACAAAAACTCCCGTACGCGGGAATTTTCGGAAAAGAATGTACAGCTGCCCGAGCACTCCTGTCAACGACTTTCTTCGCACCGAAGTTCCAAATTTATCAGCTATTATGGTACAAGCGCAGTCGGTTCCTCTTGTGAGGCGACGTTCACAACCCTCGCCGACTTCCAGGTTTAAAACAACGGCCAGTTCGACGGGAAACCCAAGCCGATCTCTGGAACGCTCGGCCAGCCTTTCTTCCATAGAACGTGCAGTTGCAAAGAAACCCAGCCTTGCGGAAAAATCTAGCGATTCACGAGAGAATACACAAGAACTATCTAAGTCTCTGTCAGAAATTAAAATCGAAGATGGTGTAATTGTTATCAACAACGGTAAAGCTATCGATCTGAAAATGGACAAGGCCAGAAAACATAATCGCAGCAACGAAGGTAGAAGAAACTCCGAAGCAGCCAAGAGTAAAAGTTATCGAGAATTTCAGGACGCCATTCAAAAGTTGGAGGACGCACAGCTGAATTTAGAAGGCGAGGTGAACGCTAAAGCAAAGACGTTCGATACGAGAGAGAAAGAGGAGAAGTTTTTTAACGAGAATGTACAACCACATTTCCTAGATTTACTTACGACTGTGAAAGGAAAGAGAAGGAAGCCTAAAGGCAAAAAATATAAATGCTAAGTTTGTAGGAATGGAGTTGTCTGGGCCACTTATCGAAAGTCGCAATTGATAAGCCACATCGGTTTCTTTAAAAAGAAAATTCCGTGACTGGCCTGACTTTTCCAGCAATATCAGTTAATTTCTAAATTTTATTTTGACGTAGCTGTTTTAGGGATCGTTTAAAATTGTTTCAAAATTCTCGTGTTTCATTTTTGGACTGAACGACTCATGATTCCCAATTAATTTTAGCGCCCTGATACTGACAGGTGAGGAATTTGAGAAAAAATTTCTTCAACTTGTTGTTTTTCCGAAAAATGATTTTAAAGCGCAATATGAGGTACTTGTCTATAAATGTAAATGACTTTTGTAGAGCTGACTCGAATCATGGCAAAAAGATATGATTTAGTTCCTATTCCGCTTGTATATTTTGTCCTTTGTAGGCCGACTCATTTACAAAATATTTTGCCTCGTGTGTTGAATCTCTTGTCTGACCTTGGAAATGACTTGTTGTGCTTTGGATGTAAAACATCCGTTAACTGAAACCGAACATTGCAAGTTTATGGATAAATTGTAAACAATGAATTATTAAGGCTCTGCAATAGTTCTTGGGCTCGATCAATTTTGAGATTAATTGAACTGCGTAGATTGAGCCAGTTGGTATTCAGCCAGCAGAGATGTCTTCGGAACATTCTTTACCGAGATCAGCTGGTTTAGGAGAAAAGTTTTTCCGAGACTGATGGTGAATTGAAGAGGAGTGAATATTTATTATTTTTTTTAATACTTGGTTAATTTAGCTTGACAATACGAGGTGGGAGAGATGATCATCAATGTTTTGATATCTTCAATATAAACACGTTATTTTTAGAATAAAATAGTGTTACAACGGCGATAGAGTGTAAACATCTCTTAGGGGTGCATGACTAACTTTCGCTCAATCCCGGCAAAATGATCTCAAGCGATTTTCAGCAACGCACTTCTGTGTGTGTGATTGATTAGGCTTTTTCGGTCAAGATGCCTGGATTAAAAATTAATTATATACCGATCGTCAGCTTTCTTTATAAAGAAAGTCTCTATTATTTGTCCAAAATTTCGTCCTTAATAAATTTTTCTTTCCGCTGGAACAAGGATGTGAGTGCCCTCGAGCTGGGGAGAATAAATTTCTGACTGGCTAATAGCGTTGGGAAACTTTCCGAGTATTATGACGACAAAATCCTGCGGCTATTGATCTCAGTTACTAAGTACGATTCAAGCTGTCGAAATCATCTTCAAACTCATTATCGCACGGGCCCTGGGTACGAGAACTTTGCAGTCGGAAACAGTCCTACTCGGCAAGATGGCGATATGAGAAGTGTTGTGAATCGCTTTGTATGGACACATTTTATTACTGTTCTTTCCCAAAATGAGCCAAAAAAGAGTTGTCATCGTACCAGGAAACGGTGATGGAGATGTTGAACGAAGTAACTGGTATGGCTGGCTCCAAAACAAGCTTACAGAGGTGAAGCAAGATACCCTCTCAGAACGCCTCACTAGTTCTCTCTGGTGACGGGAATAGAAGTTAATATGTAATTTTGATTTGAAACATTACTATTCTTTTTAGAAAGATGTAGAGTGTGTTCTGAAGAATATGCCTGATCCAGGTATGCAAGAAACCGTTTTATTAGGACAATTTTGAAATCCGGAAGTACGGCTTAAAGAAATCAGACCTGTCTTAAAATGGGGGAACTGTAGGCCCCCCCTCCCCCCCCCCATCAAACTTTTGCAGGGGGGGGGGAGGAGCATGGTCTTTTATAATTTGTTGCAGTATAATTGCAGCATAAATCAGGCTTGCTAAAATGTTCAGTCTGAATCCCCCCCTCTAAGGAGTTCATTTTACAAACAGCTACAAAGTTATGCATTGTTAAAAATAGGTCAGCTCTGCGTACGTGTGTCTAGTGCAAAATGAAATGAATGTGTCATGAGATAATTATGTGCTTACAGCTGTCGTGCACTTCAAGTATATTTGGAAGTTATGCTGAATAGATATGATTTGGTGCTTACCAAAGTAGTTCTCAAGGAAATTGTTTGATAGTCTATTTGATAATTATGACAATGAGTTCTGAGTTTTCAAAGCAAATTGATGCATGGGAGAGTTTTTCAACCAATCAGGAGCAAAACTTAATAAAGTATGAATTCCAAAGAACACAACAGCAAATACCATATTTCTTGGGAAATTGTGACAGGCTACTTGTCTTCATGACAATGATGTTAAATAAATTGGTGCTTCTCATCATTTATAGTGGTGGCACGTGAAGGAATATGGATTCCATTCATGGAGAAACAGCTTAATTGTAACAGCAACACTGTGATTGTTGGGCATAGCTCTGGGGCCCAAGCTGCCATGAGGTGATTTTAGTGAAAAAGATTATTGATGAAAAGTTTATCTCTTTGTAACATGTCCGCAAATCAAGGTTAGAAGCATATCACATTTTCATGATCAACAACTTGCCCTGTCCTTGTTAAAGTACATATTGGTTGACATGTGATTTTAAACTTATAACAGTTTAAAAAATATGAGGAGAAAAAATTGCATAACATTTGGAAGGAGTTATCTTAATAATATCAAATTCTCCTAAATAAGTTGCAGGGAGATTTATACCGGCTATATGGGAGAGTTGGAAATTAAATCAAATTGTTAAATTCAAAGGATTGTACAGTGGTCAAAAGGAATGTGAGTTCAGTTTTCAAAGGAGAATGGGGAAAGAGATGGTAGTAAGAACGAGGAATTCTTCTCTATTTTCCCTAATTTGGTCTGTTGGGGCTGACTAGTGGCCGAATGAACAAACTGATGTTGATTAGGTCATGTGGCTTGGTAGCACATGGTTTTTGTCTCAAGAGTATTTTCATGTTGGGGACAGCGATTGCTTTGTTCATTTGTTACAGTTTTTTTACTTTTCCCACTCTTCATCGTGCAGAATATGCAAGTATAAAGTTTGTATCTTCCTTTTTACCCCCATGTGTTGTTAATTTAGGTTTTCTTTCTTCAGTTTTTACAGTGGAGGTAGATCAATTTGAGACAACAGAAAATGGTAGACATGTCTGTAGTTTGAAAGTTGTACACAATCACCAATTGACCTAGCTCCAGTTGTTTGAAGATTGGATAACGCTATCCACTGGATAAATCTCTATCCATTGGATAGCATTATCCACCCTTTATACAACTGGGTTCTGGATTAAAGTATTGTCTTCTACAACTATGAGTCAAAAAAGCTCTCTGCGAATTGTTCCAAACTCAATCCACTCTTCATCATGTTGTTATTTGTGTGCTGAACATGGAAACAGGCTAAAAGAAATAAATTAAAGATAAATGGCTGAGACAGAGTGTACCTGCAAGTGTAAAAGGTACTTTGATCAAAACACCCATGAAAACATGAGACCTGAAAATTGCAAATTCTTATGAGGTGTGGGTCTTCAAGAGGTTTCATAAAACAAAGTCAAGACTGTCTTTTGTTTCTCCACTTTGCACTCTACAATTCTGTATTTTGTTCCTTTTACTCAGATATGCAGAGAATCATTGTGTGCTTGGTTTGGTTCTGGTTTCAGCTTGTGTGACGGATTTGGGAGATCCCAATGAAAAAGCAAGTGGTAAAGGAAAATTATCATAACTTTTTTTCATAGTTCTCCTCATCCTCATTATCACATTTTGATGACTACATAGCTTGCATTTGTTTTGAAAGTATTAGCTGAAAGAATTGTTTTCACAGGTTATTACAATAGGCCCTGGGAGTGGGAACAGATTAAGCACAACACACAGTGGATCATTCAGTTTGGCTCAACAGATGACCCTTTTATTCCATTTAGCGAACAGAAACAAGTGGCGGAAGGAACTGATGCCGAGTTCCAACAATACTCTGATAAAGGGCACTTTATGTCAATGGCATTTCCTGAACTTCTTAAAAAGTTGATGGAAAAATTACAGGGAAGCTGATTTAAAAAATGGATTTATTCAGGGATGGGTTTTAATCAAATGAGCATCAAAAGTACCAAAGTGGACTGACAAGATTTTGATAATTGATGCATCCTTAACCCTTTAACTCCCACAAGTGATCAACAAAAAACTTTTCCCTATAATATCCTTACATTATCCACCAAACAGGTAATGAGAATGTTTAAACTCATCAGTTAGAAGTTGTTATCTTGATCTAACACCAAATTCTCATTACTAATTTACAAGGAAATGTGTAACAGCTTGAGGGGAGAATTAACAATTTGATCTTGGGAGTTAAAGGGTTAAGAAGTTATAAGTTAGGTAAGAAATAGCTACTAATTTTGTCCATTTTCAGAGTTGAAGTCTGAATAGAAAGGTGTAAAAAAAAAAAATACTGTCATGATTGATTGGTCTCAATTCATAAGACAAATTGCATCAATCTGATGATGTCCTCTTAGGCTTGAAATACCAAATAAACACTCTTGCCCTAAGACTGATTCCAACACTTGCTCTTGAGCATTTCCAACATGTTCAACAAACTGTGACCCTGTTATTTGTAGAAGCTGTTCTGCAGCATGATCTGTCAGAGATGCCTCTATGCTCTTCTCTGAGTCATGTAACTCAAGACTCAAAGTATACTGCCACTTCCAGTACATGGATGGGGATTTCTGAAATCACAATTTTTTAAAAACAATTATTTCACAAAGGTTAGATATGATCAAACTTTCCCCAGCATCAATCTTAAATAAGTTTTTAAACTGTAGCAGACATTCATTCAGTGAAAATCTGAAAAAAAAGTTGAAGTGAATGGAAAATGTAGAGTGATTGAAGCAATTGAGCAAATCTTGATCAAAATAACATAATGTTTAATTTAAGTTGCTTCAAGAAGATTTAGCATTGTTATGGTAACCCTATATGTCATCTCAACTTGTTGAGAAATGGTTAGGTAATCTCTTTTGGAATACCATTTTCAAGGAAACTAAAGAAAAACTGTGTAAACAGCAATCCATCAGAGAACTGAAAGAAAGAAAAATCAGCTTTGAACTGTGCTAACTTATCTAATCTCTCCTTACAATATCACTCTTGAATCAAACATTAAAATTACAAGTATAAAAGAAATGATCGCCAACCTGAGAAGCTTTGATTGTTGAACAAATTCTCCTTGTCAATACGAAAGGAAATATATAGACGACAGTACAGAGAAAATGCACACTGATGTTAGAGTTCAAAGGGTTAAGACTCACCAGCTGATTTGGCTTGTTGAGCATTTCATTCAAATGAGTAACTTCGCATTTTTTGCAGAAGAAATTCCCACTGTTACTTTCCACTTCCCTTGCGGCACGACATGTGAACTCTAACAGCATGTCTGCCACTGATGCCGTGGACTTGAATGACGACAGCTTGACACACACAGTGATCAAACTTGACAACATCTTTGACAGGCACTGGAGATGACAAGCACTTGCTTGCCAGCCATCCAGTCATTGCGCTAAGATTCCAGATCCTTCCACCATTGCTTGTCTCTAAGGTTAAGGCTTTGGATGAACTTGCACCTGTTTTGGAAAGAAAAAAAAATTATTCAGTTGTCACAAGTGATCAACATGTAGCTTTTCCTCAAAAATCTCAGTGCATTGTAAAGCAGACAGGTGACTAGCATAAATATCTTTATCAAATTCTCGTAACTACAGCGTAAGGAAATGAACACACATCTTGGGTGTTAAAGGGCAAAAAAAAATGACTGCTAGTTTAAACGTGTCATTTAATCAGTAACTCTTTAACTCCTAAGATCTCAAAAGTAATTCTCCTTGCTATCTGCCATGTAATTCTTGTGGTGTTAGTTCAGAGAATTTGGTTCTGGATCAACTAGTAATCCCCTAATTGATATTATTCTTTATTATCCTTGCTGGTCAGCTTGACATTGTATCGATATTGTAAGGAGAAATTTTTGTTTGTCACTCATGGGAGTTGTGGAGGCGCGGTGGCCTCATGGTTAGTGCACACGACTCCAGATTGGGTGGTCTGGGTTTGAGCCCTGGCCGGGATCATTGTGTTGTGTTCTTAGGCAAGACACTTTACTCTCACAATGCTTCTCTTCACCCAGGTGTACAAATGGGTATCAGCAAATGTGCTGGGGGTAACCCTGCGATGAACTAGCATCCCATCCAGTGGGGAGTAGCAATACTCCTAGCTGCTTCATGCTAAGAAAACCGGGGTTAAGCACCGGCCCCTTCGGCCATTTAGGCCCGTATAAAGGCTTACTCATGGGAGTTAAAGGGCTAAGGGTAAAAGAGTTACATGAGGCTAACTTTACCAGTAACACTGGATTAGGCTTTGTAGTGAACTGGAAATGATCTTACAAAAATCTGAAAAAACTCTTAACCATTTAACTCCCAGATCAAAATTGTAATTCTCCTTATTGTCAACCATACAATTCTTATAATGTTAGTTCAGAGAATTTAGTGTTGGATCAACTAATTATCTCCAAATTGATATTTTTCTTTATTCTCATCACTTACCTGGTTGATAATGTATTGATATTGTAAGGAGAAATTCTGTCTTGGTCACTCATGGGAGTTAAAGGGTTAAATATTTCAAAAAATTTTCATCAAAAACTCTTGTTGCAAGAAACTGATAGAACCATAGTCTACATAAATATTTTTCAACACAATAATTTATTACTGTATTAGTTTAGGCTTGGTATCATGTATAATCCAAAGAAAGAAATTTTATCATAATTTTGAGTTTTGTTGACATGTCATCTAAAAATACATTTCTTACCAACATAGCATACAAACAACCATTGTTTGATTGTCTAGTCACAAATTACAAGACCAGTGGTCTGACAAGAAATCTCTTTGTTGGTATCCAATTTATTTATACCTACCTGGAGCACAAACATTTTCCAACAAAACATTTTGGCCAGCAAAAAGTGAATCATAATAAATTCTGTTGTGATCATAAATTGTAACAGTGTGACTGTTGGTAGCATCTGTGACAGTTAAGATGAACTTGTGTCCTGCTACTTGCTGTTGTTTGAAAACCTCCATGGCACTCACATTGGTTATGGTACAGAATACTGTCACCCTTGTCATGTTTGATTTGATGTCCCTCAAAAAGATGCGTTCAGGAAAGGTCGAATAGTCCAACATCCCTTGACTATCTCTGATAACACTCACAGGGGTCCCCTGGGTACTGGAATTTTGGCTTGGAATTGTTTCATGTTCTGGGGCATGTGACATGCAAAATATGACTGTAGCTGGACCATATTCCAAGAAAAACAATTCATCCTGGTTTGGGACCACGTACGGTTGCTGAATAGCCAGTATGTCGCCTTCTTTGAACAGGTTTGCTAAAGGGAGTTGTTCATCCCAGAGGTATAAATTCACATGAACGTCGTCAGAATCAACTACTTTCACGCATCTCTTGTTACTCGTCTGGCCATTAGGAAAGTGGACCGCTTCCTCAAAGCCTAACTCGGCGACTTCAACCTTAACACTGTGACCGTAATGGGGAGAAGGACTCACATTAATATTTTCAAGCGAGCCAAACTTTCCAAACTGCAATAGTTCGTCCTGCTGGCATAAAATCACTACATTTTCCGAAGGCAGAAGATGAACTTTGTGACTGGCCGAAGAAAAACTCAAACCTTTTCCTTGTATTAAGCGACAGCTGGTGAAACGCAAGGTGAGTTTTTTAACGCTAGATTCGTTCAACTGGTAAAGCTTTTGATGTAGGTACATTCCCAGAGTATTTCTGCCTCTTGTCGAATCTCGCAAAATGGCAATCTTTGTGTGAGTATCTGGAACTGTTTCAATATTTTCCACGGCTGCTTCAAGGATTGATTCATATCCTATGCGCCTGCTTTCAAAAACAGAATCAACAGATACCTTTCGCGCTCTCTGTTCCTCTAGAAGTCCCTGAAATTGACTGTGTTGGTTCCATGACTGTTGAATCTCTGCCAAAATAATCGCCTTGGTGATTCCCGAAGGATAACGAGACAGAAGAGAGGCGAGTTTGATAAACAGCCAGTTCCAGGGCGGAATACATTTTCCATTTGTTCGATCTTGAATGTAGTTCCTCAGTGAAGTAACACACTCTTCAAACATAATGGCAGGGAGTAATCCACAGAATTCTTTAGCAATTTTTCATTTTATTTTTCCCGCCTTGACTTGGTAGCCAGTCCATAGCGTGGTTACCTAGTCTCACTTCTAGGCTCTCTCTGCTGTCTCTCAGCTTGGTTACCAAGAAATTCGACTTAGTCCCCCACATATGAGCGCGTTCAAAATGGCGGTCAAACTTTTGCAAAATATATATTTGCTTCTTTAATATTGGAGGCAAATGGCTTCCTCAGTATTCCATTTGCCTAATTATTAAGTGCCTACTGCAATGGCCTATCACAGGATTTTTTCATTATTGAGGTGTTCGAGTCTTCAGAGATGTTTTAGTTCGAGAAGACAGGATGAAACTATCATGAACGTGTTTGATCGAAAGGCAAAGAGAAGGCAAAAGAACAGAGCGGCAATGGCTGAGGATGTGGCGGTATATGATTACCTCAGAGATGAGGTCAGAAAATGATTCATATTTTTGTATTTGTTAAGTTTGTGAGATAAATTTCAGTATCTGAGCATTGCTGCGCATCTAACCCTCCGTTTAAGTCAACCGATAACAAGTTCGGGTTAATGTTGGGTTAGGGGAGGGGTAGGTGTGTAGCTGCTCAGATGCTGACATTGATCCAGTTTGTGTGGGATATGCATGCTGAATGCTGGGTGCAATCTCATTCTGGGTGGAGTGGGGGGAGAAGGTGTAATGTAACTGTTGTCAGAGTATAGCAGGTAATTTAGTGTTGACAACTGAGTTGAAAACGTAAATTGGCCACGGTAAAGAGTTAAAAGGCTGATGTTTCAAGCTTTAGCCCTTTGTCATTGCTCTGACAAACGTTTTCAATTCATTTGTTAACACTAAATTATCTGCTATACTGTACACTCCCACCTACTCAGCACTACAGTTTCTTTAGAAACTTACCCCCTTTATTCATATTATTATTCTGTTGTCAGAGTAGTTGCAAAAGTGAAGGCTTGCAAAATAATCATATTTAGTGTGGACTGGACAGAGATTAAAATGTGACAAGTAGTTTCTGTAATGGAATGATACTTTTTGTTTTTTTCTACTTCATTTGATTTCTGCATTGTCCCTTGAAATGATCTTTGTCAGGTGCAAAGACAGTAACAACAACAACAACAGCATAAACAACATCAACAAAACTAAAATACATTAAAGACATTTAGGCTGTAATAAAAGCACAAACAGCTCTTTATAGCAAATTAGTAATGGATCTCTAGTAAATTGTGCAAAGAAATCTTTCTCAGGAGGTTGATGATTGGAGCGACTGGTGGGTCACCATGATACATAATTCAAGACAGTACACTCCCTTAGTGTCTCCTTCTAGGAGTATGAATCGGAGCAGAAAAAATGTCTGGGAAAAGTGGTGTTGAGCGGCATATGGGGTAGAAATGACATATGATGAACTAGCATCCAATCCTTAACCTTTAATGTTTTTTAACTTCCAGATATGATCAACTTGAAACTTTTCCCTGTGATTTCATATATTACCTTGCCAGTAGGTTATGAGAATGGACATGCTTATAAGCTAGAGGATGTCAAAATGACATGACACTCAACTCTCCCCTCTCAATTTACAAGGGAATGTATAATGGTTAGAGCGGAAAATTACTAATTGGATCTTGGGAATGAAAGTTTACAGGAATAGTAAATATTCCTTTAAAAATCTTCAAGTTGGTATGTCATTAGCAGTAATTTATCATGAGGCTCATAGTTATGCAAGTTACCCAGTGATATTGGATTATAACCAGTAAATTTGTTTGTTTTTTTCCAGGTTGCTGAAAGGATGGTTGACAGAATAGGAGACATCTCTAGGTTTGTCTTTGTAAATATTTTTGGCTGTGAGGAAAATTATCAGTTTACTTTCCTTTCTTACTTTATTTTCTTTTCTCAGACATTTTCCTATGGCTCTGGATCTTGGTTGTGGGAGAGGACATATTTCAAAATGTCTTACAAAGGTTGGTACTGATTCTGTTCAGGTAATCCTAACTAAGGTTATTAATCCTTTGCTACCTAATATCAGTATGCATATTCTCCATACTGTTCTGTACACTTTTCCTAAAATGTTGACAAGGAGAATTTGTTTGACAATCAAGAACTTAATCTATAGTTAGTGATGATTTCCTTAATGTGTGATCCAGGGGTGATATTATTAGGAGAAATCAGATGCACCCCTAGGGGTCAACCCTTTCACTCCCAAGATCTAATTAGTAATTCTCCTTACTATCTGCCATACAATTCTTATGATGTTAGTTCAGAGAATTTGGTATTGGATCAACTAATAATCCCATGATTGATATTCTTCTCTATTCTCATCACCTGCCTGCTTGATATTGTATTGATATTGTAAGGAGAAATTCTGTCTTGGTCACTTGTGGGAGTGAAAGGGTTAATGAAGTAATATTCTTCTGGTTTGTAAATGTTACACATAGTTTGTGATTTAATTCTTTTAATGATCTCTTGATAACTTGATGATTGCTTTTTAGCTTCCATGAATGCAGTATTTTAATTGGCCAGCACTGATATGTCTTTTTTTCCCCTTTTAAGGATCAAGTTGGAACCTTAGTTATGTCTGATATGGCAGAAAATGCATTGGTAAGTACAAACACTGCTGCTTTGATCAAGGATTAGGAATCTTAAATCTATGATTATCAGACCTGTACATTTAGGCTTTTTTTCATTCCTTTCCAGGATAAGGAATCTCAGATCTATGATTGTCAAACCTATAGGTTTTTTTTATTCCTTGTCTGAAACCAAATTCTTGCAAAAACACAATCATATGTTACTACTCATTTTGAAGTAATAGTGTTTTTAAAATTTTTGTATCAATTAGAAATAATTCTCAGCTTAGTTCGGCTTTAGTATCCGACAGAACAGAAAAGTTTTTTTGTGTCTATTAGATCAAAGGTTGGACCCTCCTCCTCCTGTTAAACAATTCATAGACACCCCTCCTCCCCCACCACATCTTTAACTATGGCTGGAAGGGGTAAGGTCTTGGTTAGAGGTACATTTTGATTACCAAAGATATGTGTTAGATGATGTGAATTCATGCAATTTGTTTATCAATAATTATGTTATTGTTGTTGTTTTTGCCAGAATCAGTGCCCACCCTGTGAGATTCCATCTGTAAAAGTTGTGGCAGATGAAGAATTTCTTCCTTTTCCTACCAACAGTTTCGATCTTATTGTCAGTAGTCTGAGGTATGTCTTGAAAGGAATTTAAGTTTTGTGTCAAATACCTTTTAAAAATTGTTTTCATTACTTTTAAACATTTCAAACAGACTGTCAACAGCCATGATGTAATTTAATCACTCAAAAATGTTATTAGTGATTTCTTTTCTCTATTTTTATTTTTCTTTACAGCCTTCATTGGGTCAATGACTTACCAGGAACATTTAGTCAGGTATAACACAGGAACATTTAAACCATATTTAGGTACAAAACACAGGATAAGAACTGTAATGTTGTATATTTATTGTAAAGTAGGTTTTGTGGCTAAAAAAAAAAGCAAAATGTAATTGTTTGTCCAGAAGCCTGGATGCTGATTTTCCCCATCAATGGCCTAATGTTCTGAAGATGCACCAATGTGAATATGAAAATGTTGTATTTTTTTTCAACAGATCTTTCATTGCCTTGAGACAAATGATTACCCTTTTTTTGAGAGTTTTTTTTTTTCAACAGATCTTTCATTGCCTTAAAGCTGATGGAGTCTTTATTGGAGCCATGTTTGGTGGTGAAACTCTTTACCAGTTGAGAGCTGCATTGCAGTTGGCTGAAACTGAGAGGGAGGGGGTAAGTACAAGCCAAATTCAGCTAAGTTGTGGGGGTGGGGAAGGGTGGAGAGTAGGGAAGTATTAGTTGACTTAAATTAAGCAAGGGAAGGAATTGTTCTCTCAATAAATTTGGGAATAATTTTCATTTTTACTTTTTGGACTTGAAGTACGTGGCAGGTTGTTTGGTCTATAGTTTCCATTGAAATGAGTCTTTTTGAAAATGAGAGAAGAAGATCTTAGAGTTATCACAAATACTGTTCACTTTGTCTCTGCAGGGGTTTGCTGCTCATATTTCACCATTTGCAGAAGTTCGAGATCTTGGAAATCTTCTGACAAGAAGTGGCTTCTCTCTGACTACTGTTGTAAGTTGAGGCAAGAGTTCATTCAATTTCTTTGAACTATTTTGTATTTAACAGTAAGTGATTTGAAAGAGGAACATTAGGACTTTTCTTGCTAAAATGCACTTTAGTGATGTCACAATTTTCACTTACCTTGTGTTGATATCATTAATTTTGAGAAAAATGGCCAACAGTTATGAAAGCCATTAAATTTTACTAGGAAAAAAATTCCTGTCTTAGTGTTATTGTGTATTAAATCCTCAATTGTACATTAGCCCTATGAATTTCATCAAAAGAAAGTGATTGATGTTAAATAACCTCAGTGGAATTTGCCTAAGAGTCTAGCAAAGACTTGTTAACCAGTTAAATGCCTGATGTCTGGTTTACCTCTCTTATTTCCATCTACAAACATTGTGCTATCGACATTGCTGATCCTAGCAGTATGCAGGTCATGTGTCACATGACCTTCATAATAGACCTCGCTCACTGTGGAGTCTTTGTGGCCCAGAGCATTGGAGCACTGAAGCATGGAATCTAAAGGTCTGAGGTTTGATTCCTCATGGGGACTCAGTGTTTTTTTTGTCCCACGCTCATTACAAGACAAAAAAACATCTTTCTTTATAAAAATGGATATGTCAGAATTGATGCAATTTCTTAGGTTATAAGCTGTAATTTTTTTATTCACTTACGTCAGTAAGTTTAAATTGTTGTTTTCTCATTGAATTCTTTTCAGGACTTTGATGAAGTAACTATAGGATATCCCAGCATGCTTGAGCTCATGCATGATCTGAAAGGAATGGGAGAAAACAATGCGGCATGGAACAGGAAGACATTACTGCACAGAGACACAATTTTAGCAGCTTCATCCATTTACCAAGGTAAGATATAGAATCCTGTTACTGTTTATGAAATGGTTATAGGAAAAAACTGATGTACAATTGCAAGTTTGTGGTGTTTAATATCAATTCAAGAAATAATCAGTCTTGGAAACTTTTGAATAAATTTAAAAAGATAGTGTTGTACTTCTTAATCAATACTGAGACAAAATTCTCAATCATTACTGGTTATCATCAGCCTGATTTGAGCACTAGTGAAACAGTGTGCAAGTCATGCTTGTGATCAGACAGTGTAATAGAACAGTTAATGTTTCATGCTTGTGGTAATAAACATTGGGTGCTCTTGCTGTAGTTGAACTTTTTGCTAATAAATTCTCAGTTTTTTTGAGAACATACTGTAAACCGATGGGTAGTTTGTTTCTCATGTTTTGTCATAGTTTTGATCTATTTGTAACAGGACTTTCTGTTGGTAATCATAATCATGATTAACAAATGAGACTCCTGCTTTGCAGTCATGTGATTTTGTTAATCACTTACATAATTATGGACTGAACTGGACTCCACTCAGTCACATTAACATTATTTAATTGTTTTTGCAAGTTTTGTGTCTTTTCACTTCCCATTAAAACTTAGCCACCAGTTGTAGATTTTAACATGCAGTTTTTTTCCAACCAGAATATGGTATTAGCATTTCGGGGGACAGGTCCTGCTTTTAAATCCTCTCTTAACCTTTTATATATGAATGGAAGATCCATGCCTTACAAAAAAAGGAACCGATATGCTGCCCATAGTATTACCTATTCTTCATATCCTTTAGATATGTATGGTCTGGAAGATGGAGGAATACCAGCAACATTTTTTGTACTTTATATGATTGGTTGGAAGCCTCATGACTCTCAGGTAAGGAAAAACTACATCATCTTTGTTGATCTGGATATTAGTATCAACAGTACACTCTGTGTTGGAATTTCATCGATTAAGAATTTTAATATGTAGGACTGCCATTAAGAATGACAACTTCACTGTTATTTTGGTGGACTGTTCATTCTTTAGTTTTGTTTTGTATGCACAAATTTTTGGGGCATAAGATTATTGAAATTTCTGTCATGAACTAATACTTGACTGAAGAATTGGAAAGGCAGAGTTTTTGCAGCATTTATTTTTTAATCATTTTTTTCTACTGGAACCTGTGTTTGAGATCAAGGACATTGTGCAAACAATCTACACAGTATTCTTTAACCCTTAACTCCTGTGAATGACCAAGACAGAATTTCTCCTTACAATAGCATTACAATATCAAGCAGACTAGTGATGAGTATGAAGAAAAATATCAATAAGAAAAATATTAACTGATCAAATGCCAAATTCTCTACACTAAAAGCATAAGAACTCTGTGGCAGACAGTAAGGTGAATTACTAAATGATATCTTGGGAGTGAAACTAACTCCTCCATTTTTTCCAGGTGTACAATCAAAAAATTAAAGCAGGATTACTATATTAAACTCATCATTCAAAGTACCAGTAGTATTGTTAGTAACCTTAATTAAATCAACAGTGATTTGTTGTTTTCAGCAAAAAGCTGCTACACGTGGGTCTGCAACAGCAAGTTTTGGGGACATATCAAGTCTGAATAAACCAAAGGAATAGACTGATCCAGTTTAACACCTCGTCAACTGTTTTTCATTCACTCTGGCAGTTCAGAACTTCAAGGTTATTTTGGAAAAAGCTTGTCATACAACAAAATTCCTTGATCCAAGAGGGTTTCTGAACAGATGTCCTCCACTCTCTGTCAGTGTGGAAATAACAGGCACAATTATACATGGATTTTGATTGGGTTTACCTGTGATCTACTGTAGATGGGTGATACAGGTGGAGGACAATAAAAAAAATGATGTTGGAACTCAGTAAAGAGTGACCATGACTGCTTAGTAGAGGTGACAGCTTTGAAGGGTGAAAATTAGCAATAAAGGGGAAACAAATTTTGGACTTTGACAACTGACCCCTTAACCCTTAAATCCCACTAGTGCCAAGACAGAATTTCTCCTTACAATATCAATACAATGGCAACCAGATAAGTGATGAGAATAAAGAAAAATATCAATTTGGGGATAATTAGTTGATCCAATACTAAATTCTCTGAACTAACATCACAAGAATTGTATGGTTGACAGTAAGGAGAATTACAACTTTGATCTGGGAGTTAAAGGTTAATACAGGGTGACCAATTATACCTTGCCACTTACTACAGGTTTGACTTTAAATTGCGACAGTTTCAAAGCAAAGAGCAACAGTTTGACTGCACTTTGTGTGTCACTGTTCTGTTCTTATCACACTTTGGACTAGAAGCAGTCCATCCATTTTGTTGAGGTCTACCGTGCATGTGAAAGAAATGAGCAAGTAAAAAAAAAGGATTTTGGTGCACTGTGGAACAATTAGAGAGTAAGGGCACATCATCTGTAATCAGGATCATAACTCACAACCAATAAAAAACACATGTTTAATCAATGGGTAATAAAAATAAGCTTTTATTACTTTCTAAAAATTATCAAAAGTGCAGAATAAAATATTAATCATACTTGTAATTTACCACATATTGCAGAATGACTACTAAAGGAAAAAACCTAACACTGAATTATTTACACTGTTTCAGTATCAACCACAAAATAATTAGATGCTTCATTTGCAAAAATTTGCAAGGTGGTACAGTGTGCTACATGAATTAAAATTCAAACTTTTGACAGTTTTTTTTACAGTGCAAGTGATGGACAATGTTTTATTTTCAAGAACTTTGCGGCAATGTACATTTACTTGTCTGAACATTTCTGTTCATTATGAAACTCTACCATTCAACATAATCATTTTTTTGAAACAAGTCACTAAGGATTATTTCTGTTCTATTTTTAGCTAATTATATTACCTGTTATTACAAATTCCACCTATAAAAATTACTGTTGTGTATGCAAAATACTTTCAAATATTGAAACCAATTGAATCAAATTGGGATTCAAACATACAGACTTATGGTACAACAAAACCAAACACAAACTTCTCCATATCATAGTGATACCAAGAAACTTTGAAATCTTTGAAAACTTCAACTATCTACTGTACTCCAAATTAACCTTTTGACTCCCAGACATGATTAACATACAGCTTTTCCCTATAATAACCATACAATGACCAGTAAACAGGTAATGAGAATAATCAAGCTTATAGAGTAGTTGTTATCTTGATCTAACACCAACTTCTTCTTTACTAATTTACAAGGAAATGTGTGGGAGCAAGAAGGGAGAATTGACAATCAGATCATAGGAGTCAATGGGTTAAGGGCCAACAAGCTGTAAGAAAACTAAACAGCAAACAGGGATGGTAGCTAGTTTGTTGTTTTGAGATTTTCTCTTAACTTATTTCATTTACACAATTGACCTGTCAGAATAAATTCAAAATGTTCATGGTTTTTTGAGTTTCACACAGATGAGTAATCCAAAGAATAATTGGGTAATTTAGTTCTAACAACTGAGTTGATAATTTAACTGGCCATTGTAAAGAGTTTTAAAGCTGACATTTTAAGTGTTAGCCCTTTGTCATTTGCACTGACAAAGAGCTAATGCTTTGGCAACTCTTTACAATGGCCAATTTACATTATCAACTCAGTTAATACTAAATTACCCTGTTATACTCTCCCACTAATGCAACACCACAGCTTCTTTACAAACCTACCCCCCCTGAAGAATAACTGTTATAGTACTATTATTTAAAAATAGCTAAATATAAAAAATTACTTTAGATGTCTGGATTTAACACCTATGAAAGACTAGGCCTGAAAATAGGATAATTTTTTAATTTCTAAAAATAAATTTAGTAAATTTGATGACCTAAGAAGATTAATAATACAAATGAATATAATTCACTTGGCAGACAAAGGAACCAAGTAATACTTACAAAAAAAAAATTTAATCAACATTGAAATGCCATTCTACAACTCATTTCTACAGCATTTTTTCTTGAAAGGTCAGGCCTGGAAAAATGTGATATGGCATGGATTGCTAAAAAAAAAAAGAAAAAAAACTGTTGCAAACAACTAGCTCTGGAAATTTGGGGCCTAACATGTGAAGGCTGTCTCCAGTAATCATGGATTGTAGTCCTTTTGTGCAGTAGTAAGCTGTTAAGTACAATGACACTGTTCTCACTTACATGTTGGTTAAGTGGATTGTACCATAACTAGGAGTGGAAAATATCACACTTCTTTCCATGATAATGCTCTTACGCTTTAAAAGAAGATTGTAAATATCAGCTCTAAGAACAAATTTCAGTCATCTCAAACTGTTACATTTTATTCCAATTTGTGGAATTAAACATTTGCAGAAGTTTCAAGCCACATGCACAGAGTGTCATCGTTACTCTTGATACCAGATTTTTGAAGACAGCCTCAAAATTTAATTATCAGAGACAGCTAGCATGGTTGTTTTCTGAAGAATGCATAAATTAAGGATTATTAAAAAAACAAACAACAACAAAACTTGCAGCTACAAAATAATGTTACAATAATTATCATCAGTGATAATATATGTGACAAACACTAGTAAATACACTCTTCAAATATTTGATCAACATGGCTTTGTTATGACGGTATGTTGCTTCCCTTCTCTGGGATGAATGAAAATTGTTCAAAAGCTTCACTTTCCTCGGCAATGTCTGGGAGATCTCCTGCAAAAGATTTTTGTAAAAATATGGTCATTTTTGTGTGATGTTGATTGCTATTAACCCTTAAACCCCTAAGAGCGACTGGCACCTAATTTCTCAGTACCATATCAACCCTGAATCCAACATTAAGGTACAAGAATAAAGGATGTGATTGCCCATCCAAAGATGCTCTTGATTGCTTGACAAATTCTCCTTGTCAGCACCTTAGGAAATGTTTAGAGAACAGTGTGGAGAATATGCCTACTGATGTTAGGATGTGAAGGATTAAATAAATATGATTTCAAGAATGGGACAGATGAAAAGCAACTCAAGCTGGCGATAATGTTCATGACCACACAAAATCAAAATTGAAGCTCCTTCAAAACATTGTTATTCAACATCCCTGTTTTCCATAACATTATCATTGATGTCATCTCCAACATCAAGGCTGTGCTCTAGGAGAATTTTCAGGGCGCCCTTCGGGCGCCTAACCATGACAGGTAGGTCGCCCAGGTCGCCAAATATGGTGCTGATAAACATCTTGCATGCCACGGACGAAGCTAATTAAATAAACACAAATTTGCATAGAGGATGGTTTCGTCTTATTAATCAAGCGCTCCACTATCAAAACTGTTGAAACACAAAAATTAAATATGAGCATCAACCACTTCAATAGAAAAATTAGATCTTCAACACATGCTTGTGCAAAAATCGTGCAGTTTCTCACGGGCAAGGAAAAAATAATTTTTCGTGCTAAATCATGTGAAATAATATTACATAACACACGCGACAACTTCTTCTTGTTGTCCTGCCGAATATTTTTTAGTTCTGCAAATGTCATCAAATTAGTAAGTAAAATTATAAAATGTTAGTTACAATCAGTTGCTCGCTTTATCGCGTCGTTCAGTGGACAAGAAACTTGGGCCATGTACTACATTAATAAACCGGAAGAGAAACCACCGAAACGAAACAAGACCCATGACCTAACTTAATATTTAACCTAAATGTACAGATCACACAGGCTATTGATTGCACTGTGCTTTCAGCGCTTTTGCTTTTCGGGCTAACGGGAGCCGGGGAGCACGATGGAGTTTCTTTTTGTTTCGTTCCGTTCCGTTTCTATACGTTTGCTGGTTTCGTTTCGGGTTTTCACACAAGCTGAAATCTATGCGCCCGGACGGGCGACCGCTTTTCTTTTTCAGTCGCCCGAGACCAAATGTTAGTCGCCTAAGGCGACCGGGCGCCGCTAGAGCACAGCCTTGAACATCACCATCATCATCATTAATGCTGCAGTCATCAGATGTAGAAACAATCTTTCCACATGCAGCATCCCACATTTTTTCTTTTAATAACAATAAATTACAGTATATATGTTAACCCTTCAATCCCTTAGTGTGACAGCTTCTAATTTCCCCTTACAGCATCACTCTTGAATCAAATGTAAACATCATGAGATTAAAGGAAATGATCACAAATTTAAGATGCTCATGATTGTCAAACAAATTCTCTTTTTCGTTACCATAGAAAATTTACACTGTAGAGACATTGATGTGGAGAATATAAATCTTAATGTTAGGCTGTGATGGGTAAGATTTTGTGAGTGAAGCAAACAGCTTTCAATCAAAAACATTGGACTGCTTGCTGATTGTGGTCAAAGTTTCTATTGAATTATAAAGCCAAGAAATACACTCATTTTAAATTATCAGTGAAAGCAGATTTCTTATTGTTTTTTCATTTAAAACATGAATAATCTACATGTGCCTACTGGAATAAATTAACAAGTAAACTTGCTATTGCTAACTCTACTTGATGTTTCAGCTCCCAGAAGTGATTAACATGTAACTTCTCCCTATAATATCTAAACATTATCCAGCAAAGGGGTAGTGAGAATACTCAAACTTATCAGGTAGAGGTTATTACCTTCAACTAACAATAAACTTTTGTAAACAATTTACAAGGAAATGTGTAGCAGCTAAAGAGGAGAATTGACAATCAGATCTTGGGAGCTCAAAGGTAAAAATACTTTAAATTTATCTACTTCCTATACCTTCTGGAGGTGTGAGTTGGGGTATTTCCTTTGTGAAGTCCTCGTCAAAATTTGATACATCCGTCGCACTCTTGACAGTGGGCCTGAAAGGTGGTTTTACCTGCATGTTGCAAAAAACAATTAGTTAACTCCCACAAGTGACCAAGACTAAATTTCTCCTTTCAATATCAATATAATATCAAGCAGACAAGTGATGAGAATAAATAAAAATATCAATTGGGGGATTATAAGTTGATCCAATACCAAATTCTCCACACTAACAGTATTGAACAGTAACGGTAACAGTATGGCAGACAGTAAGGAGAATTACTAATGAGATCTTGGGAGTTAAAGGGTTAAACAAACAGTACCAGAAAACAATGGCATGCTGCAATGATTGGTTGCTCATTTGTATTGTAAGTTCTATTACCTTTTTGTTCAATATGTCGTCCCAGTTAATTGTTTCAAAAAATATATGTTTCATGACTTCCTTTGCATCATCTGGACCACCTCCAAGACTGAAAAAGAGACATGACAACACAGCCAGTGATCATTTGAGATAAAAAAAAATATATTTTCCAGAAACCCTTCAAGAACAAATTCTACTGAAATGCATCAATGACTTTTCAGTGTTTCATTTCCCAGGGTTTAAGGAAAAGAAAAGTCACAGGTGAATAATATTTGCTAATCACTTCTGAACTAGCCAATCAGAGTGTGCAAAAAACACTATTCAACTGTGTGGTGTTTGCAAAGTATCCCTATTGCAACAGCATGGTTGTATTATTATGATTATTGTTCTCACCGTTTTGTAGGGCTTTTTTCTAGGAGTCCAGAGAGGACACTTCTTGCATTATCAGTAATTCTCGCTGGAAACTTTACGTCCTCCTGTTAACAGAAAACGGACCCTTCATAATTATGAAAGACATATAATTATTATAATAACTACTGAATATTGAAAGTTCTCAACAGACCTGAGGAAGTATGTGTATGTTTCAGAGACCCTTTGATTTTTATCGCTGCCATTGAAAAGTAGATGACACTGACTGCATTTTGAATCTCTACAGAGTAACCAAGCCTTTCAAACTTATCTTCAAAATTAGACAAAGGATGAAACAGATTTTAATCTTGCTCAGCAACCTGACCCCTTAACCATGTCCTCTTTTCAACCAATCAGATGCAAGAATAATCCGCTCCCTTCTTGGTTATCTGTATGGCAATTTCTCACCCTGGAAGCTCTTTTAGATTGTATAAAGGGGTAAGTTTCTAAAGAAACTGTGGTGCTGCGTCGGTGGGAGAGTATAGCAGGTAATTTAGTGTTAACAACTGGGTTGAAAATGTAAATTAGCCACCGTAAAGGGTAAAAAAGCTGACGTTTCGAGCGTTAGCCCTTCGTCAGAGCGATAGATTGTGTCTAATACCTCTAACTGGTTAATTGTAATGTTTTCCTTAAAAACTATGCTTTTGTGTTGATCAATTTTCTGTAAGATTTACTAAACCAAATATAGTACTGTTAGTAACATTAATATGTGTAATAGTAAACAAGTCAAATTGACTTAAAATTAACAGGGTAATTTAGTGTTATCAACTGCATTGATAACATAAATTGGCCATTGTAAAGAGTTTCAAAGCTAGTGTTTCAGGTGTTAGCCCTTCATCAGAGTGAATAACTAAAATTAGCCTATTCCAGGTTTTCAGTAGTGGTGAAGGAGAGAAAAGATGAGGGAGGTTTGCATCAGTTTTTTTGTGACCCAACCCACTTACTTCTTGTTTGTCCACTCTTCTGCTACTGTCATGTTTTGTTTTACTAACTGAAACCCTGAAACAATCTAACTAAACATCTACACCCGAATCCGTACCGTCAGGATAAGTTCAAAGAGAACTTCATGATCCCTGTTGTAAAATGGTAGACGGCCACACATCATTTCGTACATGACTACGCCTACTCCCCACCAATCTACAGCGTGACCATAGTCATTGTCTTCCAGCACCTTTTGTAATAACAGACAAAAATCATGAAAACATTAAAGTTAAGTAACTCAGAAGTGTAAATCTTGCCTGTAAAATTTGATTTTTGAACCAACCTTTCCAAAATTCAATACTTTTCACAGACTTCATCAAAACTGTTATTCATTTTCCAGACTGACAGTCATAGGTAAAACTGTTACACCATTTGTTTTCCTTGAAATAGTTAGAGTTACTGTTGTAAAGGGTTTGTGGCAATTGAAAACTGTCTAAAACTGTCAAGCTGTTGAAAACTTTGACTCAAAAGTAAAGGAAAAGTCTGTATTAGAGACAAGTGACCCATCCAGCCAGAGCTTATTCTGGTTTCCATAGAATGAAATGACTAAGAGCATTACTACTCCCCCCTGGATGGGATGCCAATCCATTGCAAGGTTACTCCCCAGCATTTCATCAAGCTTCCCTGACAATTTTCCAGTACTAATTTACACTCATGGGTGGAGTGATCGAGGCTCTGTGAAAGTAAAAGTGTTTTGCCAAAGAACACAACACAATGACCTGGCCAAGCCTCAAAACTTATACACCCCCTCCCTCCCCTCCCCCAAACCCAGATTTCAACAAATTAACCATTTCTTAAGCCACCCTGTCTCCTACTTGACCCAGAAGTAAAGCATGTCAATTCATATACACCTTATAAGCCCAGCAATTATGCATGCATTGCTGCTTGGAAACTCCAGATTCCTACATACCAGACATTTTGCAAGAATATATCTCCGAATTTTTTTCAGGCCTTATTTTCACTACTGCTCATTAAGTAGTGTTCATTACTGCAGAGATCTCTCTCATATTCACTTCTTTTTCTGCAGTTCACATATATGATTTTTATATATTCACAGTCATTTATTCATCACTCAACAGGTTTATTTGGAACCAACATTATGATCAGCTTCCAGTTGGCTTGTTAGCTTAGTTGGTAGAGCACTGCATTGGTATCACAGAGGTTATGGGTTCATATTCCATACAGGCCTGAATTTTTTTCTTTCAGGTCTTGTTTTACTACTGGCTATTTAAGTAGTGTCAATTACTGCAAAGATCACTCTCATATTCACTTCTTTGTCTGCTGTTCAAATATACGATTTTCATGTATTCACAGTCATTTACTCTATCTCTAGAATACTCATAGTTCTCTGCATGTTCTTAAAATATCCCTACTTTCTCAAGAATTTTGCCATTCATTCCAACTACAGATAAACTGACCTCTGGAGCAAGATATTCAGGAGTACCACAGAAAGTCTTTGTGGTTGATCCATATGTGATGTCCTCTTTACAGAGACCAAAGTCAGTGAGTTTAATGTGACCATCTGAATCTAGAAGAAGATTTTCAAGCTGAGAAAAATAAAAGAAAGTAACAGATTTAAAGTTATGCCAAAAATCAGTGCAGCAAAAAGATAAAAGGCCAAGGATATGAAGAAATGTGTACCATACCTTTAGATCTCTGTAAACCACTTTGTGCTCATGTAGATACTTGACAGCCAGAATAATTTCTGCAGCATAAAACCTTGAACGGTCCTCAGAGAAGACACGTTCTTTAGACAAGTGGAAAAACAGCTGAGGAGAAAACCAGAATTTTAAACAGTTTTTTTTTCTCAACCAGAAGTGAATGGCAAGTAACTTCCCATGTAACTTAAGCATGTTATAATGTCATCTTGAACCCAAAGACTAAAGGGTGAATTTATTTGGTTTTACATTCATTTCTAGTTCTACTTGATATTTGTGGGCCATGTTTGCTGTGTGTAAATTCCCACTCATGAAGAAATAAAAAATTTCCATACATGCAGGTCTGTACCTTAAAGAAAATTAAAGAAAATAAGTGAACCCTGTGACTGCCAAGGGCAACTATATAGCACCTTATTTACTCTGACAGCATCACTTCTGAATAAAATATTACCTAAAAAGGTCATGAGGATCAAGAAAGGAATTGACCTCTAATGGAAAAAGCTTAACCCTTTAACTCCCAAGATCTTTTTAGTAATTCTCCTTATTGTCCACTATAAAAATTTATGTGACGTTACTTCTGAGAATTTGGTATTGGATCAACTAATAATCCCTTAATTAATACTTTTCTTTGTTCTCATCACTTATCTTCTTGATTTCGTATAGATATTGTAAGAAGAAATTCTGTCTTGGTCACTCGTGGGAGTTAAAGGGTTAAAATGATTGTTGCAGAAATTGTCTTTTAACAGTACCATTGGAAATGTCCAGGGCACAGTGTGGAGACTATTCACAAGGATCTTAGGGTGTAGAAGGTTAAGTGAATACACTTACCTCACCGCCATTCACATATTCCATAACAAATATTAATCTGTTTTTTGTTTGGAAAGAGCAACGTAGTTCCTGTAAAAAACAAGAAAACAGAACAAAAAGAATAGAAATAGAAAACATGACTAAATGGAAATGTCATATTTATCATTTCTCTTATCGCAAGTCTGCTGACAGTTCTGTTGCTTATCATTATAGGCTTTCTAGACTTCAAGTTTGGTAACTTAACCCTATAACTCCTAAGGGTGACTAGCATATAAATTCTCCTTACAATATCACCCCAAACCCCATATTAAGGTCATGAGAATAAAGGAAATGGTCACCAACTGGAGAAGCTCTGGGTCAAGAAACAAATTCTCCTTATCAGCATCTTAGGGAATGTATAGGGAACAGTAAGGAGAATATGCATACTGATGTTAGGGTGGAAAGGGTTAAGGTTGCGAGAATAAAGGAAATGATAGCCAACTTATAAAAATTTGATTGTTAACCAAATTCTCTTTTTGCCAGTGCCCAGCAAAATATATAAAGAGTATAGAGAATATGGATACTGATCGATGTTAGAGTAAAAAGGGTTATACAGAATCTCAACTTACTGTAAGAAAAGGGTGAACTGTTGACTGCAAAACTCTGTTTTCTGTCAATGTATGTGCAACTTCATCCTGTAAAAGATAATATAGTTCAAGACATACGGTTTCAGCTTTCTAAAGATCTTCACAATTCTGTCCAAAAGCTGACCCAAAATTTGTGAAACATTATCCTTGATTCTTCTTAATTCCTCACTAGCCATCCATGTCTAAAATCTTCTTCATACTTTTCCATACCAATTGCTTGTTGGTTTGTTGCTGGCAAAACAAATTTACCTCAAAGTTTTCTACCCTATCATAATGTGAATTGAGTACAAATGGGCACCACCAAAATGTCAGGGAAGCCTGATAAAATACTACCTTAAGATGGACTCACATGTCATCCAAGGGGGAGTGGCAATACTCCCAGTCCTTGCATGCTATGGAAACTGGGATGGCCACTTGGCTAGAATACAGACTTTTTGTCACTGAGGTATTAACCTCTTATGGTTTTAGAGAATAGACCATTTTACAGCTCTGAATTAGTTGCCAAGCCTTTGATTTGGAGTAAGGCTGAAGGTGACCTTGTTGTGATAGAGACCAAGATCTAGTTAGCATGATAACATAGTAATTTACATTTGAAAAGCAGCTAGGTTTGTATCATAACAAGGTCACCCTTAGCCTCACTTCTGTTCAAAGGCTTGGCAATGAAGCACGCAACTGTAAAATGGACTATTTGGTGTAACATCACTATTAAGTAGAGTGACCTTTACCTCAGAAAGTGAAAAGAATAACATGAAAATCTCTTTATAAATATTGCAATGCAGCTCCCCTAGCACCACATAATCGTGTACATTTCACTCAGGAAACAAAGTTTGACATAAAAGAAGGCTGAGTTAAAAGAATTCCATACTTTGGCGACAATAACTTCTTTCTTTAAAATCTTTAGTGCGACCACTTCGCCAGTCCTCTTCATTGCAGCCATTATAACCTTGCCAAATGTTCCTTTTCCCAACACCTTAAGCAACTGGAAGTCCTCTATAGTCTAAATGGGATATAAAAGAAATAAAAAATGAAATTAAAACTAACCAAGGAAATAAACGTTAATTATTTTTTTCTACTATAGGTCCAAGTGACCAGCATCTAATTTCTCTTTACAGCAATACTACTGAATTATTCATTACGATCATGCAAATAAAAAAATTGATCACCAACCTAAAAGCCTTTGATTGTTAAACAAATTCTCAGATCAATATCAGTATCTGGGCAACTGCCCACCTACCCCTCCCCTAACTCAACAACAATCAATTGATAACAAGTTAGGGTTAATGTTAGGTTAAGGGAGGGGTAGGTGGGCAGTTGCCCAGATGCTGATATTGATCCAAATTCTCCTTGTCAGTAGCAAAAGAAGTTATAGAAGAGAGTATAGAGAATATGAGTACTGATGTAAAGGTGTAAAGGGTATTTTCATGGTTTGAGACAACATATGTTGTGTTATTAGACAAACTATTGACCACATACCATTTTTTGATTATCTACACTTCCTATAGTAATTTCTTCTGACTTGTCACTTTCACGCAACTTATCGGCAACTTCTTGAATTGCAGTTATCCACTCCTCCCTTAGTGAAAAAAAAAAGATTAAACAAGCACTTTACTTGATGCTTTAAGTTTATCTCACAGCAGGGTGAGAGATCATTAAAATTGTCCTAATAAGCTCTCCATCTGGAGCTTTGAGTTCCTTTAAATTATGCAGAACCTCCATCAAGTGGACACCCTTGAGACCTTCTTAAGTGTCCTCTTAATAGAGGGTTTCCCACTTAGTAGAGAATGTCTGCTCAACCCTTTAACTCCCAGGAGTGATTAACATATAACTTCTCCCTAAAATATCCATACATTATCCAGCAAAGAGAGAATGAAAATTCTCAAACTTATCAGGTAGAGGTTGTTGTCTCTATCTAACATCAAATTCTCATAACTAATTTACAGGGAAATGTGTTGCAGCAAGAGGGGAGAATTAAAAATCAGATCTTGGGAGTTAATGAGTTAATAGAGGTTTGTAAAAATTGCACAATGTTTGTTAACAATTAACATTCAATAGTTATAACTCTGTGCTGTGATAAAGTTCCATGTTGTTGATGAAGCTATCCAGAGTTCAAGTTCGTTACCTTTGATCACTAACTTTAATTTGTTAGTTATAATGCAAAAACATAACAGCAAAACAGCAATGATACTAGATGCAGTACATTGATTCTTTCTTTTGGATTTAATACATTTAATCTGCTATTCCAAGGATGTAATCACATACACTACATTGTCAAAACAGTCTGCTGTCCCCTTAGTAGACGTTTTTTAATAATAGAAATTGGCCAAATATGATTTATTTCTGGTGTCCCTGTTCGCTTAGAGGTGTCCGTTGAATTGAAGTTTGTTATGAAGGGAAATTTAAGACATTAATTTCATGACCCGGCTTAATGTTCACTTGATAGAAGGTGTCCAGTTAATTAGGGTCTGCTTGATAGAAGTTTCACTGTATTCCCTTCTCTCCTTCTCACTTAACCCTTTAACTCCCAGAAGTGATTAACAAGTGACTTCTCCCTAAAATATCCATTCACTATCCAGCAAACAGGTAAAGAGAATACTCAAATGTATCAGGCAGAAGTTGTTATCTTGGTCTAACACCAAATTCTCATGACTTATTTACTAGGAAATGTGTGGCAGCTAGAGGGTTAACTATAAATAACAAGCTGATAAGTGATGGGAATAAAGAAATATCAATTGCAGGAATTTAGTTGATCCAATACCAAATTCTCCAAACTAACATTTAAAAAAAAAAAAAAATATATGGTAGAAAGTAAGGAGAATAGTATTGAGATCTTGGTAGTGAAAGGTTCACATGGAAGTAAACCTCAATGGATACAATTTTGTGCAAACCTTTCATTAGCGTCATCCAAATGGAAAGTCCTTTCTACAAGTGTTGTCCACTGCCAGCACCTGTTGATTTACCATAATAAATTAGATCAAAAACTGTTTATTTTAGATCATGAAACCTGTTTGAAGCTACTCTACACTGGTGAAAATTTACATAGCAAGGCAATCTTCCTCCTGGATTACAATCTGACCACCAGTACAAGCTTGTGACATAAGAACATCTTGAAACAGGGTAAGTCAGCTTAATTAAGTAGTCTATGCTCAAGCCAAGTGGCCTCGCTTTTAGATAGCATGAAGCCAATAGAGATGGTACTGTTACTATCCCTGGATAGAACGTTGGTCCATCACAGGTTTCATGCACACCCCCATCCCTCAGTATTATGTAAGACTTTCTTGACAGTTTTTCAGTACATATTTATATTCCTTGGTGGAGAGAGGCATTGTGACAATAAAATAATTCACCCCAAGATCCCAAAAAATGACACTGGAACAAACTAGGACACCTTGGTCAGATCCAGTCTGTACAAACTAGCAATTGGCCCTAACTTTCTCCTCTAACAGGGGTGAGATTGGTATAAATGCCTTTTCCAGTCTAAACTTTGCTGAAACCCCATCACAATATTTATTACAATCATTAATCAAACGTTCTTTTTTTTAATTCTCAGTCTCTTTGAACCAAATACCATTTTCCAGGTAAAAGGAACAATTTCACAGCAAGTCTCAGTTATCATTTTACTCCTTTAGGCCCCAGGAATAAAGATAACTGTTAAACCACACATACCTCATGATGAAACAGTTGGGTTTTGGTCTCTCTTGTCTCATTATCTGGCACTCTGAAGAAACAAATAACAAGGATCACAAAAGAACCTTGATTTACTGAACCTCTATGTAACAAAGTCCTCTATAAAACAAACAATACTCTTCAGCCTGGCCAAAGTTACAGTAAAATGTATGGGCAAGAACCTTAACAGCAGAGCTCGCAGGGCGTAGCCCCATAATTATACGAAATAGTAGTAACCCATCAAGCTGAAAAAAGTTTGGATGCATGACCGTACAACCGTACAAGGTGCTACTTTTAACATGCATGGTCAACTGTACCGCGGGCACGCCAACACCATGGCTTTATCCAGTAGTCCAGTGGTCAGTGCACTGGGCTCCGAGTTGGATGACCTGGGTCCTAGTCCTAGCTGACGCAAGGCGTTATGCCCTTGAGACATGTGGGAAAAAAAAATGCAAGCTCTGCTTTTAGGCTTAGCTAAATCTATATATTTTATGGAACCTTGATAAAATGAAATCCTGGTTATATCAAACAAAATCCAGAAGCCCAAAGGTATAATATACCCCGATATAATGAACAAATGTCAACACATGACAAAAGACTTCTTGTGTACCACTCCTTGTGGTAAAAGGTGTAACAGGCAGGAATTTCCAGGTCAATGCTATTGTTTCTTAGTTTGCTGGTGACTTTCACTGAAATTTGTCCTCTCTGCTTTAAAAGCAAAGTGCTGTAGCAGTGTACAGACCTGCACAATGTACTGTAGTAGCTTCATAAAGACATTTAAACACAAATATTATTTACAGTGATTTTTTCGATCCGAAAATGCTGAATAGCACAATGTCACACCACAAAAAAAAAAACAAACCAACAACAACAACAGTTAACAACCATCCCTCGATAAAGCAAACATCAAGATTTTCAATATAGTGAACCCTTTCATATAACAAACCAATTTCCCCAGTCCCTTAGTACTTAAATCGAGGTTCCACTGTACAACAATGTTGTACACTAATTTAAAGCTCTCACTCTCAAGAATGATCAGATATGAACTTCTCCTCACAATATTAATGTATTTTTAAGACGATAGGTAAGGAGAGGTAATAAAAATACCACTTTGGGGATATTCTTTGATTTAACATCAAATTCTCTGATATAAAATTATAAGAAATGCTTAGCAGACAGTTTGGAGAATCTTCATTCATATCTTGAGAGTGAAAGGTTTAACAACCACTATCTTACTCTGCTCTCAGTCTTGAAGAATTAGAATCTATAATTATTATAAAATAATAATATCTTCAATTAATAATTTCAAAGCCCAAGCCATCCTGTATATATTTTTTAAAAGTATGATGCAATCAAAGAAGAACAATCATATTTGATAACAAAATAAACAGCAGTGATTGCATATAGCAAAATCCTCATCACATTGCCTAAAAAATATCTGTTTTAAAGTAAAATGTTTGCTTGTGAGGTGGAGCCATAAGTATGGTAAATGTTTGTAAAAAGGAAATATTTGTACTTACTGGCAACTGAGAAGTTATTAAGAGGTTCAGTGTCTTTTGATTTAGGAAGTTCCTTGTAACCAACAAAACTACCATCACTCCAAAGCTGAAAATATCTTGGTCTCCAGTTTTTTATGTATTCACCTAAAAAAAAAAGATTTCAAGTTTTAATTAAACATATCAAATGTAGAGAGAGATGTTTTCTCTCTGTCCCACACTTGTGATAAGATGAAAAAGATCTTTCTGTATTTCTTTACCAAGCCCCAAACTTACAATCTTTCTTATTTTATATAAACACGACACTAACGACATCGCTAATGAACAGACGCATGGCAACTTGGAATCTATTTGTTTTATATAATAAAGAATTAAAAAAAGTTTTAATGATGACATCATCCATACGTCTGTCCTCCAATAGACATAAGTGAGAACCAATCAGAATGCATGCATAACTGAGCTAACCACAACATAAATTAAATCTAGCCGACTGTGAATGTAATGTAATGTAGTATTTCGTAATTAGTGTTAGTGAGTAGCGTAAGCGTTAGTGTAATTAACTTTGTATTTGTTTGTAATACTCTAGTATTTGTGCTTTAAGTGAAAAAAAAAAAAAAAATGTTAAAAAAATAAAAAAATAAAAAAAAAATAACTGAGCTTATTATATAAACAGATGTACATACCTCTCTTTTGAATCCATCCTACTTTTACTATGGTGGCATCAGAGCTTGGCTGGCTACTGGTTGACATTGTCTAGTTTAAACAGATAAAAAAAGGACTGTTGAGAGTTCTTGAATATTATCTAAGGAATAGTTTGCTGATACCAACACTTTTGAAAACCCTGACAAAATATGGTTTATCAATAGTACTGCACAAAGAAGTATATTTTATAGGGCTTTATATGATGTTCAGAGAAATGCTTGAGCTGTGATTGGTCAGAACGAGTTCATTATATTTTCATAAATCACTCGCCTTACATCACATGAGTGCACTGTTGAGATATAGTGCATGTAGCCTACATCATCAGTGCGAGCGCATGCAATTCACAATATATTTTGTAAAAGAAATAAAAAAAACTTGTTCCTCAAGCATTGTTGATTTATATAAGCACTTGGGAATTTTTAGGAACACTTGAGAAGTGCAAGAAGCACTTACCTTTGGCTTGTGCTTCTCCACTCTTCTCTCTTGTTTTTAAAAATTCCCGTGTGCTTGTAAAACTCAACAATGTACTAAGTATGTTTGTTACTTCTTTAATAGTTTGTTTTACATTAAGTGCATATCTTTTAATCCCCATGCTAACCACTAGTATTGATAGTAGGTCCTATCCTCTGGATGCCATTAAATGAAATGTCCTTAGAAGATATGAACAGTTTGTCTTAAGAATTTTCCACAAGTCCAATACAAAGTAGAACAATACAAAAATTTGCGTCAAGGAAATAATGCTGTCATGGTAATATCAATGAGATTTCATTCAATCAAGCTTTATGTTACAAATATAACCTAGTGAAAACAAATTATAAAAACTTTACTTGGCAATAATAGAAGTTATATTCCTAATAATCTCAAAGCTATACCAAGAAATAATGAATTTTGATACATCTTCAAAATTACAGTTCTAATTGAATTTGAATGTTAATGTTAATTTAAAATGCTTATGAAAATATACCAAAGTTTAAATAGGGAGGTTCCTCCTTTGTCTCGCACTTACTGCGGAAATAATTTTAGACACAATTCTCATTCGAAGACAATAACGATAAAAATTGGCAAGCCAGTGGCCCGAAAAAGTTTCTGAAACCCGTCCCTACAGTTACGGTTTGTTTGAATCAATTATTATAATCAACTGCGTTCCTTATCAATAGCATTGTCTTATAAATTCTTGCAACAAGTACCGAGGATTGTCCCAAAAACAGCTGTTTACAAATACGAGAAGACAGAGTTTTTGACCTTCGGTTAGACGGTTACCGACTAAGATGATTAAGATACAAAAATAAGTCGATCAACAGCTCAAATCGACCGCAGTATACACGTACAGGTTGTTTCTTTTATTCACGATTCACGTTCGCGTATAAATATTAACATTGGCTTTCGGAGAGTGATAATTTCATTTCCATTTTTCCAGAGGAACTCTGTAGGTAAGAACGAAAATGAAATAACCATATGCAACATCGATCTACGTGGAACCAGGTGGATGCTGAGTCGTTTGTTGGATCAAGAAAACTGAATGTCAAATTTCACGAAGTGAAATTCACTCAGGTCTCGAGTACTTAACTAAATCTAAAAGTTAACATCTCAAAGCTGCGATGTTTTATAATATGTTTATTGTAGATTCTATGCAGCTGAATAAATAATGAAAATTGTAAAAGAAAAGATATTATGCAGCCATTCAAGAACTAAATTACCGCCCCCACAAATTTACATATAGGCCAGTCGCACTAAACAACTCTTCCGAAGCAACGTTGTTTAAACGGAAGCTATAAGAGCTACCTTCGTGCTAATAACACAAAACGAACTTAACTTCAACTGAGACATTATATAAATGAAAGATTCAAATTGACCGATATTCCATTAAACGTCGACACTTTAGGGGCCGTAAGGAGAAGCACAACCGAGACATTTGAAGACATTCCGATGGACCTATTACAAAGCGACCTCTGCGGAAAATTCACGTATTTGAGCGAAGGTCACAAATTTTCTTCCTAATCTAGTTACGATCTAACCTGAAGGATGATGAGATTCGCAAGTACTCAGCACAAGAAACAGTTTGATGACTTACTTGTTTGTTATTCCGGGAGAATCCGAACAATATCAACGAACAACAGGATAACCTTCAGCACTGCAACAGCACCGAAACAGATTGTGCCTGAATCCTACGGCTATGGAACGCCCGAGGAGCACTAGTGACGAGTTTCCGAGTCGGGTGATCACCAGCTGTTCTAAGATGACGGTCTATTCCAACAACACCATTTAATTTGCGATTTACCAACAATATAGCGACGTGACTGAACCAAACATAAACATTGTTACATAATTTAGACATGAAGAATGCATTTTAGAGGTTAAATCAAGGAAATTTCGCTAAATTTTGTATGCGTATTTCCTTCATCCTCGTCGATCTTAAGTTTCTTGTTCAGCAGAGTTTTAGGTTAAGGACCCACGCTCGCAAGGGTAAACAAAACTTGTGAATAGTACCGCTACTATAATGCCCTTTTCATAGTGCTACTGGTTGGAAATATTCTCAGACTTTGCCAATTTTTACCATGGTTTTCTCTACTTCTCACTTTTTTTGCATTCCACATTAGTCTTACACTCCTTGGAATCACTTTGTTCATAAATACATTGACATTTATTCTTTTTTTTTGTTTAGTCTTGTACCCCTAGCTGGCAGGATCTTTGGAGGCTTTCAACGAAGATAGTAGAGGTACAGCGAAATTCGATCAGAAGATCAGTACCCAGGCCCCGTTATGAGCTTCACTGAGTCACGCAACGATGCACGAGGCAGCCTTTTTATTGCGTAACAAGTTAGAAGAGATTAGAATCACTGTAGACATATCTTGATCTTTCTTCATTAGACAGAAGAAAATTTCTTTTACAGCTCTAAACAATATAAGCCTGCAACAGTGAAGAATTCAAGTGAGAAAATTTAGATCAAAAAAATAAATAGATGTCTAGTCCCCAATTAGAGAATGAACTTCCTTGTCCCCTGTACTTAAAGTTTGTTAATCTCCCCATAAAATGAAAATCTGAAAGTTTTTCTTACATAGAAAAATTAATGAAATCTTATTTACATTGAAAATGCCAACATTTTTGTTCAAGGTTAGATGTGTCCATCTTTGGCCTTTTTTTGTTGGTCTAAAACATTTTCAGATTGTTGGAAGAGCTTGAGATTCAAAAGAAAAATCAATAAAAAGTCAGGGGTGGCAAAGGGGTTATGTTCCATAATAAATATCACTATTTTTCAGACTCCACCCTAATGCCATCCCAGAACAACTGCCAAAGAACCCTAGTGGATCCATCTTAACTCCATCAAGCTTGATTCTTTAAAAATCCCTTCTTTTCAGTTAGTTTGACATTTATAAGTCATTTCAGAAAACAACAAATATGTATTTTTGGAAGCAATTTTTTCATTCAGGTCAAATATTGGGCAAGATCTCTTTTAATTAATAAGGGGTAATGATCAGCTGAGATTTTCAGCAGCTGTGAAAATTGGTTCCTCTAAGTAGTGGCAAAGCAGGGTTCTCAGCTGCAATTTGCATGCCTTGTCCCTTCCACAGATAAATCTAACAATTACAGTGACTCCCTCATAAATTTTTTAATTCAAAACACAATAAAACACTGCATGGGTGAATGAACTTACTATCACACCAAGATACAGGAAAATATCTATTAACCGATGGGTTATTCATAGCTATCATTGATTTTTCAATACTTCCATAGATTGTCTGAGGTGTAAAATTTTGCTCAATTCTCCACAACACTGACCATTATAAACCATCAGAGGTACTTTTACCTTCAATACCAAACAGAATCTGAAATATATAACCTAAATCATGTTGATCTAAGTAATGTCGGAACTGTCCCATGTCCATATGATTTTCTCTAGTACCATGAATTTCAAAAAAAAGTTCATCAAATCCAGTAAATTTCCTTTGTTCATTAACACTCTTGTCAGCTGTTCCCTTTTTCCTATGTCTACAGGTTATTTTTTTCCAGTTAAGGCGACGCAAGCGACTAAAGTATTCTTCAACATTGTACTCGTCTCCTTCCAAACAAACAACTCCTGGTTTCCCTGGCAGGCAAAAACCAGTGAGATTGTAGTCTGAAGCCCATTGGAGGATATCCTTTCGCTTTGTTTTACTGTAAATGTGATGCATGTACAACCACATTCTCAAGAATGATGTGTCCTTTTTACTCTTACACCTGCTCGTGTCTTCATTTTTTTCTGTGAGAGGAAATGATCGTAAATCTTTATTTTTTGCAATGTATAATTCTCCATTGTCTTTGACCCATTGTATGGTTGGCAACGTGCAAAGTTCTCCGCGATCAAGCGTTGATATGTGCACATTCAAGTCATCGTTGAGCTCTTTCTGTATTTCTCGGTTCAGGGTCTGAGATCTGGCAAAAATCTCCGGTTTTTCATGAGGGTATTCTTGAGGAAAATAGCAAGATAATTCGATCAAATACCTTTCTGAATCACAGTCTACAGTTACGGTCAACAAAAAGTTCAGACCATTTGGTGTCTTATTTGTTCTCCTAGAACAAAATTCTTGAATATCTATGAGCACTTGGTCGTCTATTTTAAGTTCGTTCTCTTCAGGATACATAGATCGAAGCATCTCAACTTCTGAAAGTTGTAATTCTAAATTTTCACGTACATCCTCTACCACGTTGGCAGCCATTGCCTCTCATGTATACACTTTACGTCAATTACGTGACATAATTTATACCTTTGGTATGAGAGAACCGCAGGCTCAGAAAGATGTTGTTATTGGAGAGATAGACGAGAGTGAATTCACTGACAAAATCTCTATCTCGATTAGTATTTAATTTTTACTGTGTGAAAATGCTGCTGAAAGGAACAGAGAAACGAATGGGTTCGAAGATACCCTGGCGCTGAAATCATTATGGAGGATTCGAATGATGATGTCACCCTTACTTCATTTCGCCCAATCAGTCCAGAAAATTCCAAAACGGGTTTTTCTTTAGCTCGATTTTTTCAGAGAAAACGTCATGATACAAGAGTGGAAGGCAAGGTTAATGCAGCAAAGAGCCAACGTCTAGCAAGCCCTCTGACAAGTCCTCGAAGCTCTCCTAAACTAAAGAAGCGAACGAAAAGTCCAGAGCCGTTGTACCGATCATGGTCATCAGCTTTGCCATTGGTCGGTCACAGGACCAGCGCGCACAGCACGTCTGTACCCGCGCGGCGTGTCTCGCCTGGTTATCGCAACGTGCACGCCGTGCTTGGCCGTTTAAATGCGGCAGCAGGCGAGAGAGGACAGGTAAGGCTCGATCTTTTAGTTAAATCGTGTAATACGTCCACCTGGTAAAATTTCTTCATAGCCCCATACTATTGTAAAACAAATCTGTATTCCCAATGGCAATGTATTGTTTTTGTCATTGTTTTCTCTATTCGAGAACTGAATGCATAATGTAGTATGGGGCTGTGTGGAAATTTTACCTGTCCACCTTTTGATTAATGATCAGCGGTAACAATGAGTTATGGCAAAAGGAGGGGGGCGTTGGGATTTTTGGTTTTGCAGTTTTGGCTATTTTAGGTCAGTTTATGTGTAAAAAACCTTGGTTTTTCGGTTTTGGTGTTCATTGCGGTTTACAGATTTATTGGTTTTTGGTTTTCATGAAAAATACTAACAGGTTTTCGGTTTTTCCTATTTGACCTACTTTATTTGGTTTTGGTTTCTCCTTGATCTGAGCAGCAATTACGCACCTCCACTGATCTTGCTTGATGCAAATGTTATTGAGAGGAATGCATGACAAACCAATTGAAATATTGCAGGGATCCCTAGGGGGTTCACACATCTTGAATGACACCCAAGACTTTGATCATGCATCTATAGGGTTTCACGCATCTTGAATGACTCCCAAGCCTTTGACCTTGTAGAGCACTTAGGTCAAGGTTGATCAATATGTGAACCATGTCTTCCAACGTGCCAAACACACTGGTAATGGAAGGAGGTCGATTGTGGATTGTGTTGTATTTACGAAGAGGGGAAAGGCGGCAAGAATTTCAGAGAGAAAAACAGGTTTAGATGCAAAGTAAAAATTGCAATCCTATAGAGGACTCTATAGGACTTTGGTGTAAATTTCCTTAAATTAACTGGGTTCCATTACCAGCTGCTGAGTCCGCAGACACCACACTTGAGATCCTCAAGAGAGCAGCTGAAATAAAGCCTATAGTTTAAGTAGGTACTAGAAGATACGAATGCCAAGTCCATGGCATTCACAAATACTGTAGTGAAATTAGTGCAGTTTACTCTTTATGCTCCACTTGTCACCACTGTATTGGATCGATAAGGGTTTTAACAACTAGGATGTGAAAATGTATAGGTTTTGACAGTTTTGCATGTGGTTTTCAGTTTTGAATGATTTTTTCCTTTGGTTTTGTGATTTCTGATAGGCCCAAATGTCCCCCTCCAGAAGATAACAGGAAGAAGATCTCCATGCCTAGAGCAAAAAGTCTTAGCACATTAGTGAACTTTTCAATAATGCATTTTGGTGACTTTTTCGCCTTATTTTTCATTCCAATCCGGAAAAATTGACCCTTTTACTCCATAGATGTTAATGTTGATTGTGGGAATTGTCTTATAGATTTCTTACAATTTTGGCCTCAAGAATTTGGTTTCAAATAAACTAATAGTTTCTAACTCTAATGCCTAAAACAACAGTTTAATTACTCACAATGTCTTTCTTTCAGCTACGACAAGAGTATAAAGAGAGTGATTTCAAGCAATATTGGATGCCAGATGACCACTGTAAAGAATGTTATGAGTGTGGTGAAAAGTTCAACACTTTTCGTCGTCGGCATCATTGTCGTCTTTGTGGCCAGATATTCTGCTACAGGTGTTGTTATCTGGAGATTCCAGGGGTGATCATGGGTTACAATGGTAAAAAGAAGTTTATTGAGTCTTGATTTAATGTTTATTTAATGAAAGAGTGATCTAAGGTAAAGCAAAAGCCAAAATTCTAATTTTGACTTGGAAAACAGTGAATGAAGACCTACTTTGTGGAAGTAACACACCCAAATTCAATTTATGGTATTACCGTAGTTATTCGGTTACAGGGCGCACCGTTTTTTTCAAGAAATTCCTAATTTCTACTAAAAATTACCGCCAAAGTTTGGGTGTGTCTTATAGGCAAAAAAATTTCCCGAAACAATTTTTTTTTATCACAGTTACTGGTACGATTTCAAGCAAATAAAATGACGCACACACATTGACTTTTATGAATATGGTGGTTCTGAAAAGATAAGCGAAGTCAAATTTGCATAGATGTGATACGTGCTCGAGAGCAAGTGCTTAGTAATTTGATAAGTCACAAAACGAAACGAAAATAAACAAGCGAAGAGGTAAATACCTTCTTCATCCTTTCAGCCTTTATAGTGCACTGAGACCTGCATTCTCGGCAGTACATCTTGTTTAATCAAGGCTTTTGTTTGTGTGCGTGGTCGCGTGTGCGAAAATTCTGCTTTTGTTGATTAACGGTAAACTAAAATCAATATGCGACTTTTTCGCTTTTTTGTAAGTTTATGAAAGAATTTACAATAAACTTGACCGATCTTTACTCCCCAAACAACGGTGCGCCTTATAACCAAGTATTTTAGCGATTTTCTCAGTTTGAAAACATGCAATAATGAAGTTGCCGAATTGTGAGTGCGTCTTATAGCCGAGTGCGCCTTGTAACTGAATAACTACGGTATGTATCAGTGATCATTCAAATTTTATATATGATAGCAAACCACAGAGCCAAATGCTTCTCTGTTATTTATTAACCCTTTAACTCCCATAGTGACCAAGAAAGAATTTCTCCTTACAATATCAATACAATATCAATCAGATAAGTGATGAGAATAAAGACAAATATCAATTTGGGGATAATTAGTTGATCCAAAACTAAATTCTCTCAACTAACATTGTAAGAACTATATGGTTGACAGTAAGGAGAATTATAAATTTGGTCTGGGAGTTAAAGGAGTAAGAGGAGCGTCTGATCGTAAAATCTGAAGGTCTGAGGGTTTAATACAGTATTGGGACTCATATGCCTGGCAAATAAATGATACATGTAGCTGTCATTATTTGATAATTCAGCTCACATGAGGTCATCTTTCCTATATTAATTTTACTGGTGACTAGAATGCTTCATCATAACCTTACCTAGAGATATAGTGAGTTAAAAAGATTTGCAAAGATAAATCAGTGGCAAACTTCCTTGTTAAGTCTGTTTCCAAAACTCAGCATGGCCATCTCAGTGGATGACTAGACACTATCTTGGATATGGGTGAACTTGAATGTTGTATATCATCCATCCTAGTGTCCACTTTATGGCATGTAAAAGATCTCTTTCCTAACTTAATTTTGAAGGGTCTATCTAGAACACGGACAGCAGAAATAAAGGTTTTGTTTGTCTTTAAAAATGGTGACCAACTTTTTTCGAATTGAAAAATTTAAGTGGCTATTAAAAAAAAAAAATAAAAAATAAATTTCACACCCTGTTGTAGAGGGTGATACAGTTGCCAATATTTTAAGTAGCTATGCCTCTGATGATTTTAATTAGCCCTTTAGTCTAGGAATAATATTATGTTGTTCTTTATGCCAGGGTTTTTAAGGGTGTGTATTTACTGTCACAATGTCGTGCATCACTACACCCAGTCATCTGATTTAAATGCGGTGCGGAACCTGGAACAGCTACAGGCTGACGTGGGTGCTATCAGCTCTGATCCAGATCTCAGTGCCAGCAACACCAGCAACATGAACTTGAATGTTCCCAAGGGCTATCCCTTTGATTTTGATGATGATGAGAACTTCTGTGGTCCACCAACCCTTAGGAAAATCAGCAGCTCAAGTGGGACAGGGATGAGTTCTTACTATGAGAAGCTGGAACCAAAAGATAGGCCATCACCCATGCCAGGAAGGAGACCTTTTGATGCATTTGGAGTATGTGCAGCAGAGGCTGACATGTTGAAGCAGGTTAGTGGTAGCTTGTTGGATGGCGACTTCTCATACAATGTACTTGTAGCATGAAAATTTAGGAACCTGTTTGTGTAGATCTTTGACCATCCACAAAAAAACTTTGCAATATTTGCAAAAACCTGTAAAATTTTCAGCTTAGATGGCTGCAGACCTGTAAATTGGACATTGGAATAATAAATGGTTACCAATAAATAAATGTTACATTAAAAATTTATTTTGGGAGAAGAACATCATGAACAATCACCTGCACCCTTTGATCTGGTCTCAAGTTTCCATCAGTTGACACATGTAGTGGCCTTACAGTTAGTGTGGTGGACGGCAGGTTTAGAGGTCTGTGTACAAGACCTGGTCAGGGCATCGTTTTATATTCATAGGCAAAATACCTCACCTTCACAGTGTCTCTGTCATGGGCCAAATGGTAATTAAGGATTAATTTCATGCCTATTTTCAAAGTTGCAACAAGAGCAATTTCAGGAAAACTTTAAAAATAAAAGTGAAACTAATCCTTAATTGCCTGAGGGCATATGCAATTACTTGTTTACCACATACAGAGCAAAATTTTTGAGGGAATTGCATTCACGCATGATGTCCATGAGATGAAGCCTTTTCAATGCTGCTGCAAATGTCGAAACAAACTTAACTGACCAACAGATTCAATGAACATTTTATTCTCAAAATACAGTAAACAGTATTACACGACTTCATTTAGTTAAATCAAAAAATTGTTGTTGCAACAGCAAAAAGGCTCATCAGTAATCGTGCCCTTTAATTACCAAAAGTGTCCTCATGATTAAGAAAAAATGCCCTCTCTGTTAGCCAATCAGTATTCAGTAATTTTGCCCCACGCATGATAAATTATGTAAATGTGTCTGAGAAAATTTTGAAAGATTACTTTTGATCATGTAGGCTACTAAAGTATAATGAAATCTTTTCTAATACCCAGAAGTATCAGTGGGTACTGGCCAACTGTCAGGGATGCCTGATGATATGCTTGGGAGGGGAGGGGGGTAACCTTGCAGTGAACCAGCATTTCATTCAGGAGGGAGAGGTAAAACTCACAGTTGCATCATGCTTAGGCCTTTTACTAGTTTACTTACTATCAAGCTACTGGGAGTCTGTGCTTCCATTTGCCTTGGAAGGCTCTGTATATGCAGTTAATTTGTTTAAAAAATATTAAGTGAAATGTCTTGTTTTACAATGTACGTTTTATTTTAATTTTTCACCTTTGCCAATCAAGGATTCTTTCCGAGAATTATGGAATCAAATAATGTCTCCAAGATCTGGGCTGGACCTGCAGAGTCACAGGTTTCGTTTAAGGACTTATCAAAATTGTTTAGTTGGAAGTGAGTTGGTAGATTGGTTCCTTACGCATGAAAAGGCATCCACAAGGTACAGCCCTACAGTAATAAATGACTCTAAACTTTATACTTTCAGATTACTCAAACCCTTTAACACCCAAGATCTGATTTTAATTCTCCCATTTAGCTGTTACACATTTCCTTACAAGAATTTGGTTTTTAGATCAAGATGGCAACTCCTACCTGATAGGTTTGAGTATTCTCATAACCTGTTTGCTGGGTAATGTATGGGTATTGTGAGGAGAATTTACATGCTAATCACTTCTGGGAATTAAAGGGTTAAGTTTGTTAACATTGAGATGTTTAGAATTTTCAGAATGGTGTTTGAGACACTTTAAACCCTAAGAGTGACCAGTATCTAATTTCTCCTTACAGTAATGCTGTTAAACCATTCATTAAGATCATGAGAATAAAGGAAATGATTGCTAACCCTAAGAAGCTTTGATCTTCAAATTAATTCTCCTTGTCAGTATCAAAAGAGACATATGTAGAAGAGTAGGGAGAATATGGATACTGATGTTAGGATGCAAAGGGTTAGCTGCTTTTCAAAAGCCAGTGGAAATTTGTATCAAAACTGACTAAAGGAATTAGTAAAATACCCAAAACAATAACAACTGCAATGATAAAACTTGTATTAAACTTTTAACTCCTAAGAGTGACTAGCGTCCAATTTCTCCTTACAAAATCACCCTTGAATCAAATACTAAGGTCATGAGAATAACTGAGATAATCACCAACTAAAGAAGCTCTAGATTGCTAACCAAATTCTCCTTGTCAGCACCTTAGGAAATGTATAGGGAACAGTATGGAGAATATGCATACTGATGTTAGGGTGTGAAGGGTTAATCCAAACCAAAGAGAGATGATGGGGGCCTGGAAAGAAAACCTGCCAATAACAATAACCAAAAGATGTTTTCTTTTTATTAAAACTGAAAACCTTGCAACAGCAAAGGGAAAAAGTGAAAACCACAAATTGAGGAAGCTTAAAACCAGAGAACTAACTCTGAGGCAAAATTGAAAGAACTGATTCATTAAAAAGATAATAATGAAATAAAAAACCCTTCATGTTATGCTCTGTTCTTTGAAGAAATCAAAAAAAGAATTGATTTCATCTTTGTCAAATAACTTTTACATCAGACATAGAGCAATGTGGTTCAATTTTCAAGGAATTTTCATATTTTTTCCTTTTATTCATTTTTCTCTATTTTATGTTCATTATTGGATGTGAAATATCATTTCCAAGTTTAAAAAGAAGAAAGAAAATTAAAATTAAAAGTTCAAGAAATGCCAAGTTTAGGAATATTACATACAGGCTGTAGTCACTGTGACTGTGACTGCAAATCTAATAACATGAGAATGTTTCTATGGTACTGGAAGAAAATGCAAGAGAAAGTTTGCTAAAACAGGACTTAATTATGGGAATAGAAAAAATTGATTTAATATCGTTTTGTTAACTTAGTAGCTCATTCAAATTGTAGAAATTCACAAATAGTTAACCAAGAAGAGAAATATATTTAAGATGACAGAAAAAAGTCACTACCTGTAGGAAAATAGACCATTATGGAGATGTCCCAATCCTTTGTTTTAAAACAAGGTCATATGGCAAGCCTTTGAAATGAAAATAAATTTTTGATATCAAGCAAACAAATTTCCTTTCCACAAGTTTTTCTCAAGGCCTCGTTTTGAAAGTCAGATCATTTAGAAATTGGAAATGGCCTGCTTGCATATTAAACTGTATAATCCTTTCACTCCCACAAGTGACCAAGACAGAATTTCTCCTTTCAATATCAGTACAATATCAAGCAGACAAGTGATGAGAATAAAGAAAAATATCAATTATGGGATTATTAGCTGATCCAATACCAAATTCTCTGAACTAACATCTTAAGAATTGTATGGCAGACAGTAAGGAGAATTACCAATGAAATCTTGGAAATGAAGGGTTAACTTATTTGATTCACTCATAACCCATTCACTGGGTTTTACATTATCAGGTCAAAGTTAGGTACACTATGATTGACTGTTAAATTCTCTTTTCAACTATAATTTTTACAGGGATATTATAATGGAAATTGGCCACTGTGAAGAGTTTAGAAACTGATGTTTCAAGCGTTGGCCCCTAGTTAGAGCTATTGATTAAAGGGCTAAGGCTCTGTTCCATCACTCTGACAAAAGGGCTAATGCTCAAGATGTCAGCTTTGAAACTCTCTTCAGTGGCCAATTTACATTATCAACTCAGGTGATTATACTTAATACCCTGTTATACTCTCCTACCAATGCAGCACCACAGTTTCTTTAGAAACTTACCCCCTTTATAATTTATATAATTTCTCTAGACAACAAGCAGTGATGATAGGACAAGGCTTACTGGAGTCTGGCTGGCTGGAACCTGTTCCAAACACTCGTGATGGGGGAGCAGTATTCAAAGATGAATATATCCTTTACCAGCCTGGAGTTGTAAGTACTGGTACATGGCTTACCTTGCTCTGTACCCATTTTGTGTATTTTTACCCAAGCGCTGTGTGGATTTGTAATTCTCAAGAGAGATAAAAGGGTTTTAATTAAGAGAACTAAAAAGATGATTAATGAGCAGATTAGCAAGGGCCTTGGACTTTCAATCTGGAAGTTCTTGGCTGCCAGTCGTGCTCTTATTACCAGCAGGAGATGATTCTTGGTTGGATTGTGTCCAGTTCCTGGGTCAACCAAACTGGTTTGCCTCATGGAAGATGGCCTTTTAACCCGTTAAATCCCAAGATCTGATTGTTAATTTTCCCCTCTAGCTTCTGATCATTTTCCTGCAACTTGGTTGCAAGAATTTGCTGTTAAATCAAGTTGAAAATTTTAACCTAATAAGTTTGAGTATTCTCATTACCTGTTTGCTGGATAATGTGTGGGTGTTCTAGGGAGAAGTTACATGTCAATCACTTTTGAGAGTTGAAGGGTTAAACGATTTTGAGTTTGTTTGGAACCATGTGTTTGTAGTTTCTTTTATGTTCATTCTTTGTGCATGGAACTGTTTGATCACTAGGAATTGTGTCACCTCAATAATTACATCTTTATCTTTTAAGGCTGCAGCACGTGAGATTTCCACCAAGAGACCGTCTTTATTCTGGTCAGATTCTGCTGATAAAAACGAGCCACTGAATGAGAGTGATGAGATACAAAACATTCCTGAAAATGTTGATGATGATAATGATGAAATGGTGCCGCACTGGTTTCGTCAACTAGAGCAGCAAGGAGTGGAATCGGCCATTGAAGAATTTGACACTAGTTTCAGTCTTGAGGTAAGTTTTCGATTTTTATTTAGTTGAAAAGCTTGAGGTCAGAATGTTCAATCTACTTGTATTGTTTGGTCTTATTGAAGATGTTGCAAAAAAGCTTCATTTTTGGATATGACTTTAGTTTTAACCCTTTAACTCTCATGAGTGACCAAGACAGAATTTCTCCTTACAATATCAATACAATATCAACCAGATAAGTGTTGAGAATAGAAAGAAATATCAAATTTGGGAATAATTAGTTGATCCAATACTAAATTCTCTGAACTAACATCATAAGAATTGTATGGTTGACAGTCACGAGAATTACAAATTTGGTCTGGGAGTTAAAGGGTTGAATTTTTAATTAGTAGATTTTGAAAGATATTTCATTCAATGAAAATGTGAAAATGAATGCAGTTTTATGTTTCAATGTGGTTTTAAACATGAGTAAGAAAAGATAATGTTTGCTGGTGACACATGATTAATGAAAGTGGAATTGGTGTAATTTTAGTATGCTTATAGAAATATGAAAAGTTGGTTGGTATATCAAAATCTTTTTTTTTGCAAACTTTTACACCAAATATGATAAGTGATTAATGAAGCAAATACAGTCATGTAACTATACTCTCCTGTTATGATCCGACATTTCCCTGATAACAACTTTAATTGATTTGGTAGACAGATGTGGCTTTGAACTTTTACCTAATGTTTTTCACTTTTTAAGAATAGACTGATCCAAAATATGTCCACTTACCTATTAATCTACTCTTGCATACTTTATTTTTATGCTTTGAAATGCAACAAAGTTGTTGTGGCTAATAATTAAACTATGGAAGCAGGAGATAATTCTCTTGGAAAGTGGTATATTTTTTTATCTGATCCAATCAAAACTTCAAGTAACCAGGCTTACCCTTCAGCAGTACTCTTTTTTTTTTTTTGGTTTACACTTTGTCCACAGTGGTAAGAATATGGTTTCAAGTCCATAGTCTGTTTACATTTATCTTTCAGGCACCTGGAAAATTGAACAATCATAAAACAGGTATTCTGATCACTACCCTTGGCAATACTTTAGTTTTTTTTTTTTTTTTTTTTTTTTTTTTTTGTGGGGGGGTCAGCATTTTTCCTCCCTACATTAAAAAAAACCCCTAGAAATTGTAATTAGGCCCTAATAAAAATTTTGGCTTCTTTCTTTGCATTGTTTGCAATCTTTTCTTGTATTTAATCATGGTGCAATCCCAAAATTATTCTTTTAGATTCCTTAAAATCTTGGGTATTTTTTGGCAAATTCTCTTGCATTCTTGAGTCCAATCTTTATTCCTCCCCAAGAAGAGACTACATTTCTTTAGCAAAGGACTGAGGGTAAAATTTCTGCTACACCTGTAATTGGCTGCATAGCCAGCTGAAATTCTAATTGGATGAATCAGAAGCAGTGGGCTAAAAGACACTTTGAAAGTATGCCAGTACTGGCCTTTACTTTCTCTTAGTCAGGGAAGATGAGCAAGAAAATGCTTCATTAAAAAACCGCCACATTCGCTTGTGTCCGACTACTTTACTCGTCTTTGCTAATTGAGGGCTTGGCACAGGCCCTACCTTTGCTAAATCTGATCGATGTTCAATCCAATTTTAATTTAGTTTTGATACAATCATTTTTGTTTGGTTACGATAAAGGACCAAAAGTACTGGACCTTGACCTGATGAATGGTGTCGCTACAGAGGGTGGAAACAGCGAGATGTCACTCAAGGTTGACTTGCATCATTTTGGAGAGGTGTGTATGCGCTCTTAATCTTTAGGCTCCCAAGAGCTAAATATGAATTCCTACACTGTTTACCGTACATTTTTCTCAATTTTAGATCTGAGAATTTGGTATTAAAGCTACCAGCTTTGTTATATATATAGTGCTGTTTTAAAATGTATACCTCCGCTTACTTCGATAAACTGATTCTTCAATCTCAGCCAGGAAAACTTAGCACAACATCCCCAGATACCAGTGGTGAAACAAAAGCATCACAGCTTTCCCTGATCACTGATGTTCCCCCACCCCCACTGGAACAGTATGTGTACAATGAAGGGTACCCATACACCCCTTTGAGACCAAGTAACAAAAAGAATCAAGAAGAATTGGTTTTGAGCACCAGTAATACTCCTGACGAGATCTTCAGTGGTGCTATGATAGCAAGAAAGATTGGTGTGGACCGACCTCCAGAACCTGAACTTGGCGAACTCAGAGAAGACAATGGAGAGAGACTAGCCATGGAACGGCTGAGGTACGTTGCGTCCTTCGTGGTAATAATTAGAACAGCTATGTAATCTGAAAGGGTGCTTTTGGATAGAGTTTCGCGATAGAGCGTCCAAAACTTATCCGAGATTGTATTGGTTTGCTTTACTTTGCTCTGTGATTGGTTCAGAAAAACTCGCGTCACTCTCTCAACCAATCAGATTCAAAACTGAAACCAATCACGACTTGGTCGCCTGTATTTTCCCGCCCTTTTAGCTCTTGGTTGGTTTTTATTTTGAGTTTTCATTGGCTCCTAAAGATATTTCCTTTCTTCTGTTCGGCCGTTGTGGTTACATTGGTTTTAGTTTCACACAACTCTCAATCAACAAGCGCTCTATTACAAGGTGCCAATGAGAACTCAAAGTGAAAACAAGCAGAGGGCCTGCAGCGCGGGAAAACGTAGGTGACCAAAACGCGATTGATTTTAGTTTCAATCTGATTGGTTGTGTAGTTGGCGCGAGTTTTTTAGACCAATGACAGCAAAGTAAAACAAAACCATCGCAATCTTGTTTCACTCTCTACGCTCAATTGAAAATTGCTCTTAACTAGTTTTCTTGCTTACATTTTTGTAACGTGGATTCCTGGCAAGACATAACGCACTGTAATTTAGACCGAGGAGGTCTAGTTCGATTGGTGACCATAGTCTTCTGTTTTTTTTTACAACAATACTCTAAATTCGGAAGTGTCTCTGTCTACACACGAGCGTAAATTGAACAGAACTCCCCGATCAACTTTTCCGCAGTCGCCCATTATAAAGAGTTCGTCGGGAGTGAAAATTCAGTCGTCAAAATAAAAAACTGAGGGGGAAATTGCCAAAAAAGACGCCAGAAAACTCGTTGCTGTTTTAATCCGTTGTTTTTTTTCAGGACTTCTCATGCTTACCATTTGAATATACTGTTGGAACAGCTACTGAAGGATGCTGGACTATCAGTTGATTGGAAAGATACCATACTACCCCTTGTAATGAGAATTAGTGAACAGGTAACAAAAATAAAAGGCAGTGAGCATCTAATTTCTCCTTACATTATCGCCCCTGAATCGCGCATTTAGGTCACGAGAATACACGAAGTGATTACCAACTAAAGAAGCCCTTGATTGTTAAACAAATTCTCCTGTTGGACATTTAAAGGTCTGGAAATTGAGAGAAATATCATCAGATGTCCTCAGTTTTAGCTCGGGCATATCTGCTCTAGCCTGTTCTAGGCGATCGGTCTGTGAAACAAAAGGCGATGATAAACGGCTGAGGAGTGAAAAAAACGAGTGGGGTTTGGGTCGGGTCGCGTACGCCTGGAGCAGGCTCTATCTAGACACGGACGCGTTTAGTCCAATCATACGTTCTTTTTCGTTTTTTCATTGCACAGGTGACTCCTGATGTTCGTAGAGACGATGATATGAACATATGTGAGTATGTGAAGTTCAAAAAGATTCCTGGTGGAAATAAAAGTGACTGTGAAATGATCAGTGGAGTTGTGTTCACCAAGAACATCGCGAATAAAAAGATGGCCTCTATGCTGAGTAATCCTAAAATTCTGGTCCTTAGGTGTGCTATTGACTATCAGGTGCGTGACATGCAAAAAGAATTCACCATTAATCTTTTGACCCCTAAGAGAGCATAGAATTTCGCCCTTTAATATCACCCCTGAATGAAACATTAAGGTCACCAGAATGAAGGAAATGATCGCCAACTGAATATGCTCGAGATTTTTCAAATAAATTCTCCTTGTCAGCCCGAGGAGAATATGCATACTGGTGTGAAAGTGTAAAGGGTTAATGACATTTTCAAATGCAATTCTGGTTTTGTTGACTGTTGCGTTTGGTTTACCTTGAGAAACTACATGTAATATCTTTGATCGTGCTGGTGCTTGCCAAAACTTTGATACAGGCAGACATTTTTAGAGATGGCACAAGTGGTTATATAGGTTTGGAGACAACACCTACTTTAAACAAAATATTGAGACCAGGAGATTAGGTGTACCTCTAATGTTAAAGACATCGAACTCTGTAAATCATTGTAGTTCTTTTTTTTCCGTGCAGTGCATGATTGATTCCATGTCTTCCATTTTAGCGAAATGAAAATCGCCTGGCATCTTTGGATCCTCTTGTCCTTCAAGAATCCGAGTTTCTTAAGAACTTTGTGGCTCGAGTGCTTTCTTTACGACCCAATATCTTATTGGTGGAGAAAAGTGTTTCACGTCTGGCGCAGGAAAATCTTCTAGAAAGGGGGATTACACTGGTGTTGAATGTTAAACCAGTAAGTTCTTAAAAAAAACGATTATCCAGTGATTGCTCTTACCGTATTTCCTCAAATAAGCGCCTTCGCTCTAATACGCTCCCACCCCTGAATAAGCGCCCACCCTCGAGGCTATTATGGTAAACAAGCGCTCCTCTCCAATAAGCGCCCCCGTCAGCGCCCACCTCCAAGGCTATCATGTCAAACAAGCACTCCTCTCGGATAAGCGTTGCCGCCTCGTCCACCCCCAAGGCTATCATGTCAAACAAGCACCCCTCTTGAACAGGCGCCGCCCCCTCCCCAGCGCCCACCCCCAAGGTTATCATGTCAATGGAGCGCTCCTCTCAAATAGGCGCCGCCCACCCCCCAAGGCTATCATGTCAAACAAGCGCTCCTTTTGAATAAGCGCCCCTCAACTCCTACCTCAATTCCTTAAATAGCAGGGATACAAGGAAAACTTGGCTCTATTGCCACTTTATTTAAGTCTTTTTGAGCTTCAAGTGCAGTGGAATCAGTACAAGAGGACATTTTCTCTTTGGTCACTTACTATCTCCATGTTTTTGCTTCTCTTTTAATTTTACTCCTTTATTGGGATGCATTTGAAGAAAAAAAAATTGATAATGAATTACCAACCCCTTGATTGTGCGCCTTCTTTCCAATAAGCTCCCCTCTAGGCTCTACTTGGTCCTGAAGACTCGCGCCTCCCTCTCAACCAATCAGTGTAATGCTGAGACAAATTGTGACGTTGTCTCTCGCGTTTTCCCGCGCTTTAAGTGGATGGCTTATTTCCACTTTGAGTTCTCATTGGCTCTTGTGGTATTTTGAATTTTTGATAGTACATGGGGAGCTGTACAAAACGTTATTCTATGATTTGTTCATTTCAGAACGTGATTGAGCGCATTGCTAGATGTACACGGGCTGATGTTCTTCGTTCCATGGAGCAGCTTAGTCGGCCACAACTGGGAACATGTCAGTCATTCAGGGTACAGAGATACACTCTAAAGGTATGACTGCGATTTCTTGCAAGATCGTTCGTTTTTCAACTTTTACGCTGTCTGTTATTAAATGCTACTGCACAGGAAAAATGATATTCTTCTCTCTCTCAATTCCGATTCGATTTTTAATCAGAAGCCTCATAACAGTTATTACGCCACAAGTAGGTTTTTTTTAATCATAATTTCCTGTTCAATTTGTCCGCTATTGCCTGATAAAGCCTCAGTCGAGTTACAGTGGAAGAGCTGGATCGAAGGGCTCCTTAATTAGCTAATCTATAGCGAAAAACATTGACTTGTTAATAAGAGAGAGAGTTACATCAGTTACTTAGCATTTTTAAATTTGTTAACTTGAGTGATTTTGTATGTAGAACGACAGGTAAGACTTGTCACTTGTTGTTAAATTACAAAAACAATTCCTGATCTCTACGTCGTATTAAACAGCATGGAGAGTCCAAGACACTCATGTTTATTGAAGGCTGCCCAGCTGATCTGGGTTGTACAGTAAACTTACGAGGCGGGAACAGTTTCGCGTTGGCTAAAGTGAAGCGGATCTTTCGACATATGGTGTACGTTGCTTACAGCTTACGACTAGAGCAGCATTTTCTAATGGATGAGTTTGCTATGCCTCCTGACACCAGTCATTTGTTGGAAGAGTGGGAAATGGCAAATAGGAATTTCGAGAAGAGGTTTAAAGTAGGTGAAAATGAAGTGGATGGGAAGGAAGACTGCAAGGAATCTTGTTCAGAACAGAATAAAAACTTGCCTAAAGCGTCACAGCAGGATACTGTAGAAGGAAGTGATCTGTTCATGACAGCACTGAAAAGCACTGTGCTGTCCAGTTCGCCGTTTCTGGACTATCCAATCCCGTACTTACTGACGGAAGCAGGTCGAAACATGGCTCTGAGATCCACGCTTCCACCGGATATTTACTGGTCTTCAAGGCTTACGTTGGACCATACCAGTCGTCCCTTGACCGAAGAAGGACTAGAGGAGTTTGATTTTTCTAAGCATCCTCACCAGCGATGTCTAAGTAAACGTGTTTGCAAGTTAGAGCCTCATCCGCTGTTGTCAGCGACGTTAACTATGGAGCCCGGTGGTATGGTGTTCCAAACACTACTGTCCGACTTTCGCGCACAGGGAGGGCAAATTCATCTGACGAAAAATGGGATGTCTGTGCGTAGGAGTCAAAGCAAGGTATTGGAGCATTTCACCAAGAAGACACCGATTGAGAAGAATACCGAGCAAGGCAAGATCCGGGGAGGTTATCGCGAAGGGAAGGGTAAAGCTCATGGAGAAACTGTTGAGTCAAAAGAGAAGAAAGATCCGTTTGTTCCAACGAGCCCACTGCATTTTAATCGAAAGGTAAGAGAAATGTTTGTATGATTATACGAAGTGAGATTTTCGAAATCGGTAACTTTGTGTGTAGTTTTCGGTTTTGTCCTCAAGTAAAAAATAAAGTTAAGGTTTGGGAAATCAATATTAAATTTTTTTCCAATACGCTTAAAGTGAGGTTATCGTTCTTGTAATGTATAATTATCTGTGGTGATGAGGTGGAGAATTTAAGTTGATTTTTTTTCTTTGCGGTGAAAGTGCTCATAAAGCGAATTTTGTCGGTGTAGTTTTATTTCACCCCTCAAAAATGTTGCCATATCATGCTTAACATGTTTGTTAAATACGCAAAAGAAACACACATTTAACGCGTCTATAGTAAAAGTTTAAACGCGGTTACCGTCGTGAAAAGCGTGCAGTGGCTTCGCGTGTACGTTGGTCGCTGATCTGTGAGGGATATGGCACTTATCACGGAAGTTTCGTTAAAGTCGGTGACAGGCGATCTATAGACCCGCTGTAAGACCTCTCGCAGCCGTATCCACCTACTACACTATCAGCAGCCGCTTATGGACAATTTTATTGAAACTTCCGAGTAATTCTTCATTTGCCACATTTTTATTTTGCAGCATATGGATTGTTTGGATCCTTATTTCCATCAGAGAATAGCTGTGTTATTCATCAGCTACTCAAACGAATCGAATAATTCACCCCGACCGTGCATCAGTCCGTGGTGAGTAACTAGATGAGACACGTGAGGTCTTTGTCGCGTGTAACGCAATTTTCATTCGAGTGTCGGGAGTAGCACAGAAATACTTTGGCTCCGCTCCATGATTGGTCGACAAAAGTGGCGGCACCTTCTCAACCAATCAGATGTAAATCGCTTGGTCGCTTGAATTTTCCCGCGCTTCAGACACACACACACACACATTCACACCCCTTCCCCTCCCTGGCCTCTTATTGCAAGAAAATTCCTGATTTTGTCTTGATGTAACACGGAACATAACATACTCCTGTCACGTCTTGCACTTTCTGTAATTGCTATGGTGTTTTGACTCGTTTCAGGGCCGTCTTTATGGAGTTTTACGGACGAAATGATATCACCCTTGGAGGATTTCTCGAGATTTACTGCTTCAGGTACAACACCCGTTTCGTAACAAGAGCTAGTTCTGCTCCTGAAGTTAAGATGCCGTATTTTAAGGCTGGTTTTCCCTTACGGCGGAGACGGAGTCGTACTCAGAAACGCAGAGTGATACTATCCAGTGAAAATCAAACCGACAGAATCGGAAGAAAAATATCGATGCCGCAACGACTCCTTAACGAGTGGACTGTCGGAGTCGTAAGCCGTCGGATTGCTCGAGAACTGGAATTATGATTGGTTGGTTCTTCCATTTCTGCTTACGACTGCTTGCAATTGCTTGCGACTCCATTTTTTAAAATTTTCTCTCGTTTGAAAGCGCTCGTACGTCTTCGACTCCGACTACGTCGCCAGTGAAAACGTACTAACAAAAAAACTGCGAAAAGATGACGGTAAATACCAAGGTCGATTGTAAAAAAGAAACTTACACCAGCATATCTGTGTGAACCTTTTTGAAACACGTGGATTCCTTTCCAGGCCTTCATACATCTGTCCCAACCCGAACTGTGACATACCCATGGTGGATCACGTGAGGTACTTCGCTCATGGGAGTGGGTCCGTTTACATTCACATGAGGAATCTAGAGTCACCTATCCCAGGATTCCAACACACCATTCTCACATGGAGCTGGTGCAAAGAATGTAAACAGGTTAACAGCTTATAAAATGATTTTAGACCGTACTTAAAATCTTTTAAGCTTTGAATTCCAAAAAATGTGAAGTTGGTGCGGGACGTAGCTGACTTCTTGACGAGTTAGGAGTGACACCTCTTCATTTTAATAGGATTTAAAGAGAGGATAAAAAATGAGAAATGATAGAGAAGAAAATTCAAAGTCACTTCTTACTCTCTGGTCAAGGGGGAAGATGGTTCGAAGGCCCCGTCCCATGGTAAAATATGACATGAACAGACAGATCTTGTCTTTACAGACTGTTGTTTTCTCCAGGGTTTATCGCTGATCCAAAATGTTTCCTTCGGGAAATACAAGGAAACGTAACGAAAAGAAGTGAAAAGCGAGGGAAAGAGCAAGGCAAATCACAAAAGAAAAGTTGTTTATCTTTCTGCTTTTATCTTGCAATATGCCTTTAAAGTCCAAGTTTCCTCATCTGCGCTCGTAACTATGTAACTGGCGATTGATATCTCTTAATTTTAATTCTTGTTTTTATTTATTTCTTTTCAAGGTAACGCCAATTGTACCCCTATCCCCTGAGGCATGGGCATTGTCGTTTGCTAAGTACCTGGAATTGAGATTTTACGCAGGAAATTACAAGCGCCGAGCGAGTGTGGAACCATGCGGACATTCTCTCCACAAGGATCATTATCAGTACTTTGCTTATGCTAACATGGTAGCTTCTTTCAAGTACGTTTTTGTTGTTTTATTTTGGTAAATATAAAAGTTTGCTTACGACTCAGATTCACATGGCTGTCGTGACCATTCCTGTTGTTTGAAGCGATTGCCAATATTGCCTCTCCACCCGGGTGGGTTACTAGTTTACCACAGGTTACCACCCCCTGCCCCCACGTGGGCTCCTCTGGTTACCCCCCACCACCACGTGGGCTCCACAGGTTACCCTCCACCCCAACGTGGGCTTCACAGATTACGCCCCTCCCCCACGAGGGCTTCACGGGTTAACCCTCTTTCTCAAGTGAGCTCCACAGGTTACCTCCCACCCCAACGTGGGCCCCACAAGTTACCCCTCTCCCCCAAGTGGGCTCCACAGATTTTCCACCCACCCCCACCCTCACGCGGGCATTTTGTCATTTTCATCCTCTCATGCGTTTTCTTTACAGTTTCAATATTTCTCTTCTTGTTGCTCAAATTTATATATTTAGAGGGGTGTATACTATTGTGTTTTTATCGCAGGTACCGCCCAATCAAACTGTTCGAGATAGCCATCCCCTCTCCACAGATTTTTATTCAAGAAAAAACAAGAGACGCCAGCTTTTGGATCAGCGACTTACGTGCCATGACAACCAAGTAGGATCACGTGACATCAGTGTAGAAATAAATGTTTCATCAGCCAAATGAACTTACTTGGTTTTATCAGCCAATTTATCCCAGAGCTTATCTCGTTTTTAATTGCATGAGGTGACCAGTGTTACGCCTTTTGTTTCATCCGCTCTCCTGAGGGATTTTCTTACATTTAATAGTTCATTAGTATCGATTTATACCCCTTTATGGAGAGATTCACTTTAAGAGGCAAGTTTCTTGCCCAAGAACACAACACAATGGCACGGTTAGGTCTCTAACTTGATCCGCTCTTCCTTGTAAGGAGGTATGCAGAGTTACAGTGATAACGATATTGGGCAGCGACTCCCCTGAACCCGTACGGAGAGTGGAGACCCCTAGACGTATTCCACACATACACGTATATTTAGTTTTTTCCTCCTCCAAATAAATTTCTGATATCTCATACCCCTGACATTCTGTCCTTAAATCTTTTCAGCGGAAGCTCTGCAGAAAGACTTTGGAGAAAGAAGTTAATCTTTCCTTTATTTGTTTTACAGAGGTGACACAGTATTTGCTGCGATTTCTGACCGCCTTGAGTCCCTGAAAGATTACCCTATTATTTTGCCCGAACGCCAAGCAAGAATACAACAGTTATTTAAAATACTCAATGTAAGGACTTAGTAATTTTTCTAATTACGAAATACGACTTTTTTTTTTAACAGATAGTCTATGAGGCGCTTAAGGATCAACTGCTTTTTTTCATGTTGACAATATTTCGTTGCTGGCAATATTCATATAACCTTGCTACAGCAAATATTGTGGTGGTATTTTTTTTTTATCAGAAATCATGAAATCAATTGTAGAACGTTTTGATCGTGTTCATGAATCTATTGTCCAATAGTTCAGACTTTTCAACAGACCATTAAATTTGGATGGAATGACTGTGTTTCTCTTTCAAAGAACTCGAATGCTGATTTTATAACTAGTGAAAGATTTTGCACTTGTAAAAATCTTGGTGTCGCCATGAAATTATGTTTTCAAAGCATTAATTCATTGCTCTCTGTCTCACTTGGCTTTCCTAGGACGAGCACAAGCGTTTCCTGGAGCAAATTGAAATTGTGGAAAAGAAAGCGGCCAGTCTTCAGGAGCTAGATAATCCGCTGGCCACAGAGGACGTGAGCACCTGCGAAAACCTGGCTCCCGAAGATAGATTGGCTTTAGAGTACGTCATAGCAAACAGCTTGAATAGTCTCAAGAAAACCCTATGTGAAGCTGTAGAGAGTTGGAACAACACGTAAGAACTGTTCGTTAAGATTGCTACATTTACTTTTGTGTTTTGCTTGGGAGAACCTTCACGTTTTTACATTATTCTATTGAAAAGAGATTGGTGTACTGTCCAATTCTTCAACGTCATTACCAGTGCTCTATCTCTATTCCTCTCAAGGTAGGAAGAAAGAGCGCCCTGGGAACCAGTTTGTTGGTTACTTATGTAAGCATTTTTGTCCATTTTCGTGAAAATGTAAAGGTTACAAGAATACGCTCAAGCTGAAAAGAAGAAAAATATCAAATCTATGACGTCTTCTTACAAAGAAGGGAAGCTGTTGTCTTCAATGCAAAGCGATGCAAAGTCCGTATCCGAGGTAATGGTTTTCTCTTTCTGCTGCAGGTTTACTGGATAAAGGCGCTAAGTTTTGTGTGGGCTCAATTTCTTTAACCGGGTTCGTAATGTAATAGTTACCTTGATTGTCCGGATGATTATAGAGATATGCACTTTTTGATTGGTTAAGTATTACGTCATATCCTGTTATAATTACCCTCCGCGTGGTCATTATGATACTATGGCACCGGTTTTCCAAATGGACTTTCTGCGAGTTCTGAATGTTTTTAAAGGGAAAACAGATAAAATGGAGAAAAATGCAGTTGCTCTTGTAATCGCCTCGCCTATTAAAAAGAAACAATTATCTTCAGGTTCCCTCAGTAATATCGAACAATCCCCTCGACTTCCTCTTTGGGATTATTTTACAGTTCCATTTCGCTGGAGGTCGAAAAAATTGTATGGCAGATGGGTGTCAACGAAATTTAAGGGTGACGTAAGGGGGATCTCGAAATACGTTAGTTCTTTTTATGCGGTATTATGAACTACTCAACTTAAATGCAAACAATGACGCTGTGTAATATCTAATTACCTATTTATCCTCATCTGAACAGCAGCTGTCAAAATCGACTGATCTTATACGTGCGTCTGACATCAGTGTTCCAGACGGTAATCTTAGCCCTGCTCTCACCCCCTGGGGATCAAGATCACCATCACCTTACCCCAACCCTGAGATAAACGAAGATGAACCCGAAGTATTGAATAAGACAGACTTGGAGGTACTCCATGCAACAACTGGTTTTCGACCCATTCAGTACCCGGAGAATGAAACCTGCACCCCTGGGGATTCCCCCACGGCTGGTATTTTACCCGTAGGAGGTGTGGTTAAGGGACATTCTACGCCTGAGGCAAAAAAGGAGACCCTAGCTAGGGTGGGTCTGGACAGAGATGTTTCAAGGATTGAAAGACCTGCTGACGCGATGAAAGCCTTTGTGGCTGTTGCACCGAAGCGGGAAGAACCAGAAATTTCTGATAGATCAAATAGTGGAGAAGTCGAAGGTGCGGCAGCTATCCTTGAAAACCCATCGGGTACCACTAAGGATCCTTCAGAAGTAAAGATGGCAGGCCAGGAAAATGTTCGAGTTGATGCTATGAATATACGTCCTGAAAAGGCTCTTTCTGGTGTCAATATGGGCGGTATAGAGTGGCCTGTGGATGTTGAGGTGGAGGAAAGTAAAGGGAAAATTCTTGAGGTTGATACGTATTGCGCCGAGGAGCCTGGTGATAGCAAGACAGAAGTGGCTAAGGGTCCCTCTGGCGACAGTATGGTCGACGCAAGAGATCTTTACGGAGACAAGATGGAAGGAGAGACATTTAAGGGCGCTTGTACAGAGAACTCTGGAGGAGAGCAGGGACGTTGTGGAGGACCATTGAAAGTTGAAAATGAACTGCACCTTAAAGACAATAGAACCTCTTCTTGGTATATTGTTGAAAAGGAGAACGAAGACGAGGAAACAGGCGAAATCTGTAATTCACCTTATGACGGGAAACAAAATGTAAGTCATGAACAATCTTTAACGTCTTTAGAAGAAGGAAGTGAAGCTCAGGGAACTAAGGAACAAACGTTAAAGACGACTTTCATACGGGGTCATCGCAGAGTGGCGTCGTCCCCCCCTTTCATTGCTGTATTATCTGAGGAAAACGAGGTTGTTCCGGAGGGGAAGTCTACCAGTGCTGTAAATTGTGTGGAGAGGAGCAGAAGTGACTCTGATCTAAGTTTACATGCGAAAAAAGACCCCAATGAGTCTGTGGTGAGTTAATGCTCAAAACATCCAAGTTTGCTCTCTTGTGATCAAGATGCAAATCCTCTTTACAAATATCAATACATTTTTTAGCAAAAAGAAGATGAGAATTAACGAGCTTATCACCCAGAGGGTGTTATACCGATGTAACACTAAATTCTCCTTGTTATCTACAAGGAAATGTAAAGCGGCTAGAGGGAAGAATTGAAGATCAGATCTTGGAATTTACAAGGGTTTGATAAACGAAAAAAAATACTGATTTATACTAAAATTTTAATGATGTAGGAGCTACTGGGACAACAGTAAATCACAAGTTTAACAAAATTCTTGAACGTGATTTGTTATCAGCAGCCTGATTGAAGCCTGATAAGACAGAGACTTTTCACTCAACAAAACGAGCACCGTGATTATTTAACTTCATCTCGGGAAACATCAGGACTCTTGGGGGGGAAAAAAACTTACTGTTTCCCTCGGGACTATACAGGCTGTTCAGGTTGTTCGAAGATCGGATAACGCTATCCACTGGATAACTCTCTATGGGGTGGATAATTCTATATGTTTTGCTATTACCTATCCGCTGGATAGCGATTTATCCGTTGGATTGCGATTTATCCGTTGGATAGCGTTATCCGCCCTTTATACAACTGGGCCCAGAAGTGTACATGGTATACTACTGGGTTCATTTTCTCCTAGATAAAATCAGTCATATTTTGTCTTTTCATCTGGGATGTGCTTAACAAATAAGTGTTTCGTTTCTGAAATTTTGTAAACTTTTGATTCATTAGTGACAGGGTATCGTGTTGTCCAATTCTGTCCGTAATCATACTCGTGACTAACATATCAGACTGCCTCTGCGCGATTGTATGATTTTGTGGATCACTCCTACGATTACAGATCCAATTGAACCTCACTCGATCCTATTACGATTTATTACGATTATTAATTTACTTCATGTTACCTTTTTATTATTATTTCTTGTCTCTATGTAATCATGTTGCGATAAGTTGTCAACTGAAAGCAACTCAGAGAATCTGGTTGAAGATGAAACCGATGCAGGTTGGCGTGGAAAAGGAGACAGGACAGCTAAGAAAAAAGAAGCAAATGACTCTTGTGGTGAACGAAACACGCACGAAGTTTTAAAAGTGATACCATCAGCTTTCAACAAGAAAAGTGAGTAAATAAATAGTGTTTTTTGAAATACGGTTGTTGTGGAATTGGAAGATTTGTGTAGAAAATTATAAATACATAGGCAAAATGTTAATTGCGAGAAGGGATTGGTACTGATTTAATCCGCGGTGGAGACTGGTTAACTTTGTCTTCAGTCAAAGTAAAGAAGAAGGATGCTTCACAAACCAAAAGTTTTTCTCTCCGACTTTACAATGAACTTTTTTCCCTGTGGTGCATTCTTCACATTTCGGGTTTTTTTCTATCTTATTAAAGTAATACTTTTTGGTTTTCCTACCATTGAAGTTAATTGCACACGTCCTAGAAAATTTTTATCACATAGCTCACGTGATCTTAAATTTTTTTTCATGTTTTGTTTTGTTGGTTGTCATGTTTTTTTCTGTGCATGTTTTTGTTTATAGATTTACATGTTTTTGTGTTATTACGTTAAAGGTTTTTACTGTTGAAAGCATGTGTCGTTTTGCATTTACCGAGTTTTGCATATGACTGAAACTTACATATGTTACTCTAACCAATCAAAACATCCATACTATTTTTGTCAACCAATTAGAAATAAAACTAACTTATCTTGCTTCTCGTTATAAAGCTTTATTCCCCTGCAAGGTGTCTTCTGCATCTTCCCTCGTTGTTTGCATGGTTACCATTCTTTCTCACACTCGCTACCGCTTTTTTTTTTCCCGCGCCATCTTTTTCCCGCGCTTCAGTGGCACACGTTGTACTATCTTGCCCCGTTTCGCGCAGGTTACCTCATCTTCCTTTGCGTCTGATTGGTTCATTTTGTAGCGTGTTTGTTCTGATTGGTTGAATTTAGTTTTCCTGAAATAGGTGGTACGGTAGAACCTTTTTTTTTGTACTTAATAACTTGTTTATTTATTTATTTATTTATGCATACGTATGCAACGTCTTACGAATTCTATCTTTGCCTTTTGGCCTTTAATCTTCGATAATTCTAACATACATTTCAAAACGTATGAGCAACATTTACGATGCTGTTGAGTAACTACTGAACAAACGCTATTGAGTGCTAGTGTAACCGCCGAATTAATAAAAGCTGGTAGCTTGCTCTTGACACTGGTCGGGTAGAGAAAAACCTTGTCGCCATTTAATCGTTATACGATGATTTTAAACTTTTTGGACTGGTTATTTTAACTTCAGTTTTATAATGTCTGTCTAACACAGGTTGAGGTCATAACCACAAAATTTGTTTTTCGTTTCCCATCGCCTCACGGCTCTATTTTCGGAAAGGATAAAAACACAATCTGGCAAGCAAATTTTGATGCTAAACTAAATTCTCTTTATGATTTTTGAGTGGAAGCATGTAATTATCACTTCGGTTGAAAAGCAAGGGCTATAATGAGGAAGACACTTAGTTGGGGGACGCGCATCTTTGACTACGCTTTCTTCTCCAGTAACCTGAGCTTCTCCTGAACTCCTCCTGAACTCAGGGGGTAAGTTTCTAAAGAAATTGTGGTGCTGCGTCGGTGGAAGAGTATAACAGGGTAATTTAGTGTCGTCAACTGAGTTGATAACGTAAATTGGCCACCGTAAAGAGTTCGAACGTTGGCCCTTCATCAGAACGCTCTGACAAAGGGCTTATGGTGGCTAATTAACATTATCAACTCAGTTGATAATACTTAATTACCCTGTTGTCCTGAACCCAAGCCTCAGCAATTCCGATGGGAAACGAAAAATTTTTATGGTGATGACCATGTAACATTGAGGAGCTTTTCATCAAAGAAAGGCTTTAATTTAGTTGGATAATCGGCTTAATCTTATTTGAATTATTTAACCAATTTTAATTTCTTGTGATAGTTTCTTTTATTTTAAACTCACCCTGAATGTCTCTTCAGTAAATTTCCAAATAGTCGAGAATAACAACTAAAATTTAAGGCTGTTACTCTCAAAAGAAAAAATAGGATGCCTCATCTTCTCAACTTCGGTTCTAACAGAGTTCTCTCTTTGAAGGTCTCTATAAGTACCTTTCTTTGCGTATTCATGAGCCAAAAAATAATATAATGAGCGATAACTGCATGAATGCCTCATCTCTTTGACTTCGGATGTAACAGCCTTTTTTCTCTGTAATTCTTCACGCGTACCTCACTCTGCGAATTCCTGAGCTTGGCGTTCGACACCATTGACCAATGATATATTTGAAACTTTTTTTGTTCAAGGTCTCTATAGGGCCCAGTCTGTGGGGGCTACAAACCAGGGCGGTTCACCAAAGAAGGGTAGGGCTGGAGCGAGTATGCGTGATTGATCTCCAGTCGCTGTGTTATCATACGTCATTCATCCATGACATGAAATTTTTACCTGTGTAACCTCTAAAACGTAGAGAGCAGTGGCATATAAAATCTCCCCGGAAATCCTACACTCTATACACACTGTATTTTTGTTCCAAAGTATAACTAAGTCCGCTACTCATGATCTTGGAATTACATTGAGAGTGATCTGGAAAGAGGACAAACTACTTTGGGTAGGAGTACTGGGGCGCTGGATGACCCGCCAACTTGTCTTTCCCCACCCCCCAACAATTCAAGCTTTCCAGATTTTTCTCCCCACATTTTGGATGAAATGCGGTGTAAAACGGGCAACACTTTTTCGCTGTTTTTTTTCCCTATTGTGTCATTCTCATTGAAGCAGGTGATTACCGTTTTACACCGCACATTAGCACGAATTTTTTTCCCCTATAGTCGATAGGGGGAATGTAATCTCAGTAGTCCCCGACTGAATTTTCGATCGAACGTTTCAGAGCTAAACCAAATGGAGTTATCCACAACTCGCAAGAAGAACGATTCCTGTAATTGTGGCCGCTCAATAATTTTACTTTGGAGTTACGATATTCAACAACGGCGGTCAAGTTTCATTAAACTTGTCAAATCTACAGTCATCTTTATGATACGCATGGCCGGTAAAAAAGTCCGCCATATAAAATTGTTTTTATTTACCTTTATTTCAAAGGTGTTGTTCGTTCACAATCTTGGGCGGTTAATCAGTGGCAAGTGACTGCTAAAAAGGGTAGGGATGTAAAGTTTTTAAAACATACCATTAAAGTTCCTTATTTTGAACAATTTGTGATCGGCTTTTCTTGACGTTCTTGTAACAGTCACATTTTGCTAATTTATAAAATGACTTAATTTTTGTTCAGCAATTAAACGATTTCCAGTAAATTTAAACAAAGTTAGTCACAGTGTTACCTTAAAAACTGCTGAACAAAGTTAACTAGTGATAATTTACCGTGGATAAACAAGGTGATGTAACTTTCCATGAGAAAGATATCGTATCATCTTAACAAACGTTAACTGACCATGTTTCATTACTCCCTAACACTGGCTCATCTTCCGAGCTGAATGGCTCATTTCAATTGTTTCTGATTATGTTGTTATTTGCTACAGTTTACCGTCAGATATAGACTGTTTTGTGTTCTGTTTAAGTCTTTTGAAATTATTTCCTGTCAACAGCTCTTGTCTCAGATGGAGGAGACCCGGATGCTACGCCTGCCATAGACGGTATGCCGCTGACCAACTTTACTCCTCAAGCCCTCTATTAGTCTATCACCGTAATTTTAACTTGGTTTACTTTAACAAGGCTGTGTACATTCATTACTATTATTTTATCCTTGAAGAATTTACCCCCCTGAATTTCAAACCATTTTCTTTTGTTGAGGGGGGAGGGAGGAGGGAAAGACATTGTAGTTTACTTCGCTATTAGTTGATGAGATTTTTTATGAGGGTATAAAGTGAGGCTTGTTTTTGCAGCATCAGTTGGAACCAGCAAGCGTGAGAAAGTGAAAAACATCATCTCATCATTTATGTCCGGCTCTGCCTTTCAGCCAGTACCGTCCACTTTGTAAAGTTGAACCATCTTGTTTAAAAAAGAAAGACTCACACACCTCTCTTTTTGTATTAACCGTAATTGAACCATCTTGTTTAAAAATAAAAGACAACTGACTGGAACTATTATAAATAACACAAATTTAATCACCTTTGCCACTCATTTTGATGTATTAGGAAAAATTCTGAAGGGATACAAAAACAACGTACAGTTAAAAGGATATAACTGTCATCAAATTGATTTTAATGGCCCAGAAATATTTAACTGTTTCACTACTGTAAAACAATCGTCTTATCGATTAAGACAGTTCTGCACGTCGCTTGCAAATGCTTAGCACCTTTGACTCCTTCACTCTTTAGAGTGTCCAAAAAGGAATTTCTTCTTATGATGTTGAGTCACTGTTATTAAAAGGCAGTGAGATTAAGAAAACTCTCAATAAGGGATAGTATTTGACAAATAGTGAGGAGAATTCATGTGTAGATCTTCGAGGCAAAGAGTCGAGATGACATCTTTTATTCTGAGTTCAAGTGTTTTTTTCGGTGGTTATTATATTTCTACTTGACGATTGTTTTTTGTGGTGTGTTGAACAACTCTGTTGTAAAAAAGATGATGTAGGAAGAACGATTGATATTGACATAAAACTTTCATGTTTTGTTTACAGTCCAAGTCACGAACACCACCTCCTCCCCCCTGGGGAGAAAGTTCTCGTCGTTGTGAGTGAGAAAGAGACTAGCTCTATCATAGCTTACACACTGAGGTGAGACGCGTGAGTAGGCACGCATAGCGTGCAGATGAAATTTCGGTTTTCCCAAACTTTGTGTCTAACACGTGTGACGGGTGGTAGTTCTAGAAAAGGTTATCCCTGAAAGTATGACTAAACCTCACCAATTTGCTGTGATGAAAGCTGATATCCTCCTCAAAATTATGAATTCGTTGCCACCGAGATTCGCAATATTCTGTATAGAGGAACCAGTTGTATACCCCACTCCCCTTTCGTAACTCTCCCCCCTCCTCTTTACTCCAATATTGTGTATTTCTGTATTTTGAATGAGATTACGGGGGGTGGGGAATTTAGTCTAGATTTGGTGAGCTTTGAACTTATTCTTGAGGGAAGGGGTTGTAGTAATGAGGTAAGGTAGTTTTAAACTTCATTTCTGAAATGCGGCCACGCGAATACTATGTGGAAAGTTAGTTTCACGCAGATTATGTCTTTTGGCTCAACTGTTTTATTGAACAATTAAACGTGCATGAAATTTATTGGTTTGGTTTACGACGACCATGCGTGGTCAAATGTTTCTTTGATTTTGTTTCAGTACAAAGGAATACAACGAACGCTTGCTTCAAATTCAGCAGACGCTATCAGAGATCAAGAACGGGGCAGCTAGAGAACACTTACAGGGCAAAGGGTGAATATAGATTGTTTTGTATTATCGGTACTCCTCCCTCTGGCTTACAAGATTTTATGACGAGTCACTCCCGAGTCAATCTAGGTTGTGTGACAAGTTAGGGAAATAGTGTCACGTAGATAGTAAGGTTTTATCATTTGTTAAATCATTTTCATGGAAGGCTGTTCTTTCACTTGATCTCTTTCACAGAACAATTTCCGTGTTTGCTCCGTTTCTAGGTCGTCTTTACAGGAATCTTTTTAGAGTAGCCTATCTGTTCTTTTATCATTCAAATCGAGCGATATCACCGACAAGAACAGCGACACTTAACAAGGTTTTTTTTAACACTTTTCCAGTCTCTCATTTTTTTCTGGCCTCAGGTTTTCGGTGTCTTTGTGCACTTTTATTCAAGTCTTGTTTTCGTCTAAGTTCACCTCAGCGACGCAATTTCCCACATTTTCTCTTCTCACGTGTTTCTATGCTCTCCAAGATAATTTTTCCCGCGCTTCCAATCATTCACACGTTTACCCACACTTGACAAGTTTTTTTTCAGGCAACGATTCTTTAATGTCTCATTTTAAGCGCGTCATTAACAAGCACGACAGAGCTAACGTTCTAACAATTTCGTTATTTCAGGGACGTCATTAAAACTGGAGATTTATCTGTCAAAAGCCTTTCACATCTGGGCAGTCATTGTGGTACGCAGACGTACATTAGAGTTGATTCCGGTCCAGAGGGGGGAGAAGGTAATTTTTTTCTTAGAAATGATAGATCAATGTCAGTATTTGAGAAAATGCGTGGTAACAAGGAAGGGTCAACGGATACTCGGATACTGACATTGGTCCCTGATCACTAGGCTTTCTTCTCGCGGAAATGACCATATTTCGCTGTGTGACTGCGAACTTCGTGATACAAATTTGAGGACAGGGTGAAAATATGCAGCCTCTTCTTCTACTGTTTTGTTTTTATCCATTCTCCGGTTTTTTAAGCTGGGGAAATCTGAATATCAGAAAATGTGATCTAATCGATAACTTGATGGATCGTGAAGCGTTGAGGAGAATTACATTTTTCAAGGAAAAGAGAATGAGCAAACTTTCAAGTTATTTATATCAGTAGTTCTGTGCGGCGTTTTATCTTCATCAGTTTGTAAACACGGCGAAAAGATTTGTTAATGAAACTTTTTGTGGCGTATTAAACCTCCCCTTTTGTTAAAAATAACTTTATTGATATATTTAATCGGGAAAGTGTTGTCTCTAGGACGTGGTATAGGGGTAAGGGCTCTATAAATGGGCTTCTGAACAGAGTGGCTCTGGAATGAATATCGCCCAGCGTTTTAACCCTTAAATCGGCGAGAGTGACCAGCATCTAATTTCTCCTTCCAATATCACCCATAAATCAAACATTAAGGTCATGAGAATAAAGGAGATGATGATTAATTGAAGAACCTCTTGATTGTTAAGCAAGTTCTCCTTGCAAGTACGTTAGGAAACGTATAGAGATCGGCATGGAGAATATGCATACTGATGTTAGAGTGTACAGGGTTAAACCAGTAAGAGCAGTTTCGATCTACGTCTGAGGCCCCACAGCTTCGCTAACTAAAGCACTCTTTCGCTCAGGTTATGTGCATTTAGACATTGTGAATCCCGAAACGGGATTGGCAGTGGGAGAAGAAGGGGAAACGCCTTCTGTTGCCAAAGAAAAGTTAGAATTCATGAGCAAGAGTCAAGAATTCCACGCAGAGCCTGAGCCACAGGCCACCCAACATGCTAAACATCGAAAAGTGGAGAGAGTTGTGTTTACAAAAGGGAAGAACAACGCCCCTTGTCCCAAAGACGACGCAAAGAAGGTGGAGAATAACGTACCGCCAGACATTCCGGCACAAGATGACATCGGTAAGAATGAACAAGATTTTTTTTCGTGAACGAGTGAGACGGCTGGGTGCCATAAAAGTATTTCGATGTTCTTGGGGAGGGGGAAGAGGCTTGTTAGTTAGGTGCCAAGAAATAGTCTCCAAAGACGAGGAAGCTGAAGGAAGATACTCTGACTGTATCTTGTTCAAAAAAGGGGGAAAAAGAAGAAGCCTGGGAACAATATTGATTAAAAAAGAAGAATATGGACTATTTAAGTCGTCGAGATTTGCTCTTGAGAACCTCCTCGTGAAACGCAATGGAAACACAATTGAGGAAGAGTTGACCGATAGCGACGTTTTTCGAGTTTCATTTGATGTCTGTGATCTTCTGTCTTTCTCGTTAGGACTCCTGCAGTTTGGCTTTCAAAGGAAGGATGCTAACCCAGCTGTGGATTTTCATGTTAAGCACCGTAAGAAAGTTTTGCTCGTTTGTTTGCACGTTTGTTTTACAGGGAGAGCCTTAATTCAGAGCTTAATGCGGGTCACGCAAAAGAAAGCGAGGGCAGGTCGCGTGACTGTTTCAACTTTTTCCTCTTATGTTTTCCGAGACTATTTGGTTTAGACTTTTTTTGACTCTTTGTTTTAATTTCAGAGTTTGCTGACAGTACTTGCCGATTTTACTGCAGTATCTATTACGCGGAGCAATTCAGATCTCTGCGAAAGAGGATCTTTCCTGACGGCGAGGAGAAGTAAGTTAATAACATAGATGTATTTTTTCTTGGATTTCCTTAACCTCATTGATACCTACACCATTGCTGAAGCCGATTCGTGTGGCACCTTGCGCAGGAGGAAATGCCCATTTGTTTTTATTAAAATAAAGTAGAAAGACAAATTTCTTTGACTGAAAAATATGAAAGCTGCACGATTGAAATTGTCTTAGTGAAATTGCCGATATTTTGTGTGTATTCTGGAAGATATTAGCTAACGCCTTTGAAAGGCCTGGCGTCTAATTTCTTCTTACAGTATCACCCTTGAATTAAATGTTAAGGTCATGAGAATAACGGAAATGATCACCAATTTAAGAAGCTAAAGATTGTCAAACAAATTCTCCTTGTCAGTACCACAGGAAATGTGGAGAGATCAGTGTGGAGAATATGAATACTAATATTAGGGTGTAAAGGGTTACGGTTTTGGTTGATATTTTCCTGCTTACAGCCATTTTTTTTTTGCCAAAATTGCTAGACGATCATCGAAGCTTAGAGTATGGTGAAAATTACCCACATTCTCCCCTCCCTTGCAACTGAAAGGTATTCCAGTGCAGACAATTTTTTGCACATTGTATCCTCTAGGTACATCCGTTCCCTGCAGCATTCAGTTTCATGGGGAGCACTTGGTGGAAAATCCGGATCTGCCTTTTTCAAGTCATTCGGTGAGAAACTAAATGGATACAAAGAAAAAAGAAATCTACTAATTTAGATTAGATATTTCCGACTATCCGCAGCGGTCACGTTGGATTTTATTTTTATTTTCTGACGATTTGTTTCAAGTCGGATATTCGATGTTTTAACGCTTATTTGTAACGTTCACAAAATGACCGCTTTTCAAGAAGAAATACATCTGGCATCTGAACTGCCGTTGGCTTCATTAACCCTCGTCTCTCATTCAACCTTGCTCAAACACAGAAAACGAAGTGCAACATTGCACTAAGGAAGATGAGTCGAAAATAAGGTTTAAAGAAAGAAAATTGAGATCCTTCTCCACACAATTGCGAATTCATTGGTAATGTGTCAACGATAACTTTACAGATGACCGGTTTGTCATGAAGCAGATGTCAAGACTGGAGTTGCAGTGTTTTCTGGAGTTTGCACCACACTACTTCTGCTACATCAATAAAGCTCTAGATGAACAGGTATGGTAGGGGAACGTGGTGGGGTAGTGGTAACGTTGTGGTATCCGGACTCGAGGCCTAAATGGAGTCGCTACATTATGTTCATGGAGAAGATTATTTGCTCCCACAATGCCTCTCTCTACTCAGAGGTGTAGATGGGTACCAACGAAATACCGAAAGAAGAGGGGTGAGGTATTGTGCTTGAGTAGCATCATATCCTGGGGGGTGAGTAAAACTACGATAGAGCCCAGTCTGCGCTCTCGCAGAATGAGTTACTCTGTTCGTGTGCAGATCTCTGCCTTTAAAAAGCGATGATGGGGTTACCCAACACGATGACTTTACTTGCACTTCATACTTTGCACTCTGGTAGTAAATTTCCTTCGCATAGCATCAGAAAATGGATTCATATTGTTTTTTTGTTTTCTTGATAGCGACCGACCTTGTTGGCAAAGATCCTGGGGATATACCGGATTGGTTACAAGAACTCACAGACAGGTGCTACGATGAGACAGGATGTGCTTGTTATGGAAAATTTGTTTTACGACCGCAAAATCGACAAGGTATGAAACTGGAGTATCTTACCAATAAAATAGAAAAATCTACGACATGTAATTTACAATAATGGTCTTTTTTCTTCTTTTCCTTTTTTTTTTATTTGCGCAAATTTTTCACAATTCGGTGGGACCTTAGATCTCTAAGCTCGAACTCTTTCAAAGTTGCCTTTTTGCGACATTAAGTCTTAACTGGTCGCAAGAATTAATTCAAGTTTTCTATCTGAAACTTGACGCCTAATGCTTTATTTCTTCAGACTTTCGATTTAAAAGGTTCCATGAGAAGCCGGTACGTTCAGACTTCCGGGATGAAGAACGATGTATTACTGGACGAGAACCTGCTTGAAAGTGAGTCAAAGAGGACTGAATCGATTCTTTTTATGGGTTTTTGTGGTAAATTTACCGTTGTAACCCCTTGTAAATCACGTTAGTTTCTATTTGGACTTTTAGGCTCTGACAGAGTACTGTATTCTTCCCGCGCCTGCCTTTGTTGGTATGTTTCCCGCTCTTTCTCAGCGGTTACTCGCTGGAGGAATATTTCTCGTGCTAACTACTAACGGTTTGTTTCGCGCGTTTTTTTTTTCGCATGCGTTCTGCCCTTTCTACTTAGAAACATTTCTGGTATCTGCAGAATTTCTGTTTGTCGCTGGGGATTTTCCACGAGTCGTTGACAAACAACACCCTGTTTAATTATACAGCAATTAATTTCAACTCCTTTTTCTGTTCCAGTGATCCGTGAGTGCCCGATATTTATCCGCCCGCATTCCAAAGCCATTCTCTCACGTGCTATTGACAACGACACCGAGTTCCTTGCTCAGCAGATGGTGATGGATTATTCACTGTTGGTAGGCATAGACGAAGCCCGGTCTGAACTGGTCACCGGAATCATAGGTGAGTCAGGCAGAGCTTCGTAAAAAGGGACAGCATTAGGCAGGGTTGTCAAAACGTATGAAAGTAGAAGACAAGTAAGGCCATTGTGAACGCCATTTACTTCCTTCAGATTTCGAGTAAGACGGAGAGCTATTCATTTAAAATGTCCAAAGCGCTCCGCGAAGGTTACACTAAACCCTCGAAAGAATTCGGAACGTGGACCCTGTTCACACACCTGTTAAATTTTGTGTCTAATCCCACTCAAAGCTGCGTAATGGCTGCTGTACAATTGCATTTCAACTGTACGATTTTTCATCGGCAGTTATAGTTAAATAAGATGAAAGTAGCCGGTTCAAAATGGCAGGCTAGCCGGCAGTGTTGGCCGACTGCAGACTCTTATTAACAGCTTTGCTTAGGCCCGGTGCAGACGCTGTACTCCACATAAGCCTTATCTAATTCTGTAAATCAGGTCTACGCGAAGTTCGGCTTCTCAGTCAATTCGATACAGTTGATGGAATTCCGTTCGACTCAGCTTTTCCTTACATCATGCTCACGTAACATGTACGACAAGTTGTGCGTGAAAATGGAGATCTTTTTCATGCACTTTTCTGTTCTGTAGATTTTATTCGAACATTCACTTGGGATAAGAAGTTGGAGATGTACGTAAAAGCCAGCGGCATTCTCGGAGGCCAAGGAAGAATGCCTACAGTAGTGTCCCCGGAGTTGTACAGGACACGATTCACTGAGGCCATGCACAGATACTTTCTTATGGTCCCTGATAAATGGACAGGGCTTGGAAGTGACCTTGACTAAGGGGCCATTGTAGACGTGTACCTCTCATCAAAGCCTTGTTCAAATACTTCAGTGGTGATTTCAAAATAATGGACCGTGCTTGGAAGTGAACACGTTTAAGATACCGCCATGTTGTCCTCATTTTACTTTGGTGCATGATTCACGGAAGCCTCCCATAGGTGCTTTATTATGGTTCTTAGTTGAGAAATAGTCCGGTTCTGAATAAGGGACTTCTTTGCTGTTGCTCGGGGTGCTGGGAACTGATTGGACGGCATCCATTTTACACAAATCCCTCTTACATCCGCTTCTAATTGTAGCCGCAATTGCTAGGATACGTTCTGGAATTAGAGGATACAGCAGATCAAGACACGAACGCTTTTTGCCACAGACGATCATTCTTAGACAGATATACTTGCATACTTCAGGGGAAGGGAGGGGCTACATGTTCCCTTGTTGACGATATTTGTAATTGAATGTATAATTTATGTAACGAAAAGTTTGTATAGAATTTAATGAAATTGTAAATTATTTGTAGAAATGATGAATGGAGAGGAAGATTGACATTTTCTTATTAAAACAGAGATAACGAAAATGATACGCGCATATTGAAAAAAATGTTGAAACTGATGGGGTAATGTTTGTTATTCTAGTGGTTTCTATGTATTTATGGCAGCCTTTATTAATTTTACTTTTTTTTTTCTTAATGTGACATTTCGTCAATGTTAGACTTGTCATCAGACAGGTGTGTTAATAAATTAAGAGATAACGAAACAATTTTTATGATTAAAGAGCAGAAAGGGGTATCTTATTGAGCGGAAATAAAAAATGTTACTTCCGCGTTTGGCGCAAATTTATAACTTGGAATTTAGGAAATGGAGCTGCTTAGTAAAAGCCCGTTTTAATGCAGTGAATCACACACCACAGAATAAAACAAAGCTCCTACTTTTAGCCTGATCTGTTTCTTAAGAACAGGGTAATTTATTAACGTAAATTGGCCACCGTAAAGAGTTTAAAAGCTGACGTTTCGGGTGTTTGCGCTTCGTCAGAGCGATTGGAGGAATTGTGGGTTGTGTGTTTTTATATGCAGAAAATAGAGCTACGCCATTGGTGGGAGTATGATGACGAGAAAACAAGAATAAATTCCAATCGCTCTGACGAAGGGCTAACGCTCGAAACGTCAGCCTTTTAACTCTTAACGGTGGCCAATTTACGTTTTCAACTCAGTTGTTAACACTAAATTACATGCTACACTCTTCCACCGACGCAGCAGCACAGTTTCTTTAGAAACTTACCTCCTTTATTCAAGAATAAATTAGTTGAATGAAAAGTGCTCGTTGATGCCGTAGAGATTAAGAGTGCCGATTTGAAAGATAAATTTTTGTTCTGGAGTTTTGCGGCTTTCCGAACTAGGGGGAAAGGCCGCAAACTGCCATATGATGCTTAGAATGGTAAGGGAGATTAAAGTGTCTAGCGACTGGTTTGGATGTGTCCTTGTCATTTCTTTCTACGTCGCGATGGTGTTCTCGGAATCAGTCACCTGGTCGTCATCCTGTTTCACCAATGTATAACTTTTTGCAATGAGTGCCAGTTGTGCAGTAGATGACATTGGCGGAGGTGTACGTGAAGTGATCAGTGATCTAAGTGGATATATATGGTCCCGACAATTTCTCTACTCTGAAATGGTTTAAGAGAATCTGTACCCAAGAGCGAAAGGCCTCTACTTGAGTGTTGATGTTTTCTTGTCCCAGCTTGCATTGCCCTCTTTTTCTTATGTTCTTCCCGTTGAATTTTGGGATTTCGTTTAATTTTTAGTAAACTCGTTTTTTTTTTTCTTTTGTCGAAAGAACCTTCCCGCGAATTGGAAGGGAGCTATTTTCCACGAGACTTGGCAAGGGTTCGATGTTGCGTTCTATTGGTCGGCGGCACGACCGCAAGGGCATGCACCTAAATGAGGTGCGAAAACTGTGAATTTCTTTTGAGGCCAAATACTCGAGGTTTGTTTTTTAAAGAGTAACCTCTTCTTAAACCAATTTATGGGATGTGTAGATTTGTACGATTTTCATGAAAATTGCCCACGCTCTTAAGGGTATGAGGCTTTTACGAAATTCGAAATATTCAGTCTCTCGTGACGTCCCGGAGCGTGACAACAACCGAAATATTTTCCAACTTCAAAATAGATTTTCTCAAGAACCATTAGGATCAACGAAAAAGCCTCAAACCATTTGTTAGCCTATTATCTTCTGAATGATACTGTCTAGTTTGTTTGGAGGTCGGCGGTAACGTGGAGACTGGTAATTCAGCAAAGTAAATACCGTAAGTTTTGTGTTTAAAGGCCCTCGCGCGCCTAAAAGAATTAAAAAGTAGAAAAAACCTAGTTATTCTCAGAATCTGTACTGTATAAGCTTTATAGTGTTATATAGCTTTCCGTGGTTTCTTTCATAGTTGCGCGCTTAGGACGATTTTTCCGGAACGTACCCTATTTTGTTGACAGTAACCTTAGATTGTTAATCACTATCTTAAATTCAAGTCATCAAATTAGATCTGACGTAACTCATAACTTCTTTAATAATACATAAAGACTCGAAAAGATGTTACATCAAGTGTTATGAAAATATATACGAAATAGTTCAATGAATCACATACAATAACTTGTTCAAAGTTCTCAATTGCGAGTCGGAATAAGTTTTGTTGGAGTTGACCTCTATCAAGTAGGCCAGGGTGACAACTTATCTCATGAAAAAGTAGTGGAACATCTTACATTAAGCGAGGTTGTACTCTATTGACTACAATTGGAATGTGCAAAAAAGACACTTCTTACAAAACTTATAAACATACTCTGATTACTGTATTATGTTTCATGCTATTGGAATCTGCAGGCCTCGCCAATGATTTACAAAATAGCCTTTGTCTCCTTACATAAAAGTTAAGGACACATCCCCCTTAGCTTAATACAAAGCAGTAATGAAAACTGTCTTCTGCAGTACTTTGATTTTTCCTTTCCCAACCAAGTGAGTTACGAACAAAAAAGAAGCACAAAATGGGCTTAACTCTCCCTAAAACTTACTTCTAATAACAGCATGATCTTTTACAGGGAACTGTGTAATATCAGTTACACTTGAAATGTATATGTTCACCTCCCCCCCTATCTGTTTGATATAATATGCAACTGATTGAATGAATGTTTCCGGACCACTGCGCTCGTCGTGTAATTAATATATAATCTAAGTCCTATTTTTTTCGTTAAATTACTGCAGATTTTCTGGTGTAAAAGAAAACGAATTTTAATATTTTAAGCCCACTTCCCTCCCTGTAAATCACGAAAAGTCTTATCTTGGCTAAACCTAGTTACTCTCTGAATAATTACTATTTGTTAAGGTTGAGAATAACAAAGAAGGTCATTCAGAGAATAAGTAGAATCTCTAATGTTTTTCATTCGATGGTTGAACTCAAAATTGATTAATTGATTTTTGTTCGGCGCAATAGTACAAAATAATATGAACAAGTTTATTCCAGTATCTGTATACGATGGTTCAAAGCGTCACAAACAACAATTTGGCCATTGCTGAGAACTGCTAAAGAGGTTGGATTATTGAACTCTCCTAAATTGTCACCCTTTATTCCAAACTTGCCGAGAAACTTTCCATTCAGTTCAAATACTTGTATTCTGTGATTATTTTCGTCACAGACCATCAAGTGACCTGATTTGTTCACCAACAAACTACTGGGACCCTGTAACTCCCCGTCCCCTCCACCCTTCTTTCCAAACTTGTACTGAAAGTTTCCTTTCCTGTCAAACACTTTGATACAATGTTCACTATAGTCTGACACTATGAGATATCTTTCATATTGAATACAGTGGATGGGAAAAGTAAAAGAGCCCTGCTCTCCTATCTTCATTAGAAAATTGCCATTAGGAGAAAAAATCTTAATCAGTCCGTTACCTGAATCAGCGACAATTATATTCCCATCACTGTCTACTGATAAACCATGGGGACTACTGAGCTGACTATCAAGGCTTCCTCTCCCACCAAAGGATCCCACGTACTCACCCTTCCCTCTGAAAATCTGGATTCTATTGTTCCCAAAGTCTGCCACGAAAATATTCCCATTATTGATATGTTATTCCGGTAGGCAATTGAAATTCTCCTTCTTTGGTACCACGCCGACCAAACGATCTTAAATAATTTCCTTCAGTGTTAAAAATTTTGACTCTGTGCTTGCAATAATCAGTAACAGCTATCTCATCCTTAGCATTTATCGCTACCCCCCATGGAAAACTAAATATTTCTTCAGACGAGCCCTTTTTCCCGAAGGAAAGTACAGGTTTAAACTGAAATGGTGTTACCTGCACAGCAAAAGGACTGTCACGGACATGTTCCCCGTTTACCTTTACAGTCACTAGACATTTTCCTGGATCTCTGGGACAATAACTGACTTGATAGAGTCCATCTTTACAGTCATTTATTTGTATTTCTGACGTGCATTCTCGTCCTTGTTCGTCCCTGATCTCCACCGTTACATGGTCACGTTCATTGTAACACTGTCTTCCTTCGGTGTCCTTTGTTGTCAAGGTAAAGTGAGCTTCACGGATGGCAATTCCTTCCTCCAGTCCTTTGCCTTCAATATCACAATGACCTGCTTTTGTTGGTTTTTTCAAAGTTCCGATTTGTTCGGTTTTGACAGTGTTGAACAACTTATAATTTTCCACGAAGACAAAATGAGCCACAAGTTTGGGGTCACAGTCGGTTGGCTCGATTTGATGAACTCCTTCAAAGATGGTGTCTAATGATTTCTTCAGTTGGACGATTTCAGCGTTTGTACTTTGGGTGAAAAGTTTCTCAGCCTTCTCCAGAGATGATTTTATGGCCGTCATTTGACGCTCGATCTCGGTCTTTTGCCTTGTTATGCTTTCAATCGACTTGCTTGTTTCTTTCTCCACCTCTGCGAATATGTTTTTCTTGTTTGCTTCAATGACAGCAATTAAATTGTCAACAAATGTTTGAATCTCTCTCTTCACATCTTCGCCTTGTTGTATCAGTGTGGAACATTCTTCATCAAGTCGGCTTACGGCATTCATCTTTGCTTGTAAATTGTGTCGCTGTTTTTCAATGAAAGACTTAATTTCAGTCTTTTGTCTCTCGGCTTCTTCTTTGATTAAGTTTATATTATGACCACCATGCTCTATTGTGACACAAATTTGGCAAACTGGCGTTTCACATTCTTCGCAAAAATACTTTAGCTCTTCTTTGTTATGATCTTCCTTAGGACAGAAAGCAGGTCGTTTCATCACATCTTCATAGTCCTTGTCTTGAAAGTCTTTGAGCGCCAGGACACGATGATCTTTATTGCTGCGAATGATGTTGTGTCCAATGACGCACTCGTCGCACCAAAACACGCAACAATGGAAACAATAAGAACTCTCGGAGCTTTTCTTGTCGCAATTTCCACATCGTACTTGGCTGGTTTTACACTCTTTAATGGCCAACACATCAATCAAGCCGTTCAGATAAAAACTGGTAGGAAGATCTTTGAGATCGCCACTTTCAGGCACTCTGCTGATAGCTTGACACTTCGGGCATCTGACTGTGTCTCGGCCATGGCTTGTTGTGTGCCAGTGTTTCAAGCAGTGCAGACAAAACGTGTGTAGACATGGAAGGTGCTTTGGATCGGTGTACACGTTAGTACACACTAGGCACGAAACTTCGTCGCGAAGATTGTGAAGCAGCGTTTTGATATCCATGTGTTTTTCACTAAAAGCTGATCATACGCTCGAGCAAAGCAGCTTTTCTCGGAATTGAAACCGAAACAATGATGCCTTGTGACTACTTTTCTTCTAGCTATTCTCGGAATTAATTATTTGTTATGACAGCAGGTTTGTTTATAAACCAATCACAGAACTTTGTTAATACAAGAAACACTTAAATCTAGGATTCCTTGGATTCCTGGCTCTCTGACAAGTGAGTTAAGAGTCTGAGTCAGCATCTTCCCGGGAAAGTTTCCTCTGTCCTTTATTGGCCGTGGATTTGATTGTGCTACGGTCTTAAATAAAATGCATTTTTAAAACTGGATCTATAGCATAATAGACCTTAATCACGCAGCACCATCTTGGATTGCGTTGTGCACCAAATCGAGGCTGTACGGGCATAAGGTATAGGGTTGTGTTACATTACATTGTCTTGAGTGAAGATTACAAGGAAGCATGGCCCACGATCATTGCTGCGTCAATTTCGGTAGAAACGAGAAACCAAATAAAAGTGGTGAGAATTTATCTCAGCCAGATTAGAGTGTATAGCGACTGGTTTGGATGCGTCCTTGTCATTTCTTTCTACGTCGCGAAGGTGTTCTCGGAATCGGTCACCTAGTCGTCTTCCTGTTTCGTCAATGTATAACTTATTGCAACAAGTGCAAGTTATGCAGTAAATGACGTTGGCGGAGGTACACGTAAAGTTATCACTGATCACTTTACGTGTCGACTGTCGACTGTTTATTCACAATGAAATGCTACTAATATTCCCCTTTAAAAGGGTAAAAACGTTTGAAAGGAAATTTGTATGGAGGAGGCTTAGGATATTTTGTACTGCAGGCATTCAGAACACAATCATCAGGCTTCGCTTTATTGATTTCTCCCGGTTGTAAAGCTTGCTACAGCAGATGGAGTATTTTTCAGCAAAGGAATGCGGTATTTCAAAAACAAGGCTACCACTTTAGGTCTAAGCCTCGAGAAGGTTTTACAGTTTTATTGACATCATTTTCACAAGTGCGATGTTTCTGTGATCAGTGATAAGCCATAGGCTAAGGTGATCAAACGTGAAATCATAACCTAGGTCCAGACCAGGTGTAAGGGAGCTAGAAATACACGACACGCGTGGTTTCTCGTGTGGCGTATCGCGTGACCACTTGTAGACCTTCGTGCCAACGCGTTTTTGTAGGATTTTTCTTTCGTGTAAAGAATATCATCAGTTAGAACGGCCGGGAGAAATACATGTATTTCTTGATAGTTTGCTCTGAGCTTAGCAGAGCCATCTTAAAATTCAAGTGGTTTGTCAAATTTCTATTAGGCAAGAAATTCATGATTAACCTCTAAAATTCACAGAGCGATCGGCATCTTACAATAATTTCATAAAGGAAACTAAAAAAAGCCATTTGATTTCACGGCCATGTTAGCTTGCATAATAGACGTCTAGAGTCTCGAAGAATGACTCAGATATCTCCTCAGAGGGGTCGGGTAGGGGGGTTTATCAAAACCCTCCCCTCCTATCAGCCAATAGGTTGTGACCAGACTGGGTCTGGTCACAACCTATTGACAAGGTCAGGCTGACTTCAGATTGTAGCATACACCCTTCTGCAGAAGTGATAAGTAACATAAAGAGTCGTTCCTGATAACTGTCCCATTTGCTCTACCTAAATAATTGTGATAGTTTTCCTTAACTATCTCGTAGGAGACTTCCTTTTGGCTTTTTTTTACTTATACCTCGCATTTTGAGCAACAAAACATGTCCCGTTAGCTTTCCCAAGCAAAGGCGTTCAAATGCACGGCTGGAGGTACCACCAAGCTTTACACGATCTAACAGAGCAGCGTGAACCAAAATCCCAATTTTTCGATTTCTCAGTCCATAAATGCATTGTTTCCATTGTTACCAACAATTTTGACTTAAACGATAATTTTTGATGATTTCACAACAACTTGTACAATCGGTGGAGGTTTTCTTGACGTTTTGTGCTATTTTGTAATGTGGTGTCACCATGTACTAGGCAGGCATTGGTCATTTCCTTTCAGTGGTTTCTGAGAGGTAGGAACTTTACATATGGAAACATTGCAATTTTATATGGCAGGTAATCAGAACATACTAATCAGGACTCGCTGTAATTCGCTCAGTTGTGGATCTTGCTACAAGAAACTAAAAAAGTTGACTTAGGAAAGTAATGCGGTATTTCAAAAACAAGGCTACCATTTCAGCTCTAAGCAGCTTCTTTGAGAAGGTTTTATTGTTTTAATTACATAGTTTTTACAAGTGTGACGTTATACGATCAAACGTGAACCCAAAACTTATATCCAGGCAGGGTGGGGAGGGAGGAAGAAAGACACGGAAAACGCTAAGCGTGGCGCCCCGCCTCACGACCAGGTCAAAATTGTAGGCCTTTCCGCCAATGCCCTCTTGAAGAATTTTCCTTACATGTAAAGAATATTTTCAGTTAGAACAGCCGAGAAATACGTTTCTTGATAGTTTGCTCTAAACTTAGCAGTGCCATCTTAAGATTTATGCCATTTGTTAAATTTCTATCAGGTAAGGAATTAATTATTAATCTCTTAAATACACAAAGCAATTGGCATCTTACATTAATCGCAGAAAGAAAACTGAATAGGGTCATTTGATTTCTCGGCTCTTAGCTTGCATAATATTAGACGTCTAAAGTCTCAAAGAGCGGCTCAGATATCTCCTCAGGGGGGTCGGGCAGGGGTTTGTCAAAACCCTCCTTTCCTATCAGCCAATATGTTGTGACTAGACCCAGTCTCTGTAGAACACAATGAAACGAGGTTAAATCTGGTTAGTTTAAACTAATTTAAGAGTCTAGCAAATCCCTTTTTACATTATTGAGGTATGATTGTTGATAATAACTACTCCACTTACGCTGCCGAAAAAGATTTCCCTAATTGATAATGTGACAAATTCCCTTTACGCCCTCGCAAGAGTTTTCCTTTAGAGTTTTCTTTCTACATACTTTGCATTTGGAGCGATAAAATATTTCTTTTCTCCGCACTTAGGGAACGTTCCCGTTGGCTATTGCGAGTACAATGCGTTCATTTGTCTTTATGAGTCCAGGAAACAAACTGATATATTTAAGCTTCTTTTCAGCACCGTTAAGTTATTGTACGATCACCAACGTCTTCGAAAGAAACGCCATGAACAGCATGCGACCAGGCCGTCATTATTAGCCCTTCAGTGCCAGCGAAAAAGTTTGATGCCTTGAGGTCCTTGAGCAACGCAAGCCGGTAAGAGGTCTGTAATTGTAAGTTGTCTGGTGCTGATTAGAGTTAGTTCCCTTGCAGAATTCTCACTGACCTCAAACTTTCTCGCGGGCGTAGAAACGTTCGTGCCACAGCGCTGATAATAATAAGGGCCTGGTGACAAGCTACACGAGAAAGATTCAGGGATACTGAAGGATTATCCAATCGAATGCGCACATACGCACATGCGCACAGCCTCTACAAAATGTTATTTTCTCACCTTAATCTGTGCCTGGCCTTTCTCCTGGAGATGATAGCCTCCAAGCTCCACCAATTTGGCGCGGGACTCTCGGCTGACGTGGATACGATGAGCTGGCGAAGCAACAGAGGCCTTATAGTAAATCCTCAGGGTTTTATCAAGAACTCCTTTTTGAATTCTATGCTCTACCTTCCCCAATCGACAAATTTGTTTGAAAAGGAAATAGGAAAAAGATTTTTAGACACGTTATCTGACAACTAAATTGTATCACTGATTTAAATTAACATTTTCGATTTTATATGTTAGAGTGGGGTTGGGAATTTACTTTCAACCAAAAAAGAGATCTTTTAACGTTATTGACTAGCCTCCAGATTGTATGGAAGCGTTTGGGCTTGGAAAAATATTTGCAAGGGAGCGCGCACATCTTATATGGCTTTTCCCAAAATCAATTCCTCAGAAGTCAGCTATTTCTTTAAACTGAAGCTCGACAACAGAGCACTTACGAAAGCCACTGCTCTCCATCTTGAATGCGATATGAACAGTATGGCCGTACAGACAAAAACGGGGCATTGTGACGCCAACTACACCAGCAACAACTGGACCTGAGGGTCAGCACAGCACAGTATATAAGAATACATTATGCTTGTGAAACGGCATTGGAGCCTCTATATCTTCTTTACAAAGTTTACTTGAACATGGTTAACAACTGAACATTCTTATCCGCCGTTCAACTTAGGACATCCGCTGACCATAACGTATGCATCACCGACAGTCTCGACCTGAAAAGAACGTTATTGCCACAAGGGTACTTGCCAAACAAATTGGTCCTCAGACCTTGCAAGAGGACGACCGCGTCAACTTTGGAAAAACTGTGATAAAGGAGTGATAATCATGGAAAAAATTGTCAGATTTTCTCTTTGTTCAGCGCTTCTAAGAAAACGAATAATATCTTTCTTTACACAACAACCGCGTCTAAACCGTACCATTTCTATTTATAATTGAAATTTCCGACTCCAGCAGTTTGCAAAATGGATTTGACCAGAAGGCCTAGAGCTGATAAGAGCTTTGTCTCACCCCAGGCTCTCACTTGACTCTGGCGTGCTCGTGCCTCTTCTGCTTTGTAACCAAGTTGAAGGTGTATAATTGTAAACTTTTTGTTTGTTTTATCTTGAAAAATACGAAGGAGGGAATGCATGGCATTTCAAAAGCACTCAGCACTTACCTTGTAAACGTCAAATCGTGTGATTATCTCGTCAAAAGCGACGTTGAGATCGTTCAGGAAATCTACAATCTGCATTGCAAGGAGGACATGGTAGATGATAAGCTTCATTATTATATGGCAAGAAGTGCTTAGGGTAAACCGGGCGTTCTGATTGGTTGTTACTAGGTTGGTATTTTGCCTTATGAACTGTTTCCACGAAACATCACTCACTGCTACGACCTCGGGCCAATATTAGTCACTGCGACCCCTTATACTCGGTGAATAAAAAGTTATTTGCAATTTCATTGCCAAGATGGGCTTGCCAAAGGGAAATTTTTTCCAGACTGATTGCACGAGAGTAATTTTAGCTTAACTTAGCGTAGTTCGAATACACTGTTCATCGTTTTTATACCTCTGGTGGTTTGCTGAGAGACGTCAGCTTAGTGAATCCCACAAAGTCACAAAAGAATATGGTGAGTTCTTCAAACTTCTGAGCTTGGACTGAGCTGCGTGTCTTCAATTGTTGGCGACCATCCTACAGACAGAGAGAAATGGTAAATTTAACCATTTTAGGGGAAGGATCCACTAGTACGCATTAACCAAAATCCTTTACGCCTTTTTTGGTCTTGTTCGTCGCCTACGCTACGCGAAAGCGAGGCTGGAAACCACTGAATAAAGAAATCAATTTGAGCCGCGTTTATATATTTCAATACCTTTCATTTGCGCAGTTTAAATAAAAAAAAATCCAACCAAAGGCCAGTTATGACAATAATATACAGTTTGCTAATATATATAACAATAACAACAAATATCAGCAAAAGTTCCAACTCCGATAGATACGTAAATTCCAACTTACGGTGGAAGAAGACGATTAAGCAGCTTCTCGGTTCGTTCTTTCTCTTCGTTTAGTTGTCTTGTTCGCTCGTCCACAAGTTGCTCCAAGTGATTGGCGTGTTTTTCCATTATAGACACCATATTTTCTGCAATGTTTTTGTTTCTCAAAAAGTATACTTTATAAGTTTTATAGTGTTATATAACTTCAATCTGTGGTTTCTTCTATAGTTGCGGCTGTGGATGCCTTCTCCAGAAGGTACCCCAATTTTTTGATAGTAACTTTAAATTGTTAATCATCATCTTAAATTCAAATCATAACGTTAACGTCTTTAATGATACATCAAGACTCAAAACGATGTTATACTAAGTACACGAAATAGCTCAGTGAGTCGTTTACAGTAAATTATTGAAAGTCCTAAATTGCGAGACGAAATAAGTTTGGTTGGATTCGACCTCTATCAACTAGGTAATCTATACCAGGGTGAAAACTTATCTCATGAAAAAGTAGTGGAACATCTTACAATTAGCAAGGTTGTAAATCTATTCATTACAATATTGGAATGTCCAAAAAAGACACTTCTTACAAAACATATAAACACATTCTGATTACTGTATTATGTTTTCTACGACTGAAATCTGCAGGCCTCGCTGATGATTTACATAGAAGCCGTTGTCTTCGTAAATAAACGTTAATGACATACCCCCCTTAGCTTAAGACAAGGCAATATTATATATCATTATATAATGAAAACTGTCTCCTGCATTTCTTTAATTTTTTCTTTCCCAGCAAAGTGAGTTACGAACAAAAACGGAGCACAAAAAGTGGTCTTAACTCTCCCACAAAGTAACTCCTAAAAACAGCATGATGTTATATAGGGAACTGTGTAATATCAGTAATATCACCCTTCCTGGCTATTTGATGATATATGCTACAGATTGAATGAATGTTTCCGGACCACTGCGCTCGTCGCGTAATTAATATATAATCTTGATACTATGACAAGTCTTATGTTTGTCTTTAAATTACTGCAGATTTTCTGATGTAAAAGAAAATGAATTTTAATATTTTAAGCCCACTTCCATTCCTGTAATTCATGACTAGTCTTATCTTGGCTAAACCTAGTTACTCGCTGAATAATTACTATTGTTAAGGTTGAGAATAACAAAGAAGGTCATGTAGAGAATGAGCAGAATCTCCAATGTTTTTCATTCAATGGTTGAACTCAAAATTAATTAATTGATTTTGGTTCGGCTCAATAGTACAAAATAATGTTAACAAGTTTATTCCAGTATCTGTATACGATCGTTATGAGAGTCACAAACAATAATTTGGCCATTGCTGAGAACTGCTAAAGAGGTTGGATGATTAAACTCTCCTAAATTGCCACCCTTTATTCCAAACATGCCGAAAAACTTTCCACTCAGTTCAAATACTTGTATTCTGTGATTATTTTTATCACAGACCATCAAGTGACCTGATTTGTTCACCGACAAACAATTAGGATTATTTAACTCCCCGTCCCCTGCACCCTTCTTTCCAAACTTGTATTGAAAGTTTCCTTTCCTGTCAAACACTTTAATAGAATGTTCACTACAGTCTGACACTATGAGATATTTTTCATATTGAATACAGTGGATGGGTAAAGTAAAAGAGCCCTGCCCACCTATCTTCTTTAGAAAAGTGCCTTTAGGAGAAAAGATCTTAATCAGTTTGTTACCTGAATCAGCGACAATGATATTCCCATCACTATCTACTGATAAACCTCTTGGGTTTCTAAACCGACTATCAAGGCTTCCTGTTCCACTAAAGGATCCTACGTACTCACCCTCCCCACTGAAAATCTGGATTCTGTTGTTCCCGTAGTCTGCCACAAAAATATTCCCATTATTATGATATGTTATTCCGGTAAGAAAGTCAAATTCTCCTTTTTTGGTACCATGCCGACCAAACGATCTTAAGTAGTTTCCTTCACTGTTAAAAATTTGGACTCTGTGGTTATTAGAATCAGCTACAGCAATCTCATTCTTAGCATTTACTGCTACCCCGCCAAGGAAACTAAACATTCCTTTAGACGAGCCCTCTTTTCCGAAAGAAAGTACAGGTTTGAACTGAAATGGTGTTACATGTACAGGGAAAGGACTGTCCCCAATATGTTGCCCATTTACCTTTACAGTCACTTGACATTTTACTGGATCTCTGGGACAATATCTGACCTGATAGAGTCCGTCTTTACAGTCATTTATTTGTATTTTTGACGTGCATTTTCGTCCTTGTTCATCCCTAATCTCCACTGTTACATGGTCACCTTGATTGTAACACTGTCATCCTTCGGTGTTCTTTGTTTTCAAAGTAAAGCGAGCTTCACGGAGAGCTATTCCTTCCTCCAGTCCTTTGCCTTCAATATCACAATAACCTGCTTTTGTTGGTTTTTTTAAAGTTCCAATGTCTTCGGTTTTAACATTGTTGGATAACTTATGATTTTCCACGAAGACAAAATGGGCCACAAGTTCAGGGTCACGGTCGGTTGGCTCGATTTGATCAACTCCTTCAAATATGGTCTCTAATGACTTCTTTAATTGGACGATTTCAGCGTCTGTACTTCGGGTATAAAGTTTCTCAGCCTTCTCCAAGTATGATTTTATGGCCGTCATTTGACGCTCGATCTCGGTCTTTCGCCTTGTTACACTTTCAACCGACTTGCTTGTTTCTTTCTCCACCTCTGCGAATATGTTTTTCTTGTTTGCTTCAATGACTGCAATTAAATTGTCAACAAATGTTTGAATCTCTCTCTTCACATCTTCGCCTTGTTGTATCAGTGTGGTACATTCTTCATCAAGTCGGCTTACGGCATTCATCTTTGCTTGTAAATTGTGTCGTTGTGTTTCAATGCAAGACTTTATTTCAGTCTTTTGTGACTTTGCTTCTTCTTTGATTAACTTTATATTATGACCACCATGCTCTATTGTGACACAAATTTGGCAAACTGGCGTTTCACAGTCTTTGCAAAAATACTTAAGCTCTTCTTTGTTATGATCTTCTTTATGACAGAAAGCAGGTCGTTTCATCACATCTTCGTAGTCCTTGTCATGAAAGTCTTTGAGCGCTAGAACACGATGATCTTTATTGCTGCGAATAATGTTGTGCCCAATGATGCACTTTTCACACCAGAACACGCAACAGTGAAAACAATAAGAACTCTCGGAGCTTTTCTTGTCACAATTATCACATCGTACTGGGCTGGTTTTCCATTCTTTGATTGCTAACACATCAATCAATCCGTTTAAATAAAAGCTGGTGGGAAGATCTCTCAGATCGCCACTTTTGGGCACTCTGCTAATAGCTTGACACTTCGGGCATCTGATTGTGTCTCGACCATGGCTTGTTGTGTGTTTCAAACACTGCAGACAAAAGGTGTGTAGGCACGGAAGGTGCTTTGGATCGGTGTACACATTAGTACATACTGGGCAAGAAACCTCCTCGCGAAGATTGTGAAGCAACGTTTTGATATCCATGTGTTTTTCACTAGCAACTGTACATACGCCTGATTAATTGACTTTTCTCGGAATTGAACTCGAGACAATGAGGCCGTGTGACTTTCTTATTTTAGCTATTCTGGGAAAAAGTTATTTCTTTTGACAGCAGGGTTTTTGTATAAACCAATCACGAAACGTTGTTTATCCTAAAAACACCCAAATCACAATTTTGTCTTAGATTCATGGTTCAAAGGAATGTGAAGTGATTTTCACTCCGTTCTTTATTTGGCCGAAACATTTTACGATACACTTTAAGATATCGAAGATCACTCGAAAGAGACATTCATAGACTCATTCTGAGAATGAGAAGAGAAGAAGAGTAGATTTAGCAAAGGCCTAAAATAAATCAGCCTCATTAAGAGAGTGAATAAAGATAACTTTAACCCTCTGACAGAAGTTTATTTATGCCTTGATGCACTAAGGAAATTTAAGATTGAGTATCTTCTGACACTGAAACTTGGCTTTGCGGTTTGTTTAAGATGACTTATTTCTCATGAAGTGTTACTAAACTGACATTTGTTATTAGTTCTCTTCATCATGCGACTTCTGAGAGTAGGAACTTTACGAATGCAAATTCATTGAAGAGAATGAAGTGGGGCTTTGCATGTCAGGCAATCAGAGCACAAGGACAGGATTATATCCATGTTGCCCTTCCGAGCACCTAGCCACAACTTAAACAGTGAACACAGAAACGTATAGTGCAATGTTTTTAAAATGAGCGGTTTCCTTTTTGGGTGGAAGCGTCATCCTGGATAAGTCTTTTTTTCTGTTTTATTCGCAGTGGATTTTCCAGTGCTACGGTCTTAAATAAAAGACATTTTGTTATTGTGGAAACGGAATTAAGAAGCGCGGAACACGCCTCGCGTGGCTCGTTGCGTGACCAGATCAAACTCGTAGACTCGCCCACCTTAGTGTCAATGCCCTCTCACAAGATTTACTTCAAAAGTAGCTAATTTTTGAAAGCTGACAAGATTGTTTATCGATAGTTTTCTCTCCGTTTCTTACTACCATACTGGTGTTTCATTTGGTAAAACATCAGTCATTATACGTTGTAATTAACGCTTGTAAAATCTCGTCTAACCTAACTTTGATTTCAAAATTTCGCGACAGCGTTAAAAACCTCGAAGTGTTTACCTGGCACGTGCTGATAGGAGAGGGCTTAAGATGCTCTACGGGGAGATCCTTTATCCTCAAAAAAATACCCCTTTCATCTTGTGCACTGCGTTTGTTTCCTACCCTGACACTGTTATTTACGATTTCTAGCTTCCCTTTACCGTGTTTTTTCCTCTTCAAGCAAACTGATGGTGAAAAGCTCATCTCTCATGAATTATCAATAATTATCTTAAATCAGAGTCAAATCACCGAGCCAGCTCTGACATAAATCATAACTTCTTTAATGACACAAAAAGTCTCCACAAAAAATGATACATTAAGTCTGACGACCGTTGAAGAGTTTCGTCTAAAACCAGCTGAAAGTTCTCGATAGTAGGTCGAAATTAGTTTTCTTCGATTCGAATTCTAGCTGTAAGTTTTCAGCTGAGCTGAACATTTTCTAATGTAAGTTTTCAGCTGAGCTGAAAATTTTCTAATGGGAAAGTATATCTTACAATTAGCACAGCTGTAAATCTGTGCACTACAATTTGAATATGCAAAAGACAATAATTGTTACAAAAGTGACCAACAGTCATTAATGCATTACACTTTCATTTAACTACTGTGTAATTTCATTTAAACAGGCACTTAAAGTGTAAGCAATACTGACTAAGTGCTTCTCAACAATCTTTGCTTACAGTTCGAAAATTTGAATTTCATTCAGACTAACAAAATGTACACCTTCACTTTCATTCCTAAGAACGCTGTTTGATGCAACAAAAATAGTTGATTTTTCTAGCCCACTACCTTCTTTCTGTGATTGATTAATAGTCTTGTTTTTCTCTTCCTATTTTTGCAAAACCGCCACTTAGTGTTCGGGTTGAAAGGAGACAGAATTTAAAATTTATTTCCGAATCACTATCTACCCCTCCCTCCTCTCCCCCCCTGTAAGTGATAACTACTTCCATCCAAGTTAATCAAAATTATTATCTGAATCATTGTTCATGTAAAATTTAAAAATAACAAAGAAGGTCATTTAGAGAATCAACAGGAGTTACATTGTTATTCATTCGAATATTGATCTCTAAATTATGTATCGTTTGATTTTTGTGTGGCACAAAACTCCACATGTGAATAAGTCTATTCCATTACCTGTATACGGTTGTTATAAGAGTCAGACACAACAATTTGGCCATTTCTAAGAACTGCTACGGAGGTTGGGTAATTAAACTCTCCTATATTGCCACCCTTTGTTCCAGACTTACCGAGAAACTTTCCATTCAGCTCAAATACTTGTAATCTGTGATTACCTGCATCACAGACCATCAAGAGACCTGATTTGTTCACGAACAAACTTCTGGGACTATTTAACTCCCCGTCCCCTCCACCGTTCTTTCCAAACTTGTATTGAAAGTTTCCTTTCCTGTCAAACACTTTGATACAATGTTCACTATAGTCTGACACTGAGATATCTTTCATATTGAATACAGTGAATAGGTGTGATGAAAGAGCCCTGCTCTCCTATCTTCACTAAAAAATTACCATTAAGAGAAAAGATCTTAACCAGTCTGTTACCTGAATCAGCGACAATGATATTCCCATCACTGTCTGCCGATAAACTACGGAGATTTTTGAGCTGACTATCAAGGCTTCCTCTCCCACCAAAGGTTCCCACGTACTCACCCATCCCACTGAAGATCTGGATTCTATTGTTCCCAGAGTCTGCTACGAAAATATTTCCATTATTATGGTATGTTATTCCGATAGGAGATTGAAATTCTCCTTCTTTGTTACCATGGCGACGAAACGATCTTAAGTAATTTCCTTCACTATTGAAAATTTGGACTCTGTGGTTGTTATGATCAGTTACAGCTATCTCATCCTTAGCATTAACTGCTACTCCCAAGGAAGGCTAAACATTCCTTCAGACGAGCCCTTTTTTCCGAAAGAATGAACAGGTTGAAACTGAAATGATTTTACCTGTACAGTGAAAGGACTTTCCCCAATATGTTGCCCATTTACCTTTACAGTCACTTGACATTTTCCTAGATCTCTGGGACAATATCTGACCTGATAGAGTCCATCTTTACAGTCATTTATTTGTATTTCTGACGTGCATTCTCGTTCTTGTTCGTCCCTGATCTCAACCGTTACATGGTCACGTTCATTGTAATACTGTCTTCCGTCGGTGTCCTTTGTTGTCAAGGTAAAGTGAGCTTCACGGTGAGCAATTCCTCCCTGCAGTCCTTTGCCTTCAATAACACTCTGACTTGCTTGTGTTGGTTTTTCCAAAGTTCCAATCTGTTCGGTTTTGACAGTGTTGAACAACTTATAATTTTCCACGAAGACAAAATGAGCAACAAGTTCGGGGTCACAGTCGGTTGGCTCGATTTGATGGACTCCTTCAAAGATGGTGTCTGATGATTTCTTGAGTTGAACGATTTCAGCGTTTATACTTCGGGTGAAAAGTTTGTCAGCCTTCTCCAGAGATGATTTTATGGCCGTCATTTGACGCTCGATCTCGGTCTTTTGCCTTTTACGCTTTCAATCGACTTGCTTGTTTCTTTTTCCACTTCTGCGAATATATTTTTCTTGTTTCAGACTTCAATGACTGCAATAAAATTGTCAATAAATGTTTGAATCTCTCTCTTCACATCTTCGCCTTGTTGTATCAGTCTAGCACATTCTTCATCAAGTCGGCTTACGGCATTTATCTTTGCTTGTAAATTATGTCGCTGTTTTTCTATGAAAGACTTAATCTCAGTCTTTTGTCTCTCGGCTTCTTCTTTGATTAACTTATTGACAGTAGATTTGATTGTGCTACCGTCTTAAATAAAATATATTTTTAAACCTGAATCTATAGCATAATAAGGGAAAGAAACTCGTAGACACACCTCACACGGTCCCACTCGTGACCTGATCAGACTCGCACATACCCACCGAGCGTGACGTCACACATCCAACATTGCAGCGCTCTAAGAGTTCCTCTCAAAACAGGCGATAATCGTTTTCGATTTTTTTTCTCTCATCCAGTACTTATTTTCCAATCATGCCAACGATTTCTAACTTTTTAAGATCATTTTTTGATAATTTAACGATAACGTTTCACTAGTGAAGGTTTCGTACAAAGAGGCGACTGCTTATTCACAATGAAATGCTACTAATATTCCCCTTTGAAAAGGTGAAAACGTTCTAAAGGAAATCTGTATGACTCGCATGTTGTTTTTTGTCCTGCTGTGAAGATCCTACCTACATGTCACAAAAACTTGATAATAAGAGAGGAAATTTGAGTAGAAGCCCTGAGTTGACAGCGGCAATATAATGACTTTAAAAAGAGTCATTGCAAAATGGTTGCACTTTTTAAATATAGGATTGCTTATTTGGGTGGAAGCATCATCCTGGAAAAGTCTTCACTGTTCTATTAACGCGGTACCTTCCGGAGCTGCAGTCTCAGTAAATAGGAAATGTTTTAAAAGTTTTTAGAGCTTAGGTCGGTAGCCCGAGAAACGGGAGGAAGAAACGCAGAGCACGCCTTACGTGGCTCCCCGCGTGACCTGATCAATTACGTAGACTCTCACGCACTTTGGCGCAATGTCCTCTCAAAGGATCTGAATTTAAAGTCGCGTAAAACCTAAATCTACCTCAAGAATTTCGCGAAAGCCATAACGAATTTTGAAGTATTTAAAGTTCACTTGCAGAAGGGAAGATGTTGGGTAAAATATGCTCTGTAGAGAGATCCTTTATCCAAAAAATTACATCCCTTCCATGTCGTAAGCTGTATTCCTTTTCTGCCCTGATAAATACCACGTATTGTTAACCATCATTACCAACATGACGTCATAACGGCTACATCGCTTAACAAAACAGTGAAATGGTGGCCACATTCGTGTTCAAGTGTTTGAACTTTTATATTGCGTCTAAGTTTCTTTCGCTCCGATTAATTCACATATCTGCTCAACTCTTGGATGTAAACGTCTTATAAGCCAGTAGTCGTACTCAGGTTAATATCCCTTATTGAAATGCGGGAACAAAATATCTCTCATAATTCAACTTGTTGAGTCCCCGCCATCTAGATCTCATGCACAGTGAAAGCTCTAATTTAAAACGAGGTGTCACCCTCCCCCTTGTTATAAATGAAAAGTAGCCTTATTTCAAGCACTTGACATGCAAACTCTAGCAACACTTGTTTTGAAGTTAGACCTCATTTATTCATTTCCTAAGATACATCAAATATTCCAAAATGTTTTCCTCAAGGTAACTGATGGTGAAAAGTTCATCTCTCATTGATTATTAACCATTATCTTAAATAAAAGTCAAATAATCGAGTCAGCTCTGACAACTTATTGCTACTATAATAACAAAAAAGGTGCAAGAAAAGAAAATAACACATGAAGTCTTGTGATACTTAACTCTTTCATGTACAACAGCCTACTTTAAGTTGGATTCGACCTCAATCAAGTAGGCCGCGCACCCAGGCTGCGGTGCAAAATTCTGGTATGAAAACCACAGAAACATGTTTTTTCTAAATTACATTCAATATGGTTGGAAAAGAATAGAAAGAGAATTGCTACATAATTGATTATATAGTCTGCAATTTGGTCTGAAATGATACGCGCAATTTCAAAACGAATCCGCAGCACGAGTTTGATTTGAAGTCACAATTATTTCACAATTATAGACACTAATTAGTTGTTATGACGGCAAGTTTTGTGAATAAACTAATCACAGAACTTTCTTGATACAAGAAACACTTTAATTAAGGGTTCTTTGGATTCCTGCTTCTCTGAAAAAAAATAAAACTGACTCGCCTGCATGCCGTTCTTCGGCTGGAACTGTCACGAGAAACGAGAAGATATTACTATCACAAGAAGGAGACATCGATAGACTTCCACTGTTAATAAGATAAGGGTCCTGGGTTTATGGCTGCAATAACACTTGAAGAGTCATTGCAGCTGTAAACCCAGAAATGTGTTTGAGAGAAAAAGGAAAGCCTAAAATAAACCTGGCAAAGATAGTGACTAAAGATGACTTGACCCGTTACAGACGTTTATTCATGTTTTGACGAAAGGGGGAAATTTGAGACTGAATATGAGCTGGCACTTAAAGAACGATTCCTTGTTCTCAGGAATGAGAAACTGACAATAAATTCATTCGATCAGTTCACTAGCGTCGAGTTTATAGAAGGTAGGATCTTCACAAATGAAAATTTTCTATTCTCTAACTTCAAACCAAATTTTCCCAGGAAGCATTAGGAACAACAAAAAGCCTCAAACAATTTGTTAGCCTATTATCTGCTGAATGATACTGTCCAGTTTGTTTGGAGGTCAGCGATAACACGGAGGCTGGTAATTCAGTAGAGCAAATACCGTTTTGTGCTTTTTTTAAACTCTTTTTGGGCTCGCGCACGCCTAAAAAAATAAAAACTTCGAAAAAAATCTAGTTACCCTCAAAAACTATGCTTTATAAACTTTATAGTGTTATATAACTTTCCGTGGTTTTTTCTATAGTTTCGCGCTATGGATGCCTTTTCCAGAAGGTGCCCTATTTTGTTGACAATAACCTTAAATAGTTAATCATCATCTTAAATTCAAATCATAACGTCTTTAATGATACATCAAGACTCAAAACGATGGTACATTAAGTCTTATGACACTATACACGAAATGGTTCAGTGAATTGTATCTAATAACTTATTGAAAGTACTCAATTGCGAGTCGAAATAAGTTTCGTTAGATTTGACCTCTATCAACTAGGTAATCTATACTAGGGTCAAAACTTATCTCATGAAAAAGTAGTGGAACATCTTACAATTAGCTAGGTTGCAAATCTATTGACTACAATATTGGATTGTCCAAAAAAGACAACTCTTACAAAACAGATAAACACCTTCTGATTACTGTATTATGTTTTCTACTACTGAAATCTGCAGGCCACACTGATGATTTACATAAAAGCCGTTGCCTTCGTACATAAAAGTTAATGACATATTCCCCTTAGCTTAAGAGAAGGCAATAATGAAAACTGTCTCCTGCATTACTTTAATTTTTTCTTTCCCAGCGAAGTGAATTACGAACAAAAACGAAGCATAAAAAGTGGTCTTAACTCTCCCTAAAAGTTACTTCTAAAAACAGCATGATCTTAAACAGGGAACTGTGTAATATCAGTTACACTTGAAATGTATATGTTAACTTCCCCTCCTGGCTGTTTGATAATATATGCTACTGACTGAATGAATGTTTCCAGACCACTGCCCTCGCCTTGTTATTAATATATATAATCTTGTCCCTAAGACAAGTCCTTTATTTGTCTTTAGATTACTGCAGATGTTCTGGTGTAAAAGAAAGCGAATTTTAATATTTTAAGCCCTCTTCCATCCCTGTAATTCATAACTAGTGTTATCTTGGCTAAACCTAGTTACTCTTTGAATAATAGCTGTTGTTAAGGTTTAGAATAACAAAGAAGGTCATTCACAGAATAAGTAGAATCTCCAATGTTTTACATTCCATGGTTATAAACTCAAAATTAATTAATTGATTTTTGTTCGGCGCAATAGTACAAAAAAATATGAACAAGTTTATTCCAGTATCTGTATACGATGGTTAAAAGCTTCACAAACAACAATTTGGCCATTGCTGAGAACTGCTAAAGAAGTTGGATTATTGAACTCTCCTAAATTGGCACCCTTTTTTCCAAACTTGCCGAGAAACTTTCCATTCAGCTCAAATACTTGTATTCTGTGGTTACCTTGGTCACAGACCATCAGGTGACCTGATTTGTTCACCAACAAATCACAGGGACTACTTAACTCCCCGTTCCCTCCACCCTTCTTTCCAAACTTGTACTGAAAGTTTCCTTTCCTGTCAAAAACTTTGATACAATGTTTCCGGCGGTCTGACACTATGAGATATCTTTCATACTGAATACAGTGGACAGGATTAGTCAAAGAGCCCTGCTTTCCTATCTTCGTTAGAAAATTGCCATCAGGAGAAAATATCTTAATCAGCCTGTTACCTGAATCAGCGACAATGATATTCCCATCACTGTCTACTGATAAACCACGGAGACTATTACTGAGCCGACTATCAAGGCTTCCTCCCTTACCAAAGGTTCCCACGTACTTACCCTTCCCACTGAAAATCTGTATTCTACCGTTGTCATTGTCTGCCACGAAAATATTCCCATTATTATGATATGTTATTCCGGTAGGAAAATTAAATTCTCCCTCTTTGGTAGCAGACCGACCGAGCGATCTTAAGTAATTTCCTTCACTGTTAAAAATTTGGACTCTCTGGTTGCCCAAATCAGTTACAGCTATCTCATCCTTAGCATTTACTGCTACCCCCCAAGGAAGCCTTAAAATTCCTTTGGACGAGCCCACTTTCCCGAAGGAAAGTACAGGTTTAAACTGAAATGGTGTTACCTGCACAGCAAAAGGACTGTCACGGACATGTTCTCCGTTTACCTTTACAGTCACTTGACATTTTACTGGATGTCTGGGACAATATCTGACTTGATAGAGTCCATCTTTACAATCATTTATTTGTATTTCTGACGTGCATTCTCGTCCTTGTTCGTCCCTGATCTCCACCGTAACATGGTCACGTTCATTGTAACACTGTCTTCCTTCGGTATCCTTTGTTGTCAAGGTAAAGTGAGCTTCACGGAGAGCAATTCCTTCCTCCAGTCCTTTGCCTTCAATATCACAATGACTTGCTTTTGTTGGTTTTTTCAAAGTTCCAATTTGTTCGGTTTTGACTGTGTTGAACAACTTATAATTTTCCACGAAGACAAATTGAGCCACAAGTTCGGGGTCACAGTCGGTTGGCTCGATTTGATGAACTCCTTCAAAGATGGTGTCTGATGATTTCTTCAGTTGAACGATTTCAGCGTTTGTACTTCGGGTGAAAAGTTTCTCAGCCTTCTCCAGAGATAATTTTATGGCCGTCATTTGACGCTCGATCTCGGTCTTTCGCCTTGTTATGCTTTCAATTGACTTGCTTGTTTCTTTATCCACCTCTGTGAATATGTTTTTCTTGTTTGCTTCAATGACTGCAATTAACTTGTCAACAAATGTTTGAATCTCTCTCTTTACATCTTCGCCTTGTTGTGTTATTCTGGCACAGTCTTCATCAAGTCGGCTTACGGCATTCATCTTTGCTTGTAAATTATGTCGCTGTTTTTCTATGAAAGACTTAATCTCTGTCTTTTGTCTCTCGGCTCCTTCTTTGATTAACTTTATATTGTGACCCCCATGCTCTACTGTGACACAAATTTGGCAAACTGGCGTTTCACAGTCTTTGCAAAAGTACTTTAGCTCTTCTTTGTTATGATCTTCCTTAGGACAGAAAGCAGGTCGTTTCATCACAGCTTCATAGTCCTTGTCTTGAAAGTCTTTGAGCGCCAGAACACGATGATCTTTATTGCTGCGAATGATGTTGTGTCCAATGATGCACTCGTCACACCAAAACACGCAACAATGAAAACAATAAGAACTCTCGGAGCTTTTCTTGTCGCAATTTCCACATCGTACTGGCTGGTTTTGCACTCTTTAATTGCTAACACATCAATCAAGCCGTTCAGATAAAAGCTGGTGGGAAGATCTTTCAAATCGCCACTTTCAGGCACTCTGCTAATAGCTTGACACTTCGGGCATCTGATTGTGTCTCGGCCATGGCTTGTTGTGTGCCAGTGTTTCAAGCAGTGCAGACAAAACGTGTGTAGACATGGAAGGTGCTTTGGATCAGTGTACACGTTAGTACACACTGGGCACGAAACTTCTTCGCGAAGATTGTGAAGCAGCGTTTTGATATCCATGTGTTTTTCACCAAGAGCTGAGCACACGCTCGAGCAAATCAGCTTTTCTCGGAGTTGAACTCGAAACAATGATGCCTTGTGACTTTATTTTTAGCTATTCTTGGAATTAGTTATTTTTTATGACAACGAGTTTTGTGTATAAACCAATCACAGAACTTCTTAATACAAAAAAACACTTTAATCAAGGATTCCTTGGATACCTGGCTCTCTGGAATGTAAATTTCGACTCGCCCGCAGTTATTTGGCTTGAAGATGTCACGAAAAACGAGAAAATCATTGGAAGGAGACAAAGAATGGACACCTCCGAAAGGAGGGTTTTGACCCTCCTGGAAAAGTTTCCCCTGTCCTGGATTTGATTATGCCACGGTCTTAAATAAAATCTATTTTAAAGCCTGCATCTATAGCATAACAGGAGAAAGAAACTTGTAAACATACCTCGCATGGCTCCACGCGCGACCAAATCAGACTCGCACACACCCACCGAGCGTGACGTCACACATCCAACATTGTAGCGGGCTCAGAGTTCCTCTTTCAAAACAGGCGATAATCGTTTTCAATTTTTTTCTCTCACTGAATACTTCCTTTCCAATCATGCTAACGATTCTTAACTTTTAAGATCATATTTTGATAATCTAACGATAATTTGTTTCACCACTGGAGGTTTCATACAAAGAGCCGACTGTTTATTCACAATGAAATATTACTAATATTCCCCTGTGAAAGTGTGAAAACGTTACAAAGGAAATTTTAATGACTCGCATGCTGTATTTTTGTCAGGCTGGTGCATGTCACAAAAACTTGGTGATAAGAGGAGAAATTTATGGACTTCATCCGCGAAAGAGAGGAAAAGTCCTGAGTTGACAGCTGCAATGATTCTTGAAGAGTCATTGCGAAACGATTGCACTATTTAGATATAAGATTGCTTATTTAGGTAGAAGCATCATCTTGGAAAAGTCTTTACTGCTCTATTAACACGCTACTTTCCAGACCTGCGGTCTCAGTAAATGGGAAATGTTTTAAAAGTTTTTAGAGCTTAGGTCAGTAGCCCGAGAAACGGGAGGATGAAATGCAGAACACGCCTCGCGTGGCTCTCCGCGTGACCTGATCAATTACGTAGACTCTCACGCACTTTGGCGTCAATGTCCTCTCACAGGATCTGAATTTAAAGTCTCGTAAAACCCGAATCTACCTCAAGAATTTCGCCAAAGCCATTATGAATTTTGAAGTATTTAACGTTCACTTGCAGAAGGGAAGATGTTGGGTAAAATATGCTCTGCAGGGAGATCCTCTATCCACAAAATAACATCCCTTCCATGTCATAAGCTGCGTTCCTTTTCTGCCCTGATAAATGCTACGTACTGTTAACTATCATTACCAACATGACGTCATAACGGCCATATCGCTTTGCAAAACAGTGAACTGGTGGCCATATTGATGTTCAAGTGTTTGAACTCTTCTCTTGTGTCTACAGTTTCTTTTGCTCCAATAAATTTACATACCTGCTCGACTCTTAAATGAAAACTTCTAAAAGGTCAGTAGTCGTACCCAGGTTAATACCCCATATTGAAATGCGGCAACAAAATCTCTCTCATAATTCAACTTGTCGAGTACCCGCCCATCATACACAGTGAAAGCTCTTATTTCAAATGAGGTGTCGCTCTCCTCTTGCTAGAAATGAAAAGTAGCCTTGTTTTTAGCACAGTTTAATCAGAAATTAGAACTTTCAAGCACGTGGTGTGCAAACTCTAGCAAAACTCTTGTTTCGAAGTTAGACTTCATTTATTCATTTTCTACGATACATAAAATATTCCAAACTTTTCTCTTCAAGGTAACTGATGGTGAAAAGCTCATCTTTCATTGATTATTAACCATCATCTTAAATCAAAGTCAAATAATCGAGTCAGCTCTGACAACTTATAGCTACTTTAATAACAAAAAAGTTGCAAGAAAAGAAAATAATACGTGAAGTCCTGTGATACTTAACTCTTTCATGTACAACAGCCTACCTTAAGTTGGATTCGACCTCTATTAAGTAGGTCGCCCAGGCTGTGGCGCAAAATTCTGGTATGAAGACTACAAGAACACGTTTTTTTAATTTAAATACGATACAGTTGGAAAAGAATAGAAAGAGAATTCCTACAAAACTGATTAATATCGTCTGATTGATAAAGGTAATTGAACTGAGTGGAGTGCAATTTGGTCTGAAATGATGCGCGTGCTTTCAAAATGAATACACAGAACGAGTTTGTTTTGAAGTCACAAGTATGATTTGAGATGCACGATTTGCACGAAATGAAGTTCAGTTTACCACTTTACTGCATCCATTTTAAATTGCAAAATTCAGTTGCTCAAATACAGGATTTTTAAGTCTGAACTAATATTTTATTGATCCAGTATTGGGCTAGTTTTGATTTATAAAAAAAGTTGTCTTTCAATTTCCCGCAATGTGACTGGTTCCTTTAAACAAGTCTTGAAATCTGATTGGTTGTTGTGTTTTAGTAAAGCTGTCTCTTTAGCTGGAAAAAAAGGTGTGATTAAGAGCAAAAAATGTAACCCTCTATCCTTCACCTGTGATTAATGAATAGTCTCATTTCGGCCTTTCCGAATTGTTTTTTTTGTGTTTTGTTGTTGTTTTTTTAACATTGGAGATGTTCAGGTTGAAAGGAAAACAATATGAGATTTCGTTTCTGGTTCACTTCCCTTCTACACGTAAATTATAAATAGACTTATCTTGGCTCATTAGCAATTGTTCATGGAAGTGGAGGTTGATATCCACCACTTTCACCGGCACTGAAGTGAATTTCTTTCGGTTTATACCACACACAGAAACCGAAAAAAGTGCGTTCATCTTTGTCAATAATTTAAAGCGAAATATTGTCAGAAATTAGTCTTGAAACGTGACTAATTTGGAAGAATTTTTCAGTAGTTAAGACGGCAGATTTTGTGAATAAACCAATCACAGAACTTTCTTAATACAAGAAGCACTTTAATCAAGGATTCCTTGGATTCCTGGTTCTCTGAAAAATAAAACTGACTCGCCCGCCGTTCTTCGGCTGGAACCGTCACAAGAAACGAGAAGATATTACCATCACAAGAAGGACACTTCTACTGCAAAAAGATGATCGGTCCTGAAGAAGAGTCATTGCAACTGTAAACCCAGAAATTTGTTCAAGAGAAAAAGGAAAGCTTAGAATAAATCTGACAAAGAGAGTGAAGAAAGATGACTTGACCCTGTTACAGACGTTTATTCATGTTTTGACGCAAGGGGGGAATTTGAGACTGAATATGAGCTGGCACTTGAAGAACGATTCCTTATATTCCTGGTTCTCAGGAATGTGAAACTGCCTTGCTCACCGTTCTTTATTCGGCTGGAACACGAAAAGCTTGAAGAAAGTTTAAAAGATCACTAGAAAGAGATAATCATGGACTTTTAACTTCACGAATTCTGCGAAAGAGAAGAGAAGCCCTGGGTTTATAGTTACGATGACTCTTGAAGAGACTTCGTAGTCGTAAACCAAGCAATTTGTTAAAGGAAAGCTTAAAATAAATCTTACAAAGAAAGGAAAGAAAGACTGTTGTGAAATGCTTCCACGCAAAAAATTGATTTCCTAGATTTATTATGAATTTGATTGTGTTTTAAGTGAGTTGTAATCTCGTTATCGTTAAAGTGCAGAGCTAACGTTACAATTAAAAGTAGCATGTAATTGGGAGCGGCATAGGGTCATCTAATTAGTTCTGCGAGCAGTGATGTATGAAACCAGGTATTTGCAGGGCGTTTAAGCGCGTAGGAACTTAGTAGCTTGATTGTCAAGTAAAGCTGTGTTTAATAGGAAGTTAGTGCCCGCGAATCGTTGTGCGTGAGTGAATCTTGAATCCCACACGGAATTACGTATCTGGGTGTGGATTTCCTTAGCTAAATGTAACATTTTTGGAACCCTAGGATTAGATTGTAATAGAGTAGATAGATCGCAGAACAGAACGTGTAATGCTGAATTGTCGTCAATAAAGCCTGAATCAAGAGAAAGTATCCAGTCCAAGATTACTGAACCAGCGTGTGCGGAATTCTCAGCAAAGCAAAGGGGAAATTCTGCGAAAAAGATAACTTTTCCTTCTTCCAAACGTTTATTCTTGTCTTTCACAAAGAGAAATCTGCTGACACTGAACTTGGCTTTTATTGTATACGAAGACTAATTTTTTTGGTGAAGTACTATTATGCTGCGATTTTTCATTCCTCTTTGTTATGTGGCTTCTAAAAGGGAAGTGTAGAATTGTGTCACGAACAGCCACGTTGCATATCCATTTGTCACTAGTTGATAGGTCTTGTTTGTATAGTTTTGTCTGTTAATTCCGTTTCGTGTTTTTTAAACATTATTTTCAGGCTCGCGGGCGATTAAAAAAATTAAATTTGGAAAAAAATTTTATCTCAGAAACTATAATTTATAAGCTTTGTAGTGTTATATAGCTTTTCGTAGCTTCTTCTATAGTTGCGCGCTGTGAACGATTTTTCCGGAAGATACCCTATTTTGTTGACATTAAATTGATGACCATCATCTTAAATTCAAATCATAACGTCTTTAATGATACATCAAGACTCAAAACGACGACACATTAAGTCTTATGACATTATACACGAAATAGTTCAATGAATCGCAAACAGTCAAAATAAGTTTCGTTGGATTTGACCTCTATCAACTAGGTAATCTATACTAGGGTGAAAACTTATCTCATGAAAAAGTAGTGGAACATCTTACAATTAGCAAGGTTGTTAATCTATTCACTACAATATTGGAATTTCCAAAAAAGACAACTCTTACAAAACAGATAGACACACTCTGATTACTGTATTATATTTTCTACTACTGAAATTTGCAGACCTTGCTGATGATTTACATAAAAGCCTTTGTCTTCGTACATAAAAGTTAATGACATATCCCCTTAGCTTAAGACAAAGCAGTAATGAAAACTGTCTCCTGCATTACTTTAATTTTTTTTCCCAGCGAAGTGAGTTACGAACAAAAACGGAGCACAAAAAGTGGTCTTAACTCTTCCTAAAAGTTACTTCTAAAACAGCATGATCTTATACAAGGAACTGTGTAATATCAGTTACACTTAAAATGTATATGTTAAACTCCCCTCCCAGCTGTTCGATTATATATGCTACAGACTGAATGAATGTTTCCGGACCACTGCCCTCGCCTTGTTATTAATATATATAATCTTGTCCCTAAGACAAGTCCTTCATTGTCTTTAAATTACTACAGATGTTCTGATGTAAAAGAAAACGAATTTTAATATTTTAAGCCCACTTCCATCCCAGTAATTCATAACTAGTCTTATCTTGGCTAAACCTAGTTACTCTTTGAATAATTACTATTGCTAAGGTTTAGAATAACAAAGAAGGTAATTCAGAGAATAAGTAGAATCTCCAATGTTTTACATTCGATGGTTGAACTCAAAATTAATTAATTGATTTTGATTGGGCGTAATAGTACAAAATAATGTGAACAAGTTTATTCCAGTATCTGTATATGATCGTTAAAAGCGTCACAAACAACAATTTGGCCATTGCTGAGAACTGCTAAAGAGGTTGGATTATTGAACTCTCCTAAATTAGCACCCTTTTTTCCAAACTTGCCGAGAAACTTTCCATTCAGCTCAAATACTTGTATTCTGTGGTTTTTTCTGTCACAGACCATCAAGTGACCTGATTTGTTCACCAACAAACTACTGGGACTATGTAACTCCCCGTCCCCTCCACCCTTCTTTCCAAACTTGTACTGAAAGTTTCCTTTCCTGTCAAAAACTTTGATACAATTTTCACTGAAGTCTGACACTATGAGATATCTTTCATATTGAATACAGTGGATAGGACTAGTCAAAGAGCCCTGCTCTCCTATCTTCGTTAGAAAATTGCCATCAGGAGAAAATATCTTAATCAGCCTGTTACCTGAATCAGCGACAATGATATTCCCATCACTGTCTACCGATAAACCCCAGGGCCTAATGAGCTGACTATCAAGGCTTCCTCTCCCACCAAAGGATCCCACATACTCACCCTTCCCTTTGAAAATCTGGATTCTACTGTTCCAATTGTCTGCCACGAAAATATTCCCATTATTATGATATGTTATTCCGGTAGGCCATTGAAATTTTCCCTCTTTGGTAGCAGACCGACCGAACGATCTTAAGTAATTTCCTTCACTGTTAAAAAATTGGACTCTGTTGTTGTAATAATCAGTAACAGCTATCTCATCCTTAGCATTTACTGCTACCCCCCAAGATAGCCCAAACATTCCCTCAGACCAGCCCTCTTTCCTGAAAGAAAGTACAGGTTTAAACTGAAATGGTGTTACCTGCACAGCAAAAGGACTGTCACGGACATGTTCTCCGTTTACCTTTACAGTCACTAAACATTTTCCTGGATCTCTGGGACTATAACTGACTTGATAGAGTCCATCTTTACAGTCATTTATTTGTATTTCTGACGTGCATTCTTGTCCTTGTTCGTCCCTGATCTCCACCGTTACACGGTCACGTTCATTGTAACACTGTCTTCCTTCGGTGTCCTTTGTTGTCAAAGTAAAGTGAGCTTCACGGAGAGCAATTCCTTCCTCCAGTCCTTTGCCTTCAACGACACATTGACTTGCCTTTGTTGTTTTTTTCAAAGTTCCAATGTCTTCCGTTTTGACAGTGTTAAATAACTTTCGATTTTCCACGAAGACAAAATGAGCCACAAGTTCGGGGTCACAGTTGGTTGGCTCAGTTTGATGAACTCCTTCAAATATTGCGTCTAATGATTTCTTCAGTTGGATGATTTCAGCGTTTGTACTTCGGGTAAAAAGTAATTCAGCCCTCTCCAGAGATGATTTTATGGCCGTCATTTGACGCTCGATCTCGGTCTTTCGCCTTGTTATGCTTTCAATCGACTTATTTGTTTCTTTTTCCACCTCTGTGAATATATTTTTCTTGTTTGCTTCAATGACTGCGATCAAATTGTCAACAAATGTTTGAATCTCTCTCATCACATCTTCGCCTTGTTGTATCAGTGTGGCACAGTCTTCATCAAGTCGGCTTACGGCATTCATCTTTGCTTGTAAATTATTTCGCTGTTTTTCTATGAAAGACTTAATCTCAGTCTTTTGTCTCTCGGCTTCTTCTTTGATTAACTTTATATTATGACCTCCATGATCCAATGTGACACATATTTGGCAAAGTGGCAATTCACAGTCTTTGCAAAAATACTTTAGCTCTTCTTTGTTATGATCTTCCTTGGGACAGAAAGCAGGTCGTTTCATCACATCTTCATAGTCCTTGTCTTGAAAGTCTTTGAGCGCCAGAACACGATGATCTTTATTGCTGCGAATGGTGTTGTGTCCAATGATGCACTTGTCACACCAAAACACGCAACAATGAAAACAATAGGAACTCTCGGCGCTTTTCTTGTCACAATTTCCACATCGCACTTGGCTGGTTTTGCACTCTTTAATTGCTAGCACGTCAATCAAGCCGTTCAGATAAAAGCTGGTGGGAAGATCTGTCAAATCGCCACTTTCGGGCACTCTACTAATAGCTTGACACTTCGGGCATCTGATTGTGTCTCGGCCATGGCTTGTTGTGTGCCAGTGTTTTAAACACTGCAGACAAAACGTGTGTAGACATGGAAGATGCTTTGGATCTGTGTAGACGTTAGTACACACTGGGCACGAAACTTCCTCGCGAAGATTGTGAAGCAACGTTTTGATATCCATGTATTTTTCACCAAGAACTAAGCACACGCTCGACCAAATCAGCTTTTCTCGGAATTGAACTCGAAACATTGATGCCTTGAGACTCTTTTTTTTTAGCTATTCTTGGAATTGATTATTTGTTATGACAACAAGTTTTGTGTATAAACCAATCACAGAACTTGGTAACACAAGAAACACTTAAATGTCACGAAAAACGAGAAAATCACCGGAAGGAGACAACGAATGGACACCTCACAAAGGAGGGTTTTGAAGAGCGTGAGTGAATCAGCATCCTCCTGGCAAAGTTTTCTCTGTCCTTTATTGACCGTGGATTTCTTTGTTCCACGGTCTTAAATAAAATATATTTTAGAGCCTAGATCTGTAGCATAATCGGAGAAAGAAACTCGTAAACACACCCCGCATGGCTCTAAGCGTGACCTGATTAGACTCACACACATCCACCGAGCGTGACGTCTCACATCCAACGTTGTAGCGCGCTATAAGCTCCTCTTTCAAAACAGGCGATGATCGTTTTCGATTTTTTCTCTCTCACTGAATTCCTCTTTTTCAATCATGCTAATGATTTATAACTTTTAAGATCAATTTTTTGATAATTCAACGATGATTTGTTTCACCAGTGGAGGTTTCATACAAAGAGCCGACTGCGTATTCACAATGAAATGCTACTAACATTCCCCTTTGAAAGGGTGAAAATGTTACAAAGGAAATTTATATGACTTGCACGCTGTTTTTTGTCAGGCTGGAACATGTCACAAAAACTTGATAATAGCATGAGAAATTTATGGACTTAATCTGCGAAAGAGATGAGAAGCCCTGAGTTGACAGCTGCAATGACTCTTGAAGAGTCATTACAAAACGGTTGCACTTTTTCAAAAAAGAGATTGCTTGTTTGGGTAGAAGCATCATCCTACTTTTCGGAGCTGCGGTCTCAGAAAATACAAAATGTTTCAAAAGCTTAGGTCGGTAGCCCGAGAAACGGAAGGAACCTGCGTGACCTGATCGATTACATAGACTCTAACACATGTTGGCGTCAATGTCCTCTCACAGGATTAGAATCTTCAGTCTCGTAAAATCTAATTCTATCTCAAGAATTTTGCGAAAGTTATAATGAATTTTAAGTATATTAAAGTTCACACGGCAACCAGGTGGACAATCAGACATGGTTTGATGCTACTCTGGTTTACAGATTTAATGAATGTAACCGAAGAAGTTACAATTCATAGACCCAACGTTTCGACACTCCTGTCTAGTGACTTCATCAGAGGTGATCTAAACGCTGCAACAAGAGGTCCTTTTATATGATCACTAATTAGCGGCCTTTTTTTGACGAGGTGTAAGTAGGCGTCAGGAAGCAAACCGCCATCATCACGATTTAAGGCCTTAAAACCCCTTATTGAAATGCACCAACAAAATCTCTCTCATAATTCAATACGCCCTATCATACACAGTGAAAGCTCTTATTTAAAACGAGGTGTCACCCTCCCCTTGTTAGAAATAAAAAGTAGCATTGTTTGTAGCAAAGTTTAATCCGAAATTAGAGCTTTCAAGCACTTGATATGCAAACTCTCATTTATTCATTTGCTAAGATATATTAATATATCTAATTACTACTAATAATTACTACTTCATTGCATCCGTTTTGAAATTGCAAAATTCAGTGGCTAAAATACAGGATTTTTAAGTCTTTACTAACATTTTCAATTGATCCAGTATTGAGCTGGTTTTAATTTATTTATTTTCCTGCAATATGATTGGTTCCTTTAAACAAGCCTTGAAATCCGATTAGTTTTTGTGTTTTAGTAAAGTTGTTATTGTTAGTAAAGTTGAAATTGCAAAATTCAGTCGCTAAAAAAGAGGATTTTTAAGTCTGTACTAACATTTTCAATTGATCCAGTAAGCTGGATTAGTTTATGATTGTTTTTGAAATCCGATTAGTTGTTGTGTTTTAGTAAAGTTGTCTCGTTGGCTGGAAAAAAATGTGATTACGAGCAAAAAATGCAGCGATTCGTGAAAAACTCGCACCGATGAGAGCCAATAAGATAAAAGAATTATTAGTGATTTCAAAATGGATATAAGAGGTTTATTAAACATTAAACTCTCCTCAAGACCTAGTTGATTTACCGAAAGCCTTGAGCTGGTTATATAAAAGTTATTGATGTATTCCTCAATAGATGAAGTTGAACTTTCCCCCGCGTCACTTTTTGTTCTCGTTTACGTAAATTGTTTGAGAACAAATGCCACTGATAGAAATAACTTTCTTAGCCCTCTACCCTCCCCCTGTGATTAATGAATAGTCTCGCCATTCCAAATTGATTTTTTTTGCTTTGTTCTGTTTTTTGTTTTTTTAACACTGCAGATGTGCAGACTGAAAGGAAAACAATATAAGATTTCATCTCTGGCCTAATTCCCTTCCACCCGTAAATGATAACTAGTCTTATCTTGGCTCATTAACAATTGTTCATGGAAGTGGAGGTTGATATCCACCACTTTCACCGGCACTGAGGTGAATTTCTTCGGTTTATACCACACACAGAAACCACAAAGAAAAGTGTTTATCTCTGTCAATATAGCGAAACATTGTAGGAAATTAAACTCTTTAACATGATTAATTTGAAAGAATTAATTAGTTGTTTTGACGGCAGGTTTGTGAATAAAGAAATCACAGAACTTTACTGATACAAGAAACACTTTAATCAAGGATTCCTTAGATTCCTGGTTATCTGAAAAATAAAACTGACTCGCCCGCTGTTCTTCGGCTGGAACTGTCACGAGAAACGAGAAGATATTACTATCGCAAGAAGGAGACACGATAGACTTCCACTGTGAAAAAGATTATTAGTCCTGGGTTTATGGCTGCAATGGCACTTGAAGAGTCAATGCATCTATACACCCAGAAATCTGTTTAAGAGAAAAGGAAAGCCTAAAATAAATCTGACAAAGAGAGTGAAGAAAGATGACTTGACCCCGTTACAGACGTTTATTCATGTTTTGACGCAAGAGGGAAATTTGAGACTGAATATGAGCTGGCACCTGAAGAACGATTCCTTGTATTCCTAGTTCTCAGGAATGTGAAACTGACCCGCTCACCATTCTTTACTCGGCTGGAACATGTCACGAAAAACTTGAAGAAATTTTTAAAGATCACTTAGAAGAGATAACCGTGGACTTTTAACTTCACGAATTCTACGAAAGAGAAGAGAAGCCCTGGGTTTATGGTTGGGATGATTCTTGAAGAGACTTCGTAGCCGTAAATTAAGCAATTTGTTAAAGGAAAGCTTAAAATAAATCTTACAAAGAGAGGAAAAAAAGATAGCTTGTCCTTCTTCCAGACGTTTATTCTTGTCTTTCACAAAGAGAAATCTGCTGACACTGAACTTGGCTTTTATTGTATACGAAGACTAATTTTTTAGTGCAGTACTATTATGCTGGGATTTTTCATTCCCCTTTATTATGTGGCTTCTGAAAGGGAAGTGTAGAATTGTGTCACGAACAGTCACGTTGCATATCAATTTGTCACTAGTTGATAGGTCTTGTTTGTATAGTTTTGTCTGTTAATTCCGTTTCGTGTTTTTTAAACATTATTTTCAGGCTCGCGGGCGGTTAAAAAAAAAATAAAATTTGGAAAAAAATTAAGTTATTCTCAGAAACTATACTTTATAAGCTAATAGCGTTAGATAGCTTTTCGTAGCTTCTTCTATAGTTGCGCACTGTGAACGATTTTTCCGGAAGGTACCCTATTTTGTTGACATTAAATTGATGACCATCATCTTAAATTCAAATCATAACGTCTTTAATGATACATCAACACTCAAAACGACGACGCATTAAGTCTTATGACATTATACACGAAATAGTTCAGTGAATCGTATACAGTCAAAATAAGTTTCGTTGGATTTGACCTCTATCAACTTGGTAATCTATACTAGGGTGAAAACTTATCTCATGAAAAAGTAGTGGAACATCTTACAATTAGCAAGGTTGTAAATCTATTCACTACAATATTGGAATATCCAAAAAAGACAACTCTTACAAAACAGATAAACACACTCTGATTACTTTATTATGTTTTCTACTACTGAAATTTGCAGACCTTGCTGATGATTTACATAAAAGCCTTTGTCTTCGTACATAAAAGTTAAGACAAAGCAGTAATGAAAACTGTCTCCTGCATTAATTTAATTTTTTCTTTCCCAGCGAAGTGAGTTACGAACAAAAACGGAGAACAAAAAGTGGTCTTAACTCTTCCTAAAAGTTACTTCTAAAACAGCATGATCTTATGCAGGGAACTGTGTAGTATCAGTTACACTTAAAATGTATATGTTAAACTCCCCTCCTAGCTGTTTGATTATATATGCTACAGACAGAATGAATGTTTCCGGACCACTGCCCTCGCCTTGTTACTAATATATAATCTTGTCCCTAAGACAAGTCCTTTATTTGTCTTTAAATTACTGCAGATGTTCTGGTGTAAAAGAAAACGAATTTTAATATTTTAAGCCCACTTCCATCCCTGTAATTCATAAATAATCCTATCTTGGATAGTTACTCTTTGAATAATAGCTGTTGTTAAGGTTTAGAATAACAAAGAAGGTCATTCAGGGAATAAGTAGAATCTCCAATGTTTTACATTCGATGGTTGTACTCAAAATTAATTAATTGATCTTGATTAGGCGCAATAGTACAAAATAATGTGAACAAGTTATTCCAGTATCTGTATACGATAGTTCAAAGTGTCACAAACAACAATTTGGCCATTGCTGAGAACTGCTAAAGAGTTTGGTTCACTGAACTCTCCTAAATTGCCACCCTTTATTCCAAACTTGCCGAGAAACTTTCCATTCAGTTCAAATACTTGTATTCTGTTGTTATTTACGTCACAGACCATCAAGAGACCTGATTTGTTCACCAACAAACCACTGGGACCTTTTAACTCCCCGTCCCCTCCACCCTTCTTTCCAAACTTGTACTGAAAGTTTCCTTTCCTGTCAAAAACTTTGATACAATTTTCATCACAGTCTGACACTATGAGGTATCTTTCATATTGAATACAGTGGAGAGGAAGAGTAAAAGAGCCCTGCTCTCCTATCCTCGTCAGAAAATTGCCATCAGGAGAAAATATCTTAATCAGCCTGTTACCTGAATCAGCGACAATGATATTCCCATCACTGTCTACCGATAAACCCCAGGGACTAATGAGCTGACTATCAAGGCTTCCTCTCCCACCAAAGGATCCCACGTACTCACCCTTCCCTTTGAAAATCTGAATTCTATCGTTCCGACAGTCTGTCACGAAAATATTCCCATTATCATGATATGTTATTCCGATAGGAGATTGAAATTCTCCTTCTTTGGTACCAGGCCGATCAAACGACCTCAAGTAATTTCCTTCACTGTTAAAAATTTGGACTCTCTGGCCGTAATAATCAGTAACAACTATCTCATCCTTAGCATTTACTGCTACTCCCCAAGGAAACCTAAACATTCCCTCAGACGAGCCCTCTTTCCCGAAGGAAAGTACAGGTTTAAACCGAAATGGTGTTACCTGCACAGCAAAAGGACTGTAACGGACATGTTCTCCGTTTACCTTTACAGTCACTTGACATTTTCCTGGATCTCTGGGACAATACTTGACTTGATAGAGTCCATCTTTACAGTCATTTATTTGTATTTCTGACGTCCATTCTCGTCCTTGTTCGTCCCTGATCTCCACCGTTACATGGTCACGTTCATTGTAAAACTGTCTTCCTTCGGTGTCCTTTGTTGTCAAGGTAAAGTGAGCTTCACGGAGAGCAATTCCTCCCTCTAGTCCTTTGCCTTCAATATCACAATGACCTGCTTTTGTTGGTTTTTTCAAAGTTCCAATTTGTTTGGCTTTGACAGTGTTGAACAACTTATAATTTTCCACGAAGACAAAATGAGCCACAAGTTCGGGGTCACAGTCGGTTGACTCGATTTGATGAACTCCTTCAAAGATGGTGTCTGATGATTTCTTCAGTTGAACAATTTCAGCGTTTGTACTTCGGGTGAAAAGTTTCTCAACCTTCTCCAGAGATGATTTCATGGCCGTCATTTGACGCTCGATCTCGGTCTTTTGCCTTCTTATGCTTTCAATCGACTTGTTTGTTTCTTTTTCCACCTCTGCGAATATGTTTTTCTTTTTTGCTTCAATGACTGCAATAAAATTGTCAATAAATGTTTGAATCTCTCTCTTCACATCTTCGCCTTGTTGTATCAGTCTAGCACATTCTTCATCAAGTCGGCTTACGGTATTCATTTTTGCTTGTAAATTATGTCGCTGTTTTTCTATGAAAGACTTAATCTCTCTCTTTTGTCTCTCGGCTTCTTCTTTGATTAACTTTATATTATGACCTCCATGCTCTATTGTGACACAAATTTGGCAAACTGGCGTTTCACAGGGTTTGCAAAAGTACTTTAGCTCTTCTTTGTTATGATCTTCCTTAGGACAGAAAGCAGGTCGTTTCATCACATCTTCATAGTCTTTGTCTTGAAAGTCTTTGAGCGCCAGAACACGATGATCTTTATTGCTGCGAATGATGTTGTGTCCAATGATGCACTCGTCACACCAAAACACGCAACAATGAAAACAATAAGAACTCTCGGAGCTTTTCTTGTCGCAATTTCCACATTGTACTTGGCTGGTTTTGCACTCTTTAATTGCTAACACATCAATCAAGCCATTCAGATAAAAGCTGGTGGGAAGATCTTTCAAATCGCCACTTTCAGGCACTCTGCTAATAGCTTGACACTTCGGGCATCTGATTGTGTCTCGGCCATGGCTTGTTGTGTGCCAGTGTTTCAAGCAGTGCAGACAAAACGTGTGTAGACATGGAAGGTGCTTTGGATCAGTGTACACGTTAGTACACACTGGGCACGAAACTTCCTCGCGAAGGTTGTGAAGCAGCGTTTTGATATCCATGTGTTTTTCACCAAGAGCTGAGCACACGCTCGAGCAAATTAGCTTTTCTCGGAGTTGAACTCGAAACAATGATGCCTTGTGACTTTATTTTTAGCTATTCTTGGAATTAGTTATTTGTTATGACAACGAGTTTTGTGTATAAACCAATCACAGAACTTCTTAATACAAAAAAACACTTTAATCAAGGATTCCTTGGATACCTGGCTCTCTGGAATGTAAATTTCGACTCGCCCGCAGTTATTTGGCTTGAAGATGTCACGAAAAACGAGAAAATCATTGGAAGGAGACAAAGAATGGACACCTCCGAAAAGAGGGTTTTGACCCTCCTGGAAAAGTTTCCCCTGTCCTGGATTTGATTATGCCACGGTCTTAAATAAAATATATTTTAAAGCCTGCATCTATAGCAAAACAGGAGAAAAAAACTTGTAAACATACCTCGCATGGCTCCACGCGTGACCTAATCAGACTCGCACACATCCACCGAGCGTGACGTCACACATCCAACATTGTAGCAGGCTCAGAGTTCCTCTTTCAAAACAGGCGATAATCCTTTTTCAATTTTTTTCTCTCACTGAATACTTCCTTTCCAATCTTGCTAACGATTCTTAACTTTTAAGATCATGTTTTGATAATCTAACGATAATTTGTTTCACCACTGGAGGTTTCATACAAAGAGCCGACTGTTTATTCACAATGAAATATTACTAATATTCCCCTGTGAAAGTGTAAAAACGTTACAAAGGAAATTTTAATGACTTGCATGCTGTATTTTTGTCAGGCTGGTGCATGTCACAAAAACTTGGTGATAAGAGGAGAAATTTATGGACTTCATCCGCGAAAGAGAGGAGAAGTCCTGAGTTGACAGCTACAATGACTCTTGAAGAGTCAATGCAAAACAGTTGCACTATTTAGATATGAGATTGCTTATTTGGGTAGAAGCATCATCTTGGAAAAGTCTTTACTGCTCTATTAACGCGCTACTTTCCAGACCTGCGGTCTCAGTAAATGGGAAATGTTTTAAAAGCTTTTAGAGCTTTAGCCCGAGAAACGGGAGGAAGAAACACACAACACGCCTCGCGTGGCTCTTCGCGTGACCTGATCAATTACGTAGACTCTCACGCACTTTGGCTTCAATGTCCTCTCACAGGATCTGAATTTAAAGTCTCGTAAAACCTGAATCTACCTCAAGAATTTCGCGAAAGCCATTACGAATTTTGAAGTATTTAACGTTCACTTGCAGAAGGGAAGATGTTGGGTAAAATATGCTCTGCAGGGAGATCCTCTATCCACAAAATAACATCCCTTCCATGTCATAAGCTACGTTCCTTTTCTGCCCTGATAAATGCTACCTACTGTTAACTATCATTACCAACATGACGTCATAACGGCCATATCGCTTTGCAAAACAGTGAACTGGTGGCCATATTGATGTTCAAGTGTTAGAATTCTTCTCTTGTGTCTACGGTTTCTTTTGCTCCAATAAATTTACATACCTGCTCGACTCTTACATGAAAACTTCTGAAAGGTCAGTAGTCGTACTCAGGTTAATACCCCTTATTGAAATGCGGCAACAAAATCTCTAACATAATTCAACTTGTCGAGTACCCGCCCTCTCATACAAAGTGAAAGCTCTTATTTCAAACGAGGTGTCACCCTCCCCTCTCTAAAAATAAAAAGTAGCCTTCTTTTTAGCATAGTGTAATCAGAAATTAGAACTTTCAAGCACGTGGTTTGCAAACTCTAGCAAAACTCTTGTTTCGAGGTTAGACTTCAAAAATCGATTCATTTTCCAAGATACATCAAATATTCCAAACTTTTCTCTTCAAGGTAACTGATGGTGAAAAGCTCGTATTTCATTGATTATTAATCATTATCTAAAATCAAAGTGAAATAGTCGAGTCAGCTCTGACAACTCATAGCTACTTAAATAACAAAAATGTTGCAAGAAAAGAAAATAATATGTGAAGACCTGTGATACTTGACACTTCCATGTATAACAGCCTACTTCAAGTTGGACTCGACCTCAGTCAAGTAGGCCGCGCGCCCAGGCTGTGGTGCAAAATTCTGGTATGAAAACTACGGCAACACGTTTTTCTAATTTAAATACGATACAGTTGGAAAAGAATAGAAAGAGAATTACATTACTACAAAACTGATTAATATAGTCTGATTGATAAAGGTAATTGAACTGAGTGGAGTGCAATTTGGTCTGAAGTGATGCGCGTGATTTCAAAATGAATGCGAAGCGCGAGTTTGATTTGAAGTCACAAGTATGATTTGAGACCAAAATTTTACGAGATGAAGTTCAGTTACCACTTTACTACATCCATTTTGAAGTTTCAAAATTCAGTTGCTCAAATACAGGATTTTTGAGTCTGAACTAATATTTTATTGATCCAGTATTGGGCTTGTTTTGATTTATAAAAAAAAGTAGTCTTTCATTTTCCTGCAATGTGATTGGTTCCTTTAAACAAATCTTGAAATCTGATTGGTTGTTGTGTTTTAGTAAAGCTGTCTCTTTAGCTGGAAAAAAAAGGTGTGATTAAGAGCAAAAAATGTAACCCTCTATCTTTCACCTGTGATTAATGAATGGTCTCATTTCGGCCATTCCAAATTGTTTTTTTGTGTTTTGCTTTGTTTTGTTTTTTTTTAACATTGGAGATGTTCAGGTTGAAAGGAAAACAATATAAGATTTCGTTTCTGGTTTACTTCCCTTCTACACGTAAATGATAACTAGTCTTATCTTGGCTCATTAACAATTGTTCATGGAAGTGGAGGTTGATATCCACCACTTTCACCGGCACTGAGGTGAATTTCGTTCGGTTTTTACCACACACAGAAACCAAAAAAAGTGCGTTCATCTCTGTCAATAATTTAAAGCGAAATATTGTCAGAAATTAGTCTTGAAACGTGATTAATTTGGAAGAATTTTTCAGTAGTTAAGACGGCAGGTTTTGTGAATAAACCAATCACAGAACTTTCTTAATACTAGACCCTGTGAGTAGGGTAACTGGGATACCTGGATGGTACAGGATCCGTGGAATCAAGTGTAGTGATACTACGCGTGTCGGACTAGTATACTGAAATAGTGAGCTCAAGTCTGGCCAAGGGCATACACCTGTCTCAAAACATAGGCATGCTATGCATGCAAGAGTTATTTTTTCTAGGGTGGGTGGATTACTTGAAACATTGTAAGTGGTCTACATTCTTACAAAAGGAAAGAAGATTATTAACGCGGGAAAGAATGAAAATGTCGAATTACTTCACACACAGGTATTTTGTGGTAGATTATGTGTGTTGTGCGAATAAATGTAACCAAAAATAAACTGTATTTGTGCCACGGATACCTGTTAGTACAAAATGTAGACAGCAGACTGCAGACCGGATACAAAATATAGACTGCAGAGTGGGTAAAAAATGCAGACTGAGAATCTGAAGAGTTTTTACGTCTGGTATATAATAACATGTCATCTTACAGCTTACCGAGCGTCACGCAATCGCTTTTCCGCGATCAGCATTCACGATTATTTGCACTATTGTGGAAAATTCCTGGCCCATTTCTTGATGAAAATCGATCGTAATATAATTTCAAGCCTTCAACATAGTCTTCTTACTTTGCGCGCGAGTTGGTTGGTGTGATGTCTGTACAGATTTTACCAATGTAATAAAAGTAGATGACGTGAATAATAGTGATGGTAAAGCAAGCTTAAAACGGCAACAATCGCCAGAAACTACAACGGATACACAAGGTATGAGTAAGTTTTTTTGATTTCTCGAGAAAAATCTTCATATTTCGAAATATTTATCGTTGTAAATCGACCATATTTCGTTCCCTACACTATTCCTTATAACGTGTTCAAATTTTCAACGGTTCCTAGAATAACTTACTCTGAGTCACACAACCCGTTACGCGTTCGTGAATTAATCGTTGGCTCTTTCTCGAAACGTGACCTTGGGTCGCCTGTGACAAGACAATTGCGTAAACAATACTTGACATAATAACATTATACACAAAAAACACGGGATTTTGGATCATGTATTTATTAAAAAAGAATATCCATACAACTACAATGAATACAAACATAAGATTCACCTTTCTGATCGTGAAATTAATACCATTCGCACTGTTATCGTAGCTACGTTCCCTGGCATCAAGTGAATCCAACATGGCGTCTTTCTTCACTAGCAGTTTGCGGATCAATATTTGTTTCTGGGCAACCGAGCTCGAAATAGGTGACTCGAGCTCGAAAGTCTATCCGAGCTCGAGTCACAACTCGACTAGATCCTGAGCAACCGAGCTCGACATAAGTGACTCGAGCTCGAAAGCCTACCCGAGCTCGAGGGATCACTCACGGTTTCTGGGAAACCACTCGATTTTAAATCGTCACGATTTATATGTCACTCGATAAACGATTTTCAACGAGACTCGTTTGTTCGAGAATAGAGACTCGGGACTCGTTTGTCGAAACGAGACTCGTTCGTCGAAACGAGACTCGTTCGTCGAGACGAGACACGTTAGTCGAAACGAGACTCGTTTGTCGAAACGAGACTCGTTTGTCGAAACGAGGCTTGATTCAAAAAATAGCTACACGGAGTAACACTCTGGTATTTGCTTCCTCTTGCGTAGACCTTAGCTTCCTTGTTGTTGTTCCGATCTAAGAGACTTCATAGCATCGATCCTCGGCTGTTACAAAGATTTTCTTTCCAGCGAGTCTTTATGTATCTCATTTTCGTACTATTCCGAGAGGAATTAGGAGCAACTTATTCTTAGAATTGGAAAGGAATTTCCGCCACTGGAATGTTTTGTTGTCTACCCTGATGTTTCTGAATCCATGACCGCTTTCTGAGCCTCTCTGCTCTATCTCTCTCAGCATTCTTTACTGAGCTATCTCGTTTAACATCAAAGACTACGCCAATACACTAGTTTTCTGTTCCTTCATGCAAAACTATTGACATCATTCTATCAGCCACCTCTGCAAATGTTTTTTGGTCGCCTCGTA